GTTCAAATTTTTCGTGGAAAATCTCAAATTTTTGAACTAAATTTTTGGTTTTCATTTGGGTCATGGTCAGTTGGTGAGTGACATTTTGAGAGTGGGACGAATTGGGGAGTGACATTTTGTCCGGGACGAATTGGGGAGTGACAGTTTGGGGGTGTTCTAATCAAATCTAAGGTCTAAGTGCCCTACTGTCTACACCTATTGAATAACAACCCGTGCCTTTGGATATAACTCGGAGGTATGAAAGCCTGAACCTATGGAGAGGATTCTTTGAAAAAGGGGGGTCGGTCAGTTCGGTGCCGAATTTTCAGTGCGGGGCATTTTTGGTGCCGAATTTTTAGAGTGGGACGAATTGGGGGTGTGACGTTTTGTCCGTGGGACGAAATGGGGTGTGACGTTTTGTCTGTAGGACGAATTGTGAGAGACGTTTTGTCATTGGGACGAATAGGGGAGTGACGTTTTTTTCAGTGGGACGAATTGGGGAGTGACATTTTGTCAGTGGGACGAATTGGGGAGTGACGTTTTGTCCTGGGGGGCTAAATTTTTTAGTTCAAATTTTTCGCGGAAAATCTCAAATTTTTGAACTAAATTTTTTAGTTCAAATTTTTCGCGGAAAATCTCAAATTTTTGAACTAAATTTTTAGTTCAAATTTTTCGCGGAAAATCTCAAATTTTTGAACTAAATTTTTTAGTTCAAATTTTTCGTGGAAAATCTCAAATTTTTGAACTAAATTTTTGGTTTTCATTTGGGTCATGGTCAGTTGGTGAGTGACATTTTGAGAGTGGGACGAATTGGGGAGTGACATTTTGTCCGGGACGAATTGGGGAGTGACAGTTTGGGGGTGTTCTAATCAAATCTAAGGTCTAAGTGCCCTACTGTCTACACCTATTGAATAACAACCCGTGCCTTTGGATATAACTCGGAGGTATGAAAGCCTGAACCTATGGAGAGGATTCTTTGAAAAAGGGGGGTCGGTCAGTTCGGTGCCGAATTTTCAGTGCGGGGCATTTTTGGTGCCGAATTTTTAGAGTGGGACGAATTGGGGGTGTGACGTTTTGTCCGTGGGACGAAATGGGGTGTGACGTTTTGTCTGTAGGACGAATTGTGAGAGACGTTTTGTCATTGGGACGAATAGGGGAGTGACGTTTTTTTCAGTGGGACGAATTGGGGAGTGACATTTTGTCAGTGGGACGAATTGGGGAGTGACGTTTTGTCCTGGGGGGCTAAATTTTTTAGTTCAAATTTTTCGCGGAAAATCTCAAATTTTTGAACTAAATTTTTTAGTTCAAATTTTTCGCGGAAAATCTCAAATTTTTGAACTAAATTTTTAGTTCAAATTTTTCGCGGAAAATCTCAAATTTTTGAACTAAATTTTTTAGTTCAAATTTTTCGTGGAAAATCTCAAATTTTTGAACTAAATTTTTGGTTTTCATTTGGGTCATGGTCAGTTGGTGAGTGACATTTTGAGAGTGGGACGAATTGGGGAGTGACATTTTGTCCGGGACGAATTGGGGAGTGACAGTTTGGGGGTGTTCTAATCAAATCTAAGGTCTAAGTGCCCTACTGTCTACACCTATTGAATAACAACCCGTGCCTTTGGATATAACTCGGAGGTATGAAAGCCTGAACCTATGGAGAGGATTCTTTGAAAAAGGGGGGTCGGTCAGTTCGGTGCCGAATTTTCAGTGCGGGGCATTTTTGGTGCCGAATTTTTAGAGTGGGACGAATTGGGGGTGTGACGTTTTGTCCGTGGGACGAAATGGGGTGTGACGTTTTGTCTGTAGGACGAATTGTGAGAGACGTTTTGTCATTGGGACGAATAGGGGAGTGACGTTTTTTTCAGTGGGACGAATTGGGGAGTGACATTTTGTCAGTGGGACGAATTGGGGAGTGACGTTTTGTCCTGGGGGGCTAAATTTTTTAGTTCAAATTTTTCGCGGAAAATCTCAAATTTTTGAACTAAATTTTTTAGTTCAAATTTTTCGCGGAAAATCTCAAATTTTTGAACTAAATTTTTAGTTCAAATTTTTCGCGGAAAATCTCAAATTTTTGAACTAAATTTTTTAGTTCAAATTTTTCGTGGAAAATCTCAAATTTTTGAACTAAATTTTTGGTTTTCATTTGGGTCATGGTCAGTTGGTGAGTGACATTTTGAGAGTGGGACGAATTGGGGAGTGACATTTTGTCCGGGACGAATTGGGGAGTGACAGTTTGGGGGTGTTCTAATCAAATCTAAGGTCTAAGTGCCCTACTGTCTACACCTATTGAATAACAACCCGTGCCTTTGGATATAACTCGGAGGTATGAAAGCCTGAACCTATGGAGAGGATTCTTTGAAAAAGGGGGGTCGGTCAGTTCGGTGCCGAATTTTCAGTGCGGGGCATTTTTGGTGCCGAATTTTTAGAGTGGGACGAATTGGGGGTGTGACGTTTTGTCCGTGGGACGAAATGGGGTGTGACGTTTTGTCTGTAGGACGAATTGTGAGAGACGTTTTGTCATTGGGACGAATAGGGGAGTGACGTTTTTTTCAGTGGGACGAATTGGGGAGTGACATTTTGTCAGTGGGACGAATTGGGGAGTGACGTTTTGTCCTGGGGGGCTAAATTTTTTAGTTCAAATTTTTCGCGGAAAATCTCAAATTTTTGAACTAAATTTTTTAGTTCAAATTTTTCGCGGAAAATCTCAAATTTTTGAACTAAATTTTTAGTTCAAATTTTTCGCGGAAAATCTCAAATTTTTGAACTAAATTTTTTAGTTCAAATTTTTCGTGGAAAATCTCAAATTTTTGAACTAAATTTTTGGTTTTCATTTGGGTCATGGTCAGTTGGTGAGTGACATTTTGAGAGTGGGACGAATTGGGGAGTGACATTTTGTCCGGGACGAATTGGGGAGTGACAGTTTGGGGGTGTTCTAATCAAATCTAAGGTCTAAGTGCCCTACTGTCTACACCTATTGAATAACAACCCGTGCCTTTGGATATAACTCGGAGGTATGAAAGCCTGAACCTAGTTAGTTTTTGATAATTCAGTTTGGAGTGAGTGCTGGTATTCATTTGGGAGTTTCATAATAGTAAAAGTTCGAATTTTTACGAAAAAAGTAGGTCGTCAGGTTGGATCGTTTTTGAAGATTAAGGATTGTCTGAAGCTCTCGGAGCTTGGAAGAGTTGGGTGTTGGGAAGACCCTGGGCTGAGGGGGGAACCCCAAAATAATTTTTAACCAACGTAAAAATAATGTGATAAAAAAAATACCACTTGTAAAGAAAAGGTCTTTTTGCTTTCTTCTAAACGAATCCGCAAAAATCCTTTTTTTACAAGTGGCTTAATTGTGCTTTTCCGTTTTTGCTTCTAAGAATTCTGATGTTTTGATAACATTTTGTGCAAAAAATTTAAACAAAAAAATCGACTCAAACGGAAAAAGCACTAAAAAATATTAAAAACATATTTCATTCAAATATTATTTAGACCTTTAAATGTGGCTGTAGCATCTTTGCCACATTTTTTAGCTTCTCTCGTCTTTGTAACTCATCATCAATTTGTTGCAGTCCAATGCTCATTTTGAACACTTCTTGCAATAAAGTCTCGGTGTAGCCGTTGATGTTACACAGCCGTCAGCCACACATGTACAAGGCGTATTTGTTGTGGCACCATCTGAATAATTCCTTTAAAATTAAAAATGCAAAAAATTGTCGTCTTCAAAAGACGATAGAAAGCACATCCCTGCCCACAGCATACTCAAAGAGAGTTAATCCCCCCAACAAAACAGCCGCTCCACTCCCCATCCTACCCAAAGAAAGTCTCTCATCCCAAAGAATAAAAAGAAGAGAAAATATCAAACCTTAGAGTTGGAGAGTGCAGTCTAGTCGGAGTCTAAACACGAGAGCATTTCCTGACATTTGTCCAAAACCTTCTTATCGCCCTCACTAATCTTATCCTTGAGCTAAAAAAATTTTTAATTTTTTTAAAAACCTCTTTATAAAAAGAAGGGCCCTTCCGCAAGACGTAAAGGTCGAAAAAACGGAAGACAGTCAAGACGGAAATACTGAAGACAGCCACAGCAATCCTAACAGTCAATCCACCCCAACGAAACAGCGTTTCCACAACCACGCCTAACCAAATACAATCAATCCCCCACCAAGAGATAACCCAATAGTGCTCCCAAGTACCCCAAAACAGTCTATCCAGCCCCAGCTCATCGCTGCTACAATCCCCAAACAAAACAACCACCCTATCCCAAACAAAATATCCAATCCATTAAACAAGAAAGCCCATCCCCAAGATACCAAAGCCCAGCTTTATCCCTCAAAACCATCAAACCTTATCATTCTCCATTGTCTGCTTGATGTTAGAGCAGTAAGATATTTATCAGCCTCTTGGACCATACGCTCAATCTCATCTTTGGAAAGACGTCCCTTGTCATTAGTGATGGTGATCTTGTTTTGCGCTCATCTTTTGTGTGAGAAACAAATTGGCGAGCCACTGAAAAACAAAACGATTTTACTATATTTAGGCACATTAGAGGTTAAGGACTAATTATGATTTTGATTGGATGTTGAGCACAGGAAGCCCCAAACACTTTGAGTGAGAAACGTGTAAATTTTTATCTTTCCTAAAGCTTCTCATGGTGTTTGGAGTTTCCCATACTCAAGATCCAATGGCTCGAAAGCAAAAAACCAAAAAATCAAGGAACTATAGAAAATCTCTATCAACTAGGGTGCGCCCATTTTAAGGGAAAACGGGAGTTGCGGGTATTCAAAACCAGGGGACGAACGCCTGACTATGGGAAAGCCTTCCCGCGCTCCTCGGGAAATCCCTTTCCACGAAGATAGCAGTTAAATCCTACTGTCCATCCAAGACCACGGACCAATTGCCAAAATAAATAAACGCATAAACAAACGTGTTAAGGTCCCAAAGACGCAAAGTTTTGTCCCACGAGCCAGAAAGTGCATATTGCCCATCAGAAGACATTACAACATCAGAAACAAAATGTTCATGCCCATGAAGTGACTTTGACGGCTTGCCTGTTAAAACATGTCCAGACTCATCCAACTGCCACAAAATAATTGTTTTGTCTAAAATTTAGAGAATTAATTTCACAAAAACAATTTATTGAAAGAAACCTCTAGAAGAAGAAAATAAGCAAATTTTTGTACACTGGACAGCCGCAATTTGTGTGACCCAACCATTGTGTCCACGCAATGTCCTTCTAATTTCATTTGTTCTCCCATGATTACAATTAATTTTAATTTTTTATAGACCTAACAAACCTAAAAAAGAAAAAAACACAATTTATAAAAAAATTTGTCAAAAATCCCCTCGTAAAGAAAATCCTTTCCTTCTCTTAAAGAATTTTTGAGCAGTTATAATCAACAGGACAATCGAGTCTAACTTACATTCAAGGATTTTTGGAACGCCGATATTTATAGAAAAGCTCAATAAATTCCGAAAAATTATATCGATACGACAGCGTTAGTTTTAATCATTTTTCAAAAGTTTTTAAAATGATATGTAGCTGAAAAATTTGAAAGTTTAGAAGATTAGAAGCAAAAAATTATTACATAACAACAAGAAAATGCAAACTCCGGAAAATAATGAAAATCGATAAGTGACGCCAAATAAATTTAAACTAAATATTAACGCAAATTAATTTTGTTAATTTAATTTTGGAAAATGTCAAAGTGTCAAGTCGTTGTTATTCTGTCAATTACTCGAAAAATGAAGAAAAAGGATTTTCAAAGTCTAAAGAATTTAAAAATTTTGTTTAGGTTTCAGAAGATATCGATCGAGAATGTCGTGATATAGAGGACACATTTTAAGGCTGACCATTTTTAATATTTTGAGGAAAGAAAAAAAAGGAAATGTAAGTAGAAAATGAGAAAAAGTAGAATTAGACTTTTCTACTTTCATGAACATATGTATAATCCTGTTAGACGAAAAATGTACGACCTATAATTTTAACTCTTATTTATTTCAGCAAGTTAAAAACGATAAGTACTAAATGCTGAAATAATTTCAGGATCCTTTTTCTTCATCACGATTAAAATAGAAGGATGGAGAAATTGCGAATTAAATAAATTATAATTTAAAATTTTGCGATTTGTACAAATTCGAAAATTCACGAAATACAACTCCAAATCCCCAAACAATTTTAATTCTTTTTTTGCATCCGATTATTGCTTTAAAGAGAGCTTTCCTCTTTGTCCCGTGCACTTTGCCACTTTCCTATTACACTCCATTCAAAATTGTTTTTACCTAAGGCTTTCAAACATGCAAAGCACTCATCCGGCCCTTTCTAGTTCCGCCATTCCCGCCATTCTCACCGTTCCCTTTCCCTCTTCAATTTTTCCTTTACATTAAATTCGAGTTGTCCCATAAAATGTAAAATCATAAAGGTAAACTAAATTTAAGCTATTGTATGGATCTTTAGAACTATTTTATCCTAAGATTTTTCCTTCGATTACATTTTACTTTTTTCGCGTCCATTGAAAATGCCTCAAGCTACTTACACGTGTTAAGGGTGGGTGTCGTATTAGCCACTTTCCTGGTAAATTCCTTTAACTCATTCATCATACCAGACATAAATAATTCTTTTCATTTTTTGATGCATCCTCAAACTAGTTGACAAAAATGCATTCGTAAAAGCTATTTTACGTATGAATTGTAATTCTCTTATCAGAATATGTATGTACTTTTTTTCAATTTAAATAAGTCCACCCTATTTAATGTTCTCCGGAAAGTATTTTACATTTACTATTTTTTTTATATTAGATATACTAATAATACTTTGACATTATTTATCTGCAAATAAAAGTGCCGATGTTTCTTTCTATGTTTACCCGTCTGCTTTTGTTACTTCCAAAACTTTCTGTAACCGATGCTGAAATGCTATTTCAAATTGCCGAGAAACAATCAACATCTATACGCCCTGAAAGTTTTACTTCTAAATTGCGAGGGGCATACTTGCAAAGAAAATTGAAAACTAAAGCCAATTCCGGTGAAAGGCTAACTCAAAAATCAAGGAATACGATACACAGAAATTGTATATTAGTCGATGATAAACGCAGGAAGCAATTAATCCAGGTTTTAGGAATTACATTTTAAATATTGAGTTGCCGGGTAGTATATCATAAATAGGAGTTCCGTTTCCACCCTTAATAGATAAATTTTTAACAAAAATTTAAATACAAATTTACAAATAAATATACTTTTAACAACAAACATGCAGCAGCTCTTCTCTGAAGAGAATTACGACAAAAATAATCTTCCTTCCACAAATCATACTAAAGTTGTCGTCGAATTGACAGTCCAATCCATTACTGAAATTAGTGAATTCTCTAGTAGCTTCAAAGCTGATGTTTGGTTTAGGTAAAGATATTATTAAAGAAAAAACTATGAATTTTTAGCCAGATATGGCAGGATCCTCGCCTGGATTTTTCATCATTTAATTACTGTCTCTCCAATCTTTCACTTCCTTCACATAAACTAGTTTGTTTATTGTAAGATTGTTTTAATACTAATATTATTACTTAGAATTCAATATGGACACCAAATGTTTGCTTTGTAAATAGTAAAAATGTGCGGATACATGCATCACCTTCTGAAAACATATTACTTTTAGTTTTTCCAAATGGCACCGTCTGGCTTAACTATAGGTATGTTAATTAAATGCATGACATATGCTGTTTAAAACCTTAATCACCCAAGAGTTTCTCTAATGGGTCCATGTTTTTTGGATTTGTCACTTTTCCCAATGGATGTGCAACAGGTAAATATGAATTTATCTCTAATTATAATAAATTCCAATAGTGCAATTTGGTCTTCGAGAGTTATTCTTACAATAGTGCTGAGGTAATTCATAAAATTCTATTTTAAAACTTTCAAATACGTCAGGTTAACATTGTTTGGCGAGACTGGGAGCCTGTTTCCATTCCTGATCCAAATGCCAAACGTCTACCCGACTTCGAACTGCTTTCTCATGCTAACACAAAATTCACATTACTCTACACAGCCGGCCTATGGGATCAACTCGGTTATTTTTTAGTTGACTGTTTAAGATCTGCTTTCAGAAGTTATTTTCAAGTTCAGGCGTTTGTACGGCTTTTACATTCTTCAGGTTATCTATTATTTGTAAATTAAATAGACCCTTAACATTAAGGCATACATGCCGACATATCTATCAGTATTCATCAGCTGGATTGCCTTTTGGATCCAAACATCAGCATTGCCCGCTCGCATCACACTCGGGGTTATTAAGAATGGCTCTCCGACACATTGATTCCACTCTTTTTAGGTATCATCGTTGATGGCTCTTACTTTTCAATTCGGAAACGTTGTAAAGAATTTGCCTAGGGTATCTTATGTCAAAGCTTTGGACATTTGGATGTTTGGCTGTATGGGTTTCATTTTCCTCTCACTAGTTGAGGTTTTTCATAATAGCGTTTTCCTATTAACTTTTTTTAAGCTGGCCGTGGTGGGCTTTTTCGATAAACTGGAATCGAGAAGGAGAAGAACCCGTCGAACAAAAGACTACATGGTTCGTTAATTTCGTCGCTAATTTGTTAATTCAGTATATTTTTCTATGCTACTTCAGTTAGTACATTCGGATAGTGAGCAACAATGGCTATCTCGCATGCCAAGTCGTACAATGCCGCAAGAAGTGTTAGGCGGTGATTGCAGAACAACTTCGTCAATTGGAATGCGACTATCTAACGGCTCCATAACAAGTCCAAGAATGCAATGTTCCAAACCAAAAAAAGTCACCAAAATAGAAGATGAAGGCAGAATAATCAGTGGGGAATTTATTGACGATGTATTTATTACCAATTTTTATTTATTATAAAAATTCCTAATTAAGGTCTCGGCGAAACTGTTCCCAGCAATGTTTCTCGCTTTCAACCTTTTCTATTGGTTCTACTACATAGGTCTTTCAGTATCAAGGCCATGATATTCAACGATTTGAATTTTATCGTTAGATCTGTGATTTTATTTCAAAATATTTTTATATAAAATTTAAAGCCCAAAAATGTCAATTTAGTTTATTTATTCATCAACCCATTCATTTGGTCCTACCTCATTGGAATTTTGATCCTCTCCACTGCTACTTCCGGTTCTCGATCTTGTTGGGATATGCTCTCGAAGCACATCACCCATTGACTTCGAATTTGACGGATTTTGTCTACCAGAAATTCCTAAATTTATTTACTTATAAAATGAAGATAGTATCGCAATTTTATCTCAACCTCTTCTTCGCATTGCAAGCACTCGTGTCAAAGAAGTCATCAAATCTTCTTCGTCGTCATTTTTCTTATTGTTAGAGTTTTCCAATTGCTCGTCATCAATCTTCACAGATTTCAGACCCGCCCCTTTTACTCCACCAGTTGCCCGGATAGCTGCCATCAAATCAGAACGACCGGAAATGGCTTTAGTCTCCACAAAAATACAAATTACGAATACAAATAAAAAGATAAACCTGTTGTAAAGCTGCTGGTGGTGGTGGTGGAGGAGGTGGTGCTTGAATCTGTGGAAGAGATGCAGCTTCAACAGATGGTATAATTGGGGAAGAAACAACGCCATTCTTGCTTTTATCCTCAAAACCTAAAAATGCAAAAGAATTTCTAAGAAGAAACGAACCACATGAGTCAAGTTTAGGTTGTTCCCTAATTTCTGATTCATTTGGAACGTATAAAATCTTTGGAGCTTCCTTTTTGCTTGAAAGATGCTCGTCGGAGCGAAAAAGAGTAGAAACACTTCTTGCTCCCAAACTTTTTGTGACAAAAACTGATAACAAAATTATTAATGATTAGATAAATTTAAACCAGGCAAATCCTCGGGTAGATCAAATTCAACTTTTTCACCCAAACTATCGAAGATATTTGCTTGTGAGCATTCAAGGGTTGCTAGAAGATTTGTTTCGCCAATCTAAACAATATTATAAAGGATAATGCAATAAAAATTAACCTCATTATTCCCAATAGAAAGTGTTTCCTTACCAATTGAAGAGCTTAACGTTTCTAGACCCTCAAGTAATGAGCCTGAAAAATCAAGTTGTGCTGAAACGTATTTTCGAGACATGTCAGCAGTGAAAAGTTTTGTCAAGTTTAGTTTATGCATTTTGGCATCAGATTGCAAAGGACCTTGAGACGTAGATTTTGTTACATATTTTCTTTGAAACATTTAAATAAACTAACCGTTAAGGTCTGAATTAATAACCTTTTGCGACTTTTGTGAAAAACGTCCCGCATTTTTCTTACGTCCAATGCCATCCTTGATTGTCTTCAATGGTTCAGGTTTGTATACACCGTTCAACTAGACAATTTAATTTTAATGACCATCTAGTTAATACATAAACTTTTACTCACAAGATCAAGTTCGCAATTTGAATTGTTCGTCTGATTTCGCATAGAAATATTTACCATCATCGTTCCGAATGCTGGTTGACAAAATCCAGCAAAGCACAATTCCGGATGCCTCGGTGCACAATGAAAAACAGGAATTTCATCCACCTGGAAATATAATGGATTAGAACGGGCCACATTATTAACCCCTTATAAGTATTTCAATTTTTTCACATAACCTGCTCAAGCGTCTCGACCTTCTTTTCTATTACTTCGATTCTTTTAAGCTGAAGATTGATTCTCTCATGGCATTTTTCTAGTCGTTGATCTGCATTAGTGAATATGTGATTAGTGTACTGTTGCAACTGTTTTAGAGAATTAATTATTTGAAGCACTGCAACCGATTGAGGGCAATCAGGCGGGGTAAGAAACATAATCTAGATAAATATATTAGTCTATATCCAATAGATATATCAGTGCAAATTTGATTAACTTCGCTATCTTCACTATCGAATCTTTAAAATAATTCTCATTAATTTATGCAAAATTCAAATTTCATTTAACAAAGGATATACTAAATGAAGTATTAGCATTATAAAAATAACTAGTATTCAGATAATCATTTAACTCGACGCAAATCTGAAAGCTTATTGTTAGCTTAGATTCCAACTAAGCTTCCGCTTCAAGTCTGGGTTCTTTTAGTTTCCTCTCTATGTTAGTTTGATTTTGTTCTTCAGATAAAACTTCACATTCTGTTGGTTTAGCACTGAATGATTGAAATTATTTTCAGGAAAACCGGTAGTAAAAACCTTGCTTCATTCGAATCGCATCTACCAACAGATATTAACTATAAATTATTTAGTTATCATAATAAAATAACAGTTACATCCAATAATTCGGTTCTTGCATATCGTTCAATATAATTAGCTAATTCCTCGCCAATAATTTCATTTAATTCCAAACTTGACTCATTTGATGACTTCAAATCAAAGAAAATAATCAAATGTTTTTCCCAATTAATTGAATTGAAAAAAATATTTGCCAAATTTTCAGACGGGTCGATTTTACATAACCGATGTCGTCTATCCTTTAAAATTTTAAAATGATAGTGAGACTGGAAATTTACTTACTATATAAAATTGATTAATGTTAGAATTGCGACATAAGTTGGACTCGACATGATCCGTAGTGTTGGAATCAGTCAATTGATTTGGAACAGACCCACTTGTCTGATTAGCTAAATGCATCAGAAATTCATTAAGTGCCTGCAATAAACAAAAAATGGAATTTAGTTTTAAAAAGTAAACTAACCGAAATAGTTGTATCTGAAGAAGTTCGAATATAATGAGAGTTGTTCAAAAAATAAGGGGTCAAACTGCAATTAATAAGTCTCTTACTTGGTGCCAACTCAACATCAAGTTCATCGCCACGTCTTCGCATTTCCGCGGCCTAAAATTCATAACATTAAAGTTTTAAGTGGTATTCTAACCATATTTTCTAAATTATTCTCAATATTTTCCCCTAATTGATGTCCATCGTCAACGTTTGAAAATGGTTTCTGAATATGGAAGGAAGTTGTAGAAGTGGAAGAAACAGACGAAATGCTGCTGTCACTTGAAAGCGACGAAGAATCCTCGCCCGAATCTTAAAATAATTATACAGTCGCTCGCCTAAAACGACATCTATCCATTTTACTTTATGGTCGTGAAAACAGAAAGTCTAAAAAGAATTAAAATTTAAACCGCTAGTTGATTCAGATTCGTCAAAACTGTATTCAATTGGAGATTCAGAACATCGTATATCCAATTCACTATCCAAGTATGCAGCTGGAGTCAAAGAGACTGTTATACTGCTAGTAGACAATTCTTCACATTGTTGCTGAGAGTCATTACCATCCAATATTGTAGTCTTAGGTCTCCGTCTTTTTTCTAAAAGAACCATTTCAAATCGATATTACAAAATGTTACAAACTTTCGTAATCATAAGAACCCTGTACTCTTTGTTTTCGACAAGCAGCTTGCGCTCTTGTTCCCTCCTGAATACTACGTTGTAGTGAAAGAACATTGCTTTGTTTTTGAAATAGCTGCATTGATGCATTCTAAAAGCCAATATAAAATTTCGGTAAAATAAATACTTACACATTCAACATCGTATTGCTTTCTATCAGGCCAAATCTAAATAATATTTAGAAATTGCGTTATAGAAATCATCAAAACCTTGCTTATCAAAAAATCGAAATTCGGATCGGGACGAAGTGAACGTTTGGAAACTATCTTCTTACGACATGTTGGGCACTCTTTGTTACCTCTCATCAAAGCAGTGGTGATGCACTCTGAGCAAAATCTATGCAGACATTCCTTTGTAGTCATTGTGCAGGTTAATAAATCTAAACAAATTGGACAACAGAGTTCTGCCGACAAAGTCCTCGAAGTAATTTTAATCTTTGTATCATCAGTAATCAGCTTATGCGGCCTTCGAACCTAATTTATTGAAGATATAGCAAAAATAAAGTTAAAAACCTTGTCATATTTACTCAAATCCAGAGTCTTTCCACCAGTAACTGTTTCAGTAGGATTTGGTCCAGGAATTCCATTGTTAGAGAGTGTATGACGCTGCATATGTATGTATTTACCAGTCTTCGACTAGAACCAAGGAAACAATCCGAATAAGGATTTTTTCGTCAGTACTCAACTGGCCCGAAACGCGATTAAGCCGTTTCAGAGTTGCAATTCGGAGTTTGTGAATTGTCGTCCGGAATTGTTGCATCCGCACGTGCGTATTCGCAATTATCGTAACACCAAGGGTTGGATTTTTCTGCCCGGCGGCAATTTTTATGTTTTATTGTCCTTTGGGCTAAGGTTTTTATTTTGCTGATTTCATTAAATTTTTAATTAAGAGTTGAAACTTTAAGATGAATGGAGTCCGTCAAGAAAATGATTCTCTCGAAGAGCTTGTTCGACAGTTGAAATTATCATTTTTAGCACTCGACTCGGAAAATAAAAACGATGAAATCAAGCGAAATGATAATTTAGAGAATAGTATTATTTTGTCTTCACAAGTAAATTCAAATTATTTTATCAACAATCTGTCAGAAATTGCATCAGAATTTCTACCAGAAATTAGCATTTCAAAAAACAATTGTAAAGAAAACACAGTGAAACGTAAAATTCGCCGAAGAAAACAACGGATTACAAATGTTTTTTCTGCTTACATGTATTAAATTATTTTAAATTTGTAGAATCCTGTCAATAATTTTTGTGAACATGCCCAACCAAGCAATAAACCTGAGAATCTGAGGCAGCCGGATAAATTCTTGATAAGATTCAGGAACTCGAGACTACTTGTTGAATTTATCCACGTATGCTTAATATTTTTTTATTAGTTTCTGTTTGCTTAAAGATATCTTGATTAGCCAAGAAAATTTTTCAAAAAGTGCAATAGACAATTTAATTATCTGTCTGGAATGTTTACGTTTTCTTAAGATCAATTCTAGGAAAAACTAATCGATTACTGATATTCGTCAATTTTGTTTTAGGGCAACTTTTCTGATCATTCGACTAGAAATGTTTGCGGACAGCACGCTCATGGATACTCACAAATTAATGCTAATTATGCAATTTCACGTCTTACTAGAAGAGATCTACTTAGAACTGAAAATACACTCTACAGCAAACCAACGTCCAATTTAAGGCAGGTTTATAGAATTATTGGTAAAAGTTTTTTGTTGCGCTTCAGTAATTCCTTAAAACATTCAGATGGTCAGAGGAATGTATTTGCCGAAAATGTATTTCTGTTCCCTCACTCAACATTTCCAGTACTAATCCACGTCATTTTGTATTTGAAAGCAATGGTTTAACTAATACCGAAGCAGAAATGGACTGTAATCTTCGTATTCTCGCGGAGTTATGGGATTTTGACATGATTAAAGAAGCAAACATGGAACTATACACCCTTGGAAGAAAAGTTTAAGAGATAATTTAGCATTTTTTTATCATCTAATTTTTAAAGGAATTGTTAGATCCAACAAGAAAATTAAATCTTAAATTATTTGCATGGTTGGAGGTTAAATTGTTTATTTATTTACACCTTAATTTACCTATTTTACAGGCTTCAACTGATACATGGGTTAGCAAAATGAATGAAATTGAAGAGTATCAAGGATTGGAAGGATTGATTTTTGAGAAAAATCTTTTTCTAAATTAAATCAATATTTATTGGATTATTTTATGAAAAGTTTGATCATTTCGAATTTCTATTGGCAATAAATTCATATCTTTCACTGATTGGTATGCTTATATAATCAAATAGTTTAGTTATTATATTTGTTGTTAATCTATCCTTAATTTATCCTTTTGCTCTGGTTGCTTCTGTCATTTTTTCGCATTCTTCAATTCTTTCAGTTGCTTCTTTACAAAATTTTGTTCTTATCCATTCTGCTGTTTTAGCTTGGCATTCTTCCATACTTTTTTCAGGGTTGAATCGAAAAAGAAGTGATAATTTTCGATTAGAAAATCCATAAGCATATACGAAAAGAAAGCGCAGGGCGATCAAAGACCAGTTTTGGAGTTTGGGGTCTTTCCCTCTCAACCAATTTGCCCATTCTGCAAAGTAGATACTCAAAAAAGTTGACCAGCACCATTGACTAGAGCCCATTTTCAGACCCAGAGAGTGGACAAATGGTGCAATAAACTTAAGTTTGCCGAAATTGAATTGAGATTAATGTAAAAATTTTTTAATTGACTAATTATTTTTAGACATTTTAACATCCTAGTTAATTACATTGCTATTCAAGATTAACTTGACTTGGAGAATAAGCAACCTTATTAAACTTGGTGCACTCTGTTTCATCCATGCAATAAAAGTATTCGCTTGAAACCCGTATTGCCGATTCTTCTAAGAGAAGTATGCCAATGCATTCCTCCACAATTTGCATCAAATGTCCAACATATATCTTCGGTAAAAAACAGTAACTATCATGGCATAACCACTTACAAATTGATGCATTCCATTCGAGTGGCCTTCCAATGTGGGAATTGCACCGCCATACTTAGCTGCTATCCTTTGCAATGCTTTCGGTAATTTCAACTCGCCTTCGCCATAAATGTGAACAGGCCTGAGGAAAACGGCGTGAAATATTTTCCCTAGATTTGTATAAAATATTGTAGTAATGATAAAGAATTGTAAACCATTTGAAAGTGATTTTCCACACCGTTGTCTCCCTTCTAATTCAGCCTTTGCGCGACTTTCCCCATATTTTCCCAGGATAAATTTGTTTGGCAATGAGCAATGAATTGCTTCCGATGTGCCAAAATTGTCGCCTTTAGATATATCAAGTTAATTGAAACCAAATTCTAAAGTAGTACATATTTTGTGAAAAGCTCACCGAAAGGTAGATTTGCATACGCATCTAAAAAGAGCTAAAATATGCGACAAATATAATATTTACCGCCTATGTAAATAAGTCTTGGAACCGACAATTTGAAAATCGTATCCAACATCGATCTTGTTGCTGAAGAAATTTGTTATTAATTAATTGTTCAATAATACCTAGAAGATTATCTCTGATGTATTCATCATCCAATAGTCTTTGATCTCCTACTTGAAGCAATTCCAACGATTTTCTGGCCAGATGAAAAACCAAGTCAACCCCGTATAAAGCTTTTTCCAGCATTGTAGCGTCTAAAAGATCCAGTCTATAATGTACTAGTCTGGGGGAATTTTTCTCATTAGTTGAAAGCAATTCTAGGCCTTCCAATTGTTTGAAAGGCTTTCTGTCGATGGTTCTGATTTCTTTAATGTCTGTGCGGTATTGCAGGCGATAAATTAGATGCGCAGCTAGAAACCCGCTTCCACCAGTTATTGCGATAGTGATCATGACTTGTATCCACCTAAGTTTTGATTTTTTGGTTCAGCTGTTCTACAAATATTTTAGGAACAAATTTGATTTAGAGTAAAATTTAAAAAAACTATTTCAATAAACTTGGTTTATTGAAATTGCGAATGACTAGTAATTTATTTTTTGTTATGCGCGTCATACATTATATAAGTCCAAATATGTTATCTATGTAAGAATCTCGCGAAATAAAATTTATTTTGCTTTAAATCCAATTATGTACATAGTACGTATGCTGCATAACTGAAAATACGCAACGGGAATGAATAAAAATCGATAGTAAAATCATGATGGAGAGAAAATTAGGGCAAGAGTGGGAAACGGATTAATTAGCACTTTAGTGTGTACCAATTACATCAATAACTGCATAAATATAAGATATTCTTAAAAATATCATTTCAATGTCGATCAAATGTGGAAAAGTATTAAGCGTTTAAAAAATGAGGTGGCAAAGATCGAAAAAATTTCGATTAAGTTCTGAAAAATATAAAGATCATCTCTTCACATCCTGCTCATTTTTGCTACTGATGCACACAACTGTGCATGGCTGATCCGGCACCTATTTATTTTGTTAGTTGTATGAATTTAAAAAATTTCCAAACCATCCGCAACTTTGTCTGCAGTTTTCAGCCATCCATTGTCGTCTACTTGAGCATTCACCCCGTGAATGCCAATATTTACAAGAAAAGTGGTGATCTTGGCATCCTATTCAAATTTAGAGAATTATTTCAACCAAAAACAGAACTCGCCTTTAGACTCAACTACTGATGCGCATTGTCGACATGCTCTTCGACAATATTTAAGCATAAAGGACGGGTTAGCTTCACATTCACCTAAACGGCCCCAGGCTGAGCAGCAAGGATCATCGTTGAAACATCCGGTCGAAGTAGCATTTATAAAACGACCTTTTATTGCACTAGAAGTTGTTTGATGCTGACGTAGAACAAGGCGTTGTTGAGTACGGGGTTTAACACCAATCGCATTTTGAAAAGTTTCGGCAAATGAATGACCGTCACTATGGGACAAACTATTTGATTGTGGCAACTTGAAATACTGGATATAGTCAGATAATTTATAAGGAAAACCCGAATTTGTGGAGGTGGTGATCCATGTATACAAATACCTGCTTGACAAACTCCACCCCAGCAGATATTAAAGCCGTCAAAACCAGTGCAAAGTCCGCCAATCTTCACCTTTTTATGTGATTTTAAATAAGCTAATATTATGATTTATCATAAATATGTAGTAGTGACATAATTGTCCGATGTATTTATTAATATAAACCTTAGAAACACAATGTGGAGCATTCCCTGAATTAAAGCCGTTTATCATTTATATATAGATGGATCAAAAAGAGATACAATTTTCTAAAAATTACCACGCGTGTCACAAAACAAATATGGCGATGCGCAGTCAGGATTCTAGCGAATAAAAAATTTCTCAAATCTTATTTTAGGCTGAAACTTGTTGGCTGCAACTCGGTCTCCTTGCATATTTATAGAGAGAATCTGTATAAGCGTTAGAAAGACCCTCTCGATTGGTGAGATCAAAAGGCCTCATCTGTGAATTAGCAAAATGTTGTTGATTTGAACATTGGATCAGATCAGGCGGATATTCTTGCTCTCTAGACCAACGTGACTGAAAATTCCTATCCAAATATTACATTCAATTAAATTTCCGCATTTCTATCCAGTCTATTAATTTTAATACTTTTAACCTTAATTTTCCATCCTTATAATCTATTAATATTAAAAAAATATGTATTAATGAAAAGGATACCTGACGCATCTGACGCCACAGCTCCCAAATCAGGTCGACAAAAGAATCCGAAAATATAAAAATAAGTGCTTCCTCCGAAGTTTTAGATTTCGCTTGAAAGTATAGGTAAATTCTATTTCTTACGGTGAAAGTAAAAGACCGGATCATTTGCGCCTATAATAAGCGACGATAATAATTTTGTTATTGATTGCTAATCAACTAACTTCTAGTTGGTGGTTTCATATCGCCACCGATAAAAAGATGGACTTGTGAATGTAAATACTCAAGAGCACCAAAGTTCGGTTGATAGGGACAATCTGACATGAGTATTAATTTGAGTTAATTTGTTAGTTTAAAAATTGCTAAATCGCGATTCCTTTTACACAATTAAGGAATCACTTTTAATTTCTCCCTACCTTGACGAGGCGCTGTATATGCTAGGACCTTAAATAGATTAAAATTCGTTTCTCTTTGAATTAGTTCTTTTTAATTCCAATAATAAGTTTATATTATTTTTAGTTTATTAAAATAACCTGTTCAATTTGTGTTTGTTCAAAGACTATATTCAAGTCCGCCTCCCTGAGCATTCTTCCTTCGGTACCTAATTGCCTACAAATAAAAAGCTTCTAATTATTTTTTCTCATTTAAAATAATTAAAAACTACCTCAAAATATGTGGCCGCCCCTCCAATGTTGTCCAACCATTAGCAAAGGGCCCATTTATGACGTTACCTTGATCATCTGTTTCACCAAAGAATAACTGAGAAAACAATATCGAGTCGCTTGGTCTTGGTAGATGTGAGTCAAGCACGGAATCCCAGTAAGGAAGCGATATGGATGGATCAATAAGACGGAGTGCAATTTCAAAGCGTTTGATAAACTCTCGATGAAAAGGAAGAAAGCCAGGACCAGAATGGGCACCTGATGATGTACTCACCTTTAGAGTTAAGAGCGTAATGACAAATTTTTTAATTTTCATATTACTTGTCTGTGTTGATCATTAAACCGCCCAAATTCTCCATTTCCCTTTAGTGTGTTTAGTGCTCGTTGAAAACTGAAATTTAATATTAAAAGAAAATTTAAATGCTGACAGCTGGATCTCTTCCATTGAATAGATTATTTCTAAAATACCTTAGCATCTCATCATTGCTTAACATTCTGATCTCACGTCTTAAGGTCATTCTAAAAGAATTTTGATTTTAAACTATGTATATCACTGAAAGGTTTAAGTAACCTAAGTGGTTGGCCTCCAGACAATGTACACTGATTTGGACCTTGAATCCCCTGAAATTGTACGAGGAAGGTTTCTACTTAAATTGATTAGCACCCGAAAATAGGGGCATAAGCAATCTAGGTCCATACATCCATAGGCCGTTGGTGAGTAGCGTTGTGGTAAAGGAGGTGATAAATCCGGCTGTTCTGGAACTCCTGGAGCATTTACAATTGTGTTTGCCTGCTGTTGTTGCTCGTTGGCTAAGAAGCGTCTTGCACCCTGGTCCCAGTGCTGGAGCATTCCACATATCTGACGGAACGCTTGGATATAATCAAATTTACTGACAGATTTCCTACAAAATCTAATATCGTAAGACTAACCATCAGCCGGTGCTTGTGAGCAGTCCCACGGTGCCTGTTGAGTGTAAAGTCGCATAGGAAGATAAAGTATGAATGATAATAATAGTGAAAAATGTAAAATTGACAATGGAAAATAATAAAAAGGAACCATTTTTTAATTTAAATTTTCTTTTATTTAAATATTAAATGAATCAAAGAATAAAAAAGATGATTGGAAACAGAGGCTTCCGAATGATTTGTAAAAGAGAAATTGAGAATGAATAAGAATGATTTGGATAGGAGGGAAAGGTGACGAGAAAAAAAAACAAAATGAGAACAGGAATAGGCGTTCTCCGAGGTTGGCCAAATTAAAGTCAAAAAAGTCAATGGCAATTTTCTAATTCTAAAACTTTTAAAAGAGCTATTATTTGCAAAGTAAAGGAAGAGTTTAATGTGTGGAGTCTCGACATTTTTCCTTTTACCCTATTCCTCATTTCAAGGTTTTCAGGTTTACGAGGACTTTTTTTGTAATTTTACAAAATTTAACAGCATCGCCTTTTACTTCCCTCTTACCTCTCCAAAACAATTTATTTACTCTTGCGAGTTTGTTTTGCAAAATGCGTAAAAAACGAATAAAAATTTGATAAAAATCGAGAACAAAAGTAAATTGTTTTTCATCTTAACCCCATTTACAATTGTTAATTGGGCGTGTGACGAAATGAAAAAAGGAAGGAAAATGTTTGCTTACAAAAAATACAGATCCAAGGAAAAGCAAAGGTAATCGCCCCAGGCATGCAGGTAATGAGCACAGCACTAGACCCAGAATAACATCTCTTTATTCTATTGACCTTAAGTGAATCTTCAGTTTAAACAATTTAAAAATATTTATTAGAAAACTAATATTTCAAAAAAATCGGACAGCTGCATAAATGCATAAAATAGCTGTATAAAAATTATTATTTCTTTAAAGGTGGTTGTCCATTGAAGAAACGTTCAAAACCGTTTGCAACACCTGCCTCAGCACTTAACGCAGTTTGTACTGGTTGAAAATACCTTATTTGTAATTAGTTGGGGGATTAAATTAAAAATGAACCAAGGCATTGCTGATAAAGAAGGATAACCAATAACATTTTGCTGGCCAACAATGGGCGATAAAGTAGGGGAATTTGTAGCTGTAAATCCTATCTTGGATTGCTGACTGCCACTAAAGTCTCTATTTGATTGTATAGCAACCAATTTCGAAGGTGATGATTCAGCACACCTTTGACAAGCGCAAAAACATTGTCCATTAACAATACTACCTTTAATAATCACAAATTTAAGTTTATAGGCTTGTATTGGTCTCGCCTTGGGTTAGAACAGCACCATTTGAAGGTAAGCTCATTGCTTCCTCGCTTTGAAATGAAGTATCAGGTAATGGTGGGAAATTTGTTGTATCAACTTAATTTTTGAAGAAATATTAGTAATTCCTTATACAGTACGCTATGGCGCTTTAGAGTAATTTTTGACTGATTTTGGCGTGTTTTAGTAGTTTGAGATATAGGTTTGAGAAATTTTGACCCATATCCTTGTTCCCTAGAACAAACTTGGTCTAAGACGAGGTGATGAAACGGTCTGCGATGGGCTGCTGAAACTCAAACTAACTAATGCAGCATAGAGTTGAGCAACTGGAGAATGCTGTACACATTCAAGTATTGCCTTTAATTTAAAAATGTCATTTAGATTGTATTTTTATTCAAGAAATTCCATGCCGATTGCATTCGAGCATCTACTGCCTGACGGGCGTTGCATATACAAGATCGCATTTTTGAGGAGGCCTTCATTTGGCAAGTAGCCTCAGATTGAAGTCGAGTACTGATATTTTAGATATTAATCTGGATTATGAAAATAAAAACTTCTGAATGCAGGAGTGTAGAGTTCTGTCCAGGCTGGACATCTAAATAAGAAAATTATTTGCAATAATCATAGAAAATTATTGTAGCTCATTGCTAAGATCTAGTATGCATAAATATTTTTTGTTTAAAACTGTTTCATAAAAATGTTTCTAAAAAATTGAAGAGTAAAAATACCAATGTGCGATATTGTGGATCATAATCAAGGGCCCGCTTAAAGCAAGCCAATTCTGAGACATCAAGTATACAAGCAGTAGTTAGATTGTTGCTGTAAAAGTAAGGATATTAGATAAGTAAATTTTATAGAATTAATCAAGAATATGACAGCTGATTGGCAGCCATCTGTTGCGGGGCAATTCGACTTATCCCTCCACCAAATACACGATTGTTGCCATCCTTAAATTTGAGATAGTAATTTTCGATGGGATGAGAAGATTCACGTTGCCTTGAAATTGCAAGTGCTTTGCGGTATCGTCTCTTTCTCTTTCCTATCTAGCTCACCATTGGGCAAGCCCCACAATCGATCTGCCAACTCGATTCCGAATATGGCTCCGATCAATTGTGAAGAATCTTCAAAGATAATCATCTATTTATATTTGAATAATTCATACCACTAGTTGTTGTGTTTATTTCCGCAGGCTCTGCTGTTTTTCCACCGTTATCAAAGCATTGTTCCACTTCAGAATGAAAATCATTGGCGGCAGTGGAAAAATCATTTTTAACTGAAATTCATGATTTTAGTTTTACATAACACTGATTCATCGTTTTTTGTTTAATCTAATTATTAAATTAAAGTTACTCTGATTTTGTGACACATCAACAAATGGTCCGCGCACTGCTTGAAGTGACTTAGCAAAGCAATCGTCAAATGCCACCTTTTCATGGATACAACTTTAAAGTTCGGAAAATTTTCGACATTCTCATTTCTAAATTAAAACCAAGGACTATACCCTTTGGGAAAACAACTGCGGAATGCACTGTTTTTCAAGTCGTTCAATTGTCGCTCAAACTCTTCCACTAAAAGACCACACCTTTCAATTTTTTAGTTAAAAAAATAATTTTTAATTGGAAAAAATTAACCTTTGGAGTTGATCTGCACAAGGCGAGTTGAGTGATGATATACCAGTGAAAATACTTAGGAAAACAAACAATATAAACATCATAACTAAAACTTTACTATTTAAAGCTTATCATAGAATGGAGATGGATAAGTTAAACGAGTTTAAAATCACTGCGTAAATATAATAAACTCATTATGTTAATTTTTCAAAATAATAAAATCACAACTACGTTTAAATAAGTGAATAAACCCATTAAATGTTCGTTCTTTCCCTCTGGAATTGCTTCCTATTGAACAAATCGCTTCTTTCACGTCACTCACTTCTACGCTGAAAACTGAAGATGTTCTCTACTATTCATAACTAAAGTGTCCCCTTCGGGCGCACACTCACCTCGTTTTAAATTAAAGAAAATCACTTGTTTACTATCAAATTGTTGAGAGAAAGAATGTGAAATTCATTAGAAGTGTTATTCTAAAAGGACAGTGTGAGGGGAAATCGTTTTGTATACTCTGAATCGTCCACTTTTTGATATTAGCTGACACTGAATTGTCCTTTACTGGATGGATGACACCTCAGTCTCGTATTTCAGTCTTGGGCCATATTTTGCGCTGCAGTTTTTAATTCCTAAACCTTTTTTATGTCAATTTTATCTAGGAAGATTGATTTGATCAGATGATTATCTCAAAAATCAATCTTGATAAAATTATTTCCACCTCCACAGCTTTGTTTCATCAACTTTCTATAACTACGTTATGTGCGAAATAATTATTACTTTTTAGGCTTAAAAATGGCAATATATGAGAAAATATTTAATTTATTTAAACTCCATATTAATGATGATTGCGACAAAGATACTACACGGAAATTGCTTTCGCCAATACTTATGTTTATGGATCTTTATGAAAAAGAACGAACCGCAGATCTTATACATGAAATTTTTCAACAGGCCTGTGTTGAGTTTCAGGTTAATTTTCTGAGTACAGAAGTTATTTACAACTTGTTGTTTTATTTGGCCTAGATTACCTAAATTAGTTTGTGGTTCTTTTAACGGGGAACGTTATGTTTTAAAATAAGCGACCTTTTCTGTATTAGATTTCCTGGTAATCTTCCGCTTTACTGGTCCCTAGAAAAAATGTGGTAGAAGTACTTTTTCGATATTTTTGAGGTCTGCCAGTAGGTAATCGAGTGTGCTGAGTCCGAAAATGGGCTTAGAATCTGTTTATTTCGAACCCGGACCCGAATTAGACCAAGTCGAATTCGGGGTAAGAATTCGAAACTATTAGGTATCACTATTCTGACGCGTCTCTTCAAGCTGTGTCGAATGATATCAAAATTATTGTGTTTCGACAACTTTAGACTGAGTTATAATCAATTAAATACACGCTTGGTTAGACTTCCGTATATAAATCAGACACCATAACTTAATCTAAAGATGTCGAAACGTAATAATTTTGATACCAATCGACTCAGCTCGACGAGACTAGTCCGATTAGACATAAAATTTGAAATTTCGAATTTTTACCCCATGCTTGACATGGTCGGATTCGGGTCCGGGGTTCGAAATCAACAAATTCTAAGCTCAGATTCGGACTCAGCAAGCTCGATTACCTACTGGCATGCCTCAAAAATGTCGAACTAGCACTTTTTCCTGCTTTTTTTCTAGGGACCAGTAAAGCGGAAGATTACCGATTTCCTTACCTTTTTTGATACATTCTATATAATATTTAAAATTTTCAGTGGTTCTACTGGACTTCGGTATGATGTTGCTTTTTCGTTTATGTTATACATTAATTTTCAGGACGAGTATTATGGCGGAGTCGGCGAGTGGAGGGAATTTCCACCGGTTTGCATTTCGCAGCTTAACAAGGCTGTTCGTGAGAAAAAGACTAGTGTTCAGGTTTTTACTAATATTGATTCTCTTATCAATAAACATTCAATTTTGCGTTAAGCTTTTCAAAAATTTTTACTTTTAGATTGTTCTTTCACAACGTCACTATGTAGTTGACTTCAATGAGATGACAAAAAGGCTTATTCAAGATAATGTGGTCTCTACTCATTATGGTCAATATTCGTCTCCTGTTTTTGCAAAAGTTAAAGTGATTGATGAATTTAACATGGAAGAATTCAGACATCGTATCAATGAGCTGACTGAAAAAGAAGAGAGGCATTGTGTCATTGTTAGAGGACTTCTTAAATTACTCCGGTCAAGTGATGTAACACCACTGGAAAGCGAACTGCTTTGTTCTGCTCTCACCTTACTTCTGCGATTAATAACAAATAGGAATATGGTTGCCGATTTTATTGAGGTTTTTGTTTTGGCTAGGTTTTTAATAAATATTTTTCAATAGAATGACGGAATCCAAATTATGATGCAAGTGCGATGTCTACTGGCATTGGACGGGAAGATATCTCCTGCTATGTTGAACACAACTATCTTGCTCATTTTGCGAAATTGTATCGATTTTGATGATATTGCGTTGAAGAATGCATTTGACCAGATGCTTATTAACACTTGCAATGGGCTCCCGATTTCGCTTCTTGAGGAAAAATCTCGCCGCCATGGTAATTCAAAACATTAATACAGGGGCGTAGCTAAGTGGGCTTCTGGGGATATAGCCCCTCTGAAATCGACCACCTTGCTACGTCCTTGATTGATGCATACATACCTCTATTATCTTTTAAATGATTTTAGGTTTGCGTGCTAAACGGTACAAATCAGATCCTAAGGTATTCTTACTAAATTAATTTTATCTATTTCAATATTTAATTTAAGCGAGTTTTTCGATTAATTGCTCCAATGGCTGCTATCTATCCGTCAATTTTTGTTGAACAAATTAAAGATAAATTAGAAATAAAGAAAGACGAATTAAAAATCAAGGATAAGACTGATGTAAAACAGGACTCGGACTCTTCTCTAGATGCAACTAACCTTAAAGAAGTTTTTATTAAATTAGTAATAAATATGCAAAAATTATATTCAGGTTCTCCGAGCAACTATAGAACAATTGCAACGCTCTGTCAACAAAGATACTTTTAAGGAAAACTCTGTTTTTCATGCGTCTAATTTACTTAAATTCATTGCTGAAATTGTTCGTAGTTACCCTCACGCTTCTTCTATTTTTGTAAATATGGTTTTGGATGGACAAAATGTTGTTACTTGGTTAATCGACAAATTTCTCCTTAATTACAACAAAGAAAATAAGGATTCTCAAGAGGTAGTTTTTTCAACAAAAGCTGTCCTTTCTAGTTTGATTGGTGACCATTCGACTTCAAATGTAGTTGATCGTGTGGTTGAAGGTATTATTTCTAACAATGCGTTTTAAATGCTTTTATTTTAGATATCAAAAATTTACTCTTTGCAAATATAGAGGAATATAATAAGGCAACTTTTCAAGTTATTTCTCTTTCTGACAAGACAAAATTGGCTACTAACTTTGCCGACCAGTTGATTGTTATTACGCAACTATTAATTCTTTTACGTGATGCTGCTAGCCAGGTTTTTCGAAGGTCCTATTATGTTTTAAACTAATTTTTAGGGTAGCACCTTATCTCCAGGTGATTCGACAAAGCAAATGGTTTTACTAGTGAAAAGCATGTCCAAAAATAATCTTTTTAATATTCTTGTCAAATCCATATGGAATTTACCGGTAAATTATTTAAACTTTTGTTTTACCGATTTATTTTCAGTTTCATGAACCTCAAGGTTTTGAAGCTGTGAACACATTGCTTAAATTATTTGAGAGCGTAGTTGCAAAGGATATGAATCGCTTTACTTTTTCTCGGAACAATACAAACAGAGAAGAGCCGAGACAGCATATAACAAATAGAAATACTGGTGATGAGCAACAACATCAAGATGATCCCAACCAACCTAGTATGGATATTGGTGTCGGAGAAAATGCTAATTTAGACGAAAGTGAGCATAATCCTGAAGAGAGAAGCGAGAGAATTGCTGACCTTGATTCTATATTTACTATTTCAACAGCTAACCGCGTCAGGCCAGAGGAAGAAGCGGACGAAGACGACGGTAACCATCCAAATTTGGTGGAAGATAATGATCATGAAGATGAAGCTAGCTCTACACAATCGGATGAAGAAGACGATATGGACACTGCTGAGGAGATGGATGCAACTCAAGCAGATGCTGCTGCAGAGGAAGAGGCTGCTGAAGAGGACATGGAGGAGGACGATGATGAACGTAACTCTGAAAATATGGTGGGGGACGAAGGAACTGCTGAACGTGTTAACAATCAGAATTTTGGTGTTGATGCTCCTGATGAGATTGATGACGATGATGAAGAGGATGAGGATGAAGAATGGGATGATGAAGGTGGCAATAATGATGAGACACTTGTTGAGTTTGAAGTTAGTTTTTTTCATTATTCAAGTTAGTCTTATTTTTATTTTTTGCATTTTCTTTATTACTCTGAACTTTTATTTCTAGGTTTAAGTTAGTTTTATTATTTGATTATAATTTATTAGGATGCAATGGCCGATTACTTGGACATGGTTGATTTTTCTGATATCTCCAATGAATTAAATTCAATGAGACAATCGATACATCGGCTCAATGTCGAGTTCAGCAATGCTTTTGCTTCACAACAATTCCAACAAGTTGAACGAACTTATCAAGTTTTAGTTTAAATATGTTTATACTTGCTTAATTTTAAGGCATTGATGCAACAAATTCCTCGTCATTTCCGTGCTCTTATTAGTCATCCACGGGGGAATGGTGCTGTTTTGCGCATCAGAAATCATGGAGCTCAAAATCTGACTCGAGGCAACCAAAATCTAACAACCCCAATTAGAATTGGCATTGCGAGGGGTCTTGGAGGAGAACAACTTTTCGGTCAATTGATGTCTGCCCAGGTATTTATAAGTTATAAAATAAATAATCTTATATTTATCAGACTGGATGGCCACCTACTGTCGTGAATGGTGGAGGAGATCCAAGTTCAAATGGCCAAACTGCTATAATGACGCCCTATTTTGTTGATAGGCACGTTTTTTGAATAATTAGTCAATTAAATTCATTTTCAAGACTCTTGGACCAGTGTCGTATTCTTGATCCCCATTCTATGTTTATAATTGGTGTTCTTATTGCCTCACATGTTGCTAATGTTATTTGCGTTAAAGATGCCCCTGAAGAGAAAAATCTTGATTCAAATGAATGTGAAAAGTCTGGGGATGTTTCATCGGAGAAGCAACAGCAGCCCTCAGCCGTAGCAGAGCATGATGAACAAGAGTCTGGTACCGAGGATCAACCCATGCAGCAAATTGATGAGGGTTTACGACAGGAAGGAAATGAGGAACAAATAACACCTCAAAACAGCGAATTAATTCATGGAGAAGATGAACAAAATAATGAATTAGCTTCTCCGGAACAAGAAGCTGGGCAAATTGAACCACCGCAACAAGCAACTGGGACTACTGATGAGAATGCCACTGCTGGTGTGCCAGAGGGTGTAGGTCAGTTTAAAAATTTTTTAAATAGAATAAAAATTCGAATGAATTTAAACTTAGATCCAGCATTTTTGGCTGCTCTTCCAGAAGAAATGCGGCAAGAAGTTATTCGCGACCATCTTATCCAACAACAAATGAATGCAGCCACTAATACACAAGTAGAAGCAGAAAATGATTTACCTCCTGAAAGATTGGCTGCAATAATAGGGATGGAAGTGCCGGAAGGTTTTATTTTTGTGCAAGACTTATTATTCTACAAATTTATATTGAACAAATTTTATCTTTAAGGAATGGATCCGGCTTTCTTGGCTGCTTTGCCAGAAGACATTTTCCAAGAAGTTGTTCGTGACCACCAGCGTCAACAGGAACTTGCTCGACAACGCCGTGCCCAAGTGGATGCTCAAAATAATTTGCGACCTCGGATTCGCCATCATCACCATCATCATAGACACTTTGCAATGCCTCATCTTTTTCAAACTCGAGGATTAATGCGTTCGAGTACATCTAATTCACATACAAATCCTCAACAAATAGCTGTGATGACACAGTCAAATGGGAGTGCTCTTCAACTTTTTGATAGTCAATCAATTTGTACTCTACTACTTCTCTATTTATTGGATCAGGACAAATTTAATATTGTCCGCTTACAAGTAAGATTTTTCCAAATTACATATTTTTAAATTTTTAAGAAATTATTTTTCTAATTTTAGAAATTATTGCGTAGCATATGTTTGCATCCTGGTTCTTGCGATTTTACTATTTGGGCGCTTCTTTCAATGTTGGATGGTTTACAACATTTTAGTCAAATTGAATGCGTGCAAAGTGAAAAATCTAATATTGGTTGGATAAATAATTTGCGATCCGGTGCATCTTTGGATAAAAATGAACGTCTTATTCGAATTACACCTCTTTCCGGTAATTTATAATTTTTAAACTGATAATTTTATAATATTTAGTTCAAATTAATCAGCAAGTCAGAACACAAGCTTCTCATCATGTTGTTGACACGCTCAGCCATCTGGCGCAGCGCTTCGCCAATCATTTTATGCCAAAATCTGTGCGTGGTAGTGAGAGTGATGCAAATAAACTAGAAGTGCCACCTAATATATCAATTTTCTGGAATATTTTAAGAAGGTATTTTAAATTATTATACATTTTAAATATCGAATAGAATATATCGAGTATTTTCAGTATTTATTTCATTTAACTTTTCTAATGAGAACATTAATTTTTAGCATTAATGCTTCCAATCCTGAACAAATGCTTCGAAGTGGAACAAAGCCAGAAATTTTTTCCGAACTTGCTGCTGAAACACTTGAAGCATCTCCTTTTGCATTTGTTGTTAAATTCGTTCATTCACAGATGCCAAATGTTGCTGACAAAGTAATTCGAATAACATCCTTGGTTAGTATATTTTTATCATTTTGTCTTTTTAATTTTGGTTAATAACTTTAATAGCTCTCACAACGATTGCCAGGAAATTTTTGTGAAAAGGTTCCCGAGGAAACCAGAAAATGGATTGGACAGGAAATGAATGCTCTCACTAATGTAATTTATCATTTTTATTGAGTAATTTAATTTAACAATTCCTGTTATAGATTCTCTTGGAAAGACCAACGAATGAAGCACTTCGCGATGGTCGTGCTCTAATTGCGCAATTACTCAGTGTTTTTCCTGATGAGAAAGCTTCTATTATGGAAACTCTTCATGAATGTATTCTTAAAAGTGGTGATCAGCTTCGTGAACAGTTGGGCGTTTTGCAAAATCAAATGAACGAGGTAAATAAATCGAAAAATGTTGTGGATTAGGTATTCGTTATATAAAAAAAGACTCGATTTCACCCCTTAAGAACTTTGACTTTATTTAAGATAGCCGTTCCTTATAAATAAATGCGTTATATTTCTAATAAATCCCGATTTTAAGTCAAGTTAACGCATGTATTTATTGTGTGATAGTCACACCATGTTTTGTTTTATTTATTTTGAATTCATTTCTATAAAAACTATTTTTTGTTTATTTAAGTAAGAAGATTTTTGTAACTTTTAGTGAGTCATTAATTTCTAGGTGTATAAGGGACGAGAAGCTTGTTATTGATTAATTATTTAGTTTTTTTTAATTTAGAACAAAAAGTATTTAATAATTCCTTAAATATTCTTGGTGCAAGTTTTTGTTTACGTTGAGAAACGTGAAGTCTATAAATTTTAGGGTTTTGTATTTAAATCACTAAGTTTCATAGGTGTGTGTTTAATTTTCTATTTTGAATTGTAATTCAAAATGGTTAGTCTGTACCTAGGGAATATGAATTTTTACGTCCAAAGATTGCTCATGTTACCCTCCCTCCTTACCTGTCCTTTTTGGAATAATTATCGGCTTTTCTTTTTTCTTATATCTGATCAAATATTCTTTCTTGTATTTAAAAAATTCACGTGGTATTCAGTGAATTTTATTGGTAATGTTATTTCAGCTGTAAAAATTTTTATTTTTATCGACTGTTGGGTTTTTCTTTTATGTAAATCTCATTTTGTCGGTAAACAGATGCACGGCACCACTCTAATACAAAACACGTGGATTTATTACCCGTATTTACTTTGGCAATAACTTTTCCATTTTATTTCAATACGCGAGTTTTTATTTTTTTATTAAAAGCAAAGGTCGAGAATAGATGGGGTAGTCTAAAAAGGGACACAATTTTCATTCATGTTTTTATAAGATGTTACAAACCACACCTTTTAAAAATTTGCTAACTAAACAAGCGTACGTATTTTTTTAGGTATTTACTATCCTTCCTTAAATCTCTTATTAGCTTAATTCCTCTAAAAGTTTAAATGCGCGTCCCATTATTTATTCCTATTGATGATCCGTCTGGAAAAGTGCTTAAACGCACATCTCTCGATCTTACTTGCTTTGGGCCATGTCAGAGGAAGGTTAAAGCTTGTCTTTCTGTTCTTTTCTGTTTGGCTTTACTTTTTATTTGTCTATACTTGGATATCGTTGCCATTCTCTTTTGGGACTCGCTACTTCGTCATTCACCAAATAGAGCACTCCCATTACGTTCACTAAAACGGCAAGGAAAAGGGGAAACAACGATTAAACCGCTAATTACAATAAACAAAACAGTAGAATTGGAAGCTAGAAATCAGCAACTTAGGTAATATTTATGGAACGAAATTATCTACAATTTCTATTTTAGAGAAATCCTCAACAATAGCTTGACTCATTGGTTATCAGACCTGCCCGATGACGGGTGGTGTGAAAGAATGTCCAATGGGTTGTTAAGCGATGAGGAAGCTGAGCGTCTCGCAAGTAAAATAGTTTAGCAAAATATTTAAAAATATTTTTTAGGTTGGAATGTGAATCAAAGCAGTGAACGTTATTTGCCTGATATAAAGAAACAAAATCCAACCGAGATGCCTGAAGCTGGGTTATATTTAAATAATTGTCAATATTTTTTCTTTAATTTAGCTGCAAAAATCTAAAACGACTCTTTCCTTTTCCTGAGGAGCCAGCTACTGAAGAAGAACTTCAATTTCCACTCGCTTATGGGATTCTCGTGTATAAATCTCCACTACAAGTGTTTTTACTAATGAGTGCTATATATCAGGTACCTTGTAAAAATATTTTAAAATCAATGAAGTTAATTTTATAAAGCCTCAAAATGCTTATTGCCTTGCTGTTGATGATCGGGTACTTTCTTTTTCTTTTTTTATTAATATAATTTAAGGCTGATGAGCAATTTAAAAAACAAATGAATCTGTTGATGGACTGTTTCCCAAATATATTTGTTATGGTAGCCTATGATAATTATTATAAATAATATCAGAGTTTAGACTGTTAACAAAGTTGAATGGTGCGAATTTGGAGTTGTTCGTGGTGTTTTTAATTGTTTACGTTATCTAAGCGAGGTACAAACATTTAGATTTTTTATGTCTTTATAAGTGGTGTTCCATTTTCGCCGTCCTTCCGCTTTCTAAAATTGAATTTTCGGCACATCACTGGCTTACATCTATTTATTTATATATATTCTTTTTTTTATTCTAATAGCTTGATCATAAATGGCGTTATTATCAGGTTAATTATTAAACAGTTTCACATGGAAAATTTTACTTAAACTTTAGTACCTGAGCGGAGTTGACCTTCCGTTAAAAACCAATTTGGAGGTGAGTAAATTAAATATTAAAACACATTAAATGATATTTTCAAAGATGGTTAGAATATTCAAAAGACTGAATGGCACAATAAATGCTGAAATATTACCCTTTGAAACTTCTCGAATTGTAGGTTCACAAGTGGTAAGTATTACTCAATTATACAAAAAAACTATTTTTAGTTTATGAAATCTCCATTAACACTTTGGAAGTCAAGTTTATCAGGTTATAAACTATAACTAATAAACGAGGATTTAAATTTTTTTTAAATTTTGAAGCCTTAATGAGCCGGGAAACTGTAAATGCAATAATAAGCAGCAACAAAGTGCGACAACAACTTAATTATCTTAAATTTGGATATTGTTCTGATGAAGTAAGTTTATCTTAAACTCAACTTTATTTTTGAACCTTTTGCTTTTAGGCTTTATGGGGTACGATCGCTGGAAATCCAAAAGGTACTCTTTTGATTGTTAATATGTTATAGTTATTGGAATTTCATTCCGTACCGTATTCCAACCGTAATATCGTAAATCGAGCTCCAAATTTCCAGTGTCACCTAAAAATACATGGAAAATACCGATAAAATGCCCATAATACCGATAAACTAACATTTAACCGTACCGTATGCCGTCGGTAGTACGGTGTACGGTACCGTCTGTCACTAATTATAATATTGTAAATGTTTTTAGAGCTATACATTCCTGGTGGATTTGATGCTAATTATCTTTATGGAAGACTTTTTAAGGAGACGTATCTATCTGATATTAAGAAAAAACAAATACAGCGGCAAAAAGAACAACAACAAAAAGAACAACGAGAGAAAGATAAAAAACAAAAAAATACTTCTCAATCCTCTCTCCTTCCTAAATATAATGCAGCCGAACCTTTTAATCTTTCTACATACTATATATCAAGATTTCAAGTTTGGAGGGATGTGAATCAAATGTCAGGCTCTAAAGAAAGCAGATGCGACGGTATATAAAAAATTTTTTAAAGTTATTCTATCAATTTTATAGGCAAGTTTATTGCAAGTTCTTGTGTCTATGGCATTGGTGATATAGAAAGATTAATAAAAAGACCAGAACTAATTGCACATAAATTGTATTTGGATTTCGAGCCCGCAGGTTGGTTATCTATACCAATTTATGTACTCTTAAATCTATTTTAGCATATTTCTGTCTTTGGAAGCAAATTCACGAAAGGGCTTTAGATTGGCAAACGCAGCAGAGATTTGTAGGATCGGTCTATTCAGAACTACCCTTAGTAAAAATGGCTAGAGGAGCACCTGAAGATGAACTAAAGTTTTACTTTGATTAATAACACTAATGAAATTGAGACTTTCATTAAATTTGTATTTATACTTTATATAAAGATTTTTAATTCTCGTATTGTTGAAATTTAAGAATTTAATGTAAATCTCTTGGCTATGACATTTTGTAGGGATTATTTGGTTACAATATGGTATATTCTTGAGTACATAAATTTGAGTACATAATTCTTGAGTACATAAAAGGATAGTCATGGATACTGTAATGAATTTGACCTTCTGGAAGTGATCTTTTGGAAGTCGTGGATACTGTAATAAATTTGACATTCTGGAGGTGATCTTTTGGAAGCCATAGATACTGTAATAAATTTGACATTCTGGATGTGATCTTTTGGATAGTCATGGATACTGTAATAAATTTGACCTTCTGGAAGTGATCTTTTGGAAGTCGTGGAAATTTGACATTCTGGAGGTGATCTTTTGGAAGCCATAGATACTGTAATAAATTTGACCTTCTGTAAGTGATCTTTTGAATAGTCATGGATACTGTAATGAATTTGACCTTCTGGAAGTGATCTTTTGGATAGTCATGGATACTGTAATAAATTTGACATTCTGGAGGTGATCTTTTGGAAGTCATAGAACCAGTAATAAATTTGATATTATCGAAGCGATCTTTTGGATAGTATGGATACTGTAATGAATTTGACCTTCTGGAAGTGATCTTTTGGAAGTCGTGGATACTTTAATAAATTTGACATTCTGGAGGTGATCTTTTGAAATCGTGGATACTGTAATAAGTCGTGGATACTGTAAAGTGACCATTTGATATTCTGGAAGTGATCTTTTTGGATAGTATGGATACTGTAATGAATTTGACCTTCTGGAAGTGATCTTTTGGAAGTCGCGGATACTGTAATAAATTTGACATTCTGGAGGTGATCTTTTGGAAGTCTTTTGGAAGTCATAGATACTGTAATGAAGTTGACCTTCTGGAAGTGATCTTTTGGAAGTCGTGGATACTGTAATAAATTTGACATTCTGGAGGTGATCTTTTGGAAGCCATAGATACTGTAATAAATTTATATTCTCGAAGCGATCTTTTGGATAGTATGGATACTGTAATGAATTTGGCCTTCTGGAAGTGATCTTATGGAAGTCGCGGATACTGTAATAAATTTGACCTTCTGGAAGTATCTTTTGGAAATCGTGGATACTGTAATAAGTCGTGGATACTGTAAAGTGACCATTTGATATTCTGGAAGTGATCTTTTGGGTAGTCATGGATATTGTAATGAATTTGATATTCTGGAAGTAATCATTTGGAAGTTATAGATACTGCAATAAATTTGACCTTCTGGAAGTGATCTTTTGGATAGTCATGGATACTGTAATAAATTTGACCTTCTGTAAGTGATCTTTTGGAAGTCGTGGAAATTTGACATTATGGAGGTGATCTTTTGGAAGTCGTGGAAATTTGACATTATGGAGGTGATCTTTTGGAAGTCGTGGATACTGTAATAAATTGACATTCTGGAGGTGATCTTTTGGAAGTCGTGGATACTGTAATAAATTTGACATTCTGGAAGTGATCTTTTGGATAGTCATGGGTCTGGAAGTGGCGGTGATCTTGTGGTCTGAAAACTGAAGATTTGTAGCGATCTTATGGGTCATATAAATTTAAAAACATTTATAAAATTAAAAATTCTTTATTTCGCATAAAAAGCAATCAAATATTATCATGTGGGTCGGTGCATAAATGCAGTATAAAATATTATATACCATAAAGCTTGAATTACAGACTTATACTTCCATTCTATTTTAATGTCATATTTTCTGAAAACTAATACGCACAATCAAGAAATTTTTGTGACATTCAATGGAAGTATGTCATTGAAATTCAGTATTTAAGGTATTCATAGCATAAAAACAAAATAGCTAACAAAAAATAAGAAAATTCAATTTAAATCAATCTGGAATTGGATCCATAACAATTCCACCATGCCCAGCTAGATTTGTCGATCCCATAAGATAATGATCAACTTGTCTAGCAGCTTGTCTACCTTCATGTATTGCCCATACTACTAAAGATTGGCCTCTTCGACAATCTCCTGCTGCAAAAACTCTGGCAGCACTTGCATTGTATTTCTCTACCGGTGTTTTTATATTTTGACGATTGTCATAGTCCAATTTAAGTTGATCAATTACTGTCTAAATTTCTCTTTTTTATTAAAAAAATATAAATTCAAACCTTTTCTGGGCCCACAAATCCCATTGCCAAAATACAAAGATCACATTCATGTATCTCTTCAGTTCCCTCCTTTTCAAGCATTTTCCAGGCTCCTTTATCATCTTTAACCCATTCTATTGCAATTGTTTTAAGTCCAGTCACTACTTGAACACCATTTTTGTCATCGGTAATAAATTCCTGAAGTCAATTAAACTTTTAAGAATTTTAATTAAAAAACCAACCTTTGTACTGATCGCATAAGTTCTTGGATCTTTTCCATCACGTGCTTGTGCCTCTTCATGTCCATAATCCACACGGAAAATAGTGGGCCATTGAGGCCAAGGATTCTAAAAAATAAAGAGTATAAAATTTATAAAGAAAAAAGAATACTTCAGGTTTTCTTTCAGGTGGTGGTTGAGGTAAAATTTCAAAAGCTTGAACAGACTTTGCATTAAGTCTTAAAGAAGTTCCAATACAATCAGTTGCAGTATCTCCACCACCCAAAACAATAACTTTTTTAGAAGCGGGATCCAATCCTTCCCATGAAACATTATCGCCTGCTCTTCGTCGTTGACTTTTTTCTAAGAATTCCATTGCAAAACAAATTCCTTTAGATTCTCTTCCAGGAATTCTAATATCTCTAGGTGTTGTACTTCCTTTAATAGTTTATATAAAAATAATTCTTAACAAAATTTATAAACCTGTACATAAAACACAAACATCGTTTTCTTTTAATAATAAGTCAGCGGGTACGTGTTTTCCAATTTCTGTATTTGCAATAAATCTTATCCCTTCTTCTTCCATTAGCTTTAACCGACGATCCAAAACAAATTTGTCCAATTTCATTTGTGGAATTCCATAGCGAAGTAATCCACCAATTCTATTCTTTCGTTCATAAACAACAACAGTATGACCAGCCTTTAAAATGTTTTAATGATTACATTTAACATTTGGTCAGAATCTAATGTAAGTTTACCTTGTTAAGCTGTGCAGCAGCTGCCAGTCCTATATATTTTTAACATTTCTTTCAAATTATTTTATTATAATTAACCTGCAGGTCCACTACCAATGATAGCTATTCTCTTTCCAGTTCGAGTTGGAGGTTTTTGTGGCTCTATCCAATTATTCAAAAAAGCATAATCAATTATAGCACATTCAATTCCCTTTATCGTTACCGGCGGTGAACTAATTCCAACACAACACGCAGACTAAAATGATGGTAAATGTTTGATTCATCGAATTGAAAAAATAGATAAACAATCCTGATAAAAAAATATTTACCTCACAAGGAGCCGGACAAACTCGACCAGTAAATTCAGGAAAATTGTTTGTTTGTAAAAGCTGTTCAAGAGCTTGTCTCCAATTATTTTTAAAAACATAATCATTCCATTTTGGAATTATATTTCCAAGAGGACAACCTTAAATTATTTTTTAAATTATTTAATTTTACTTTAAAAAACCAGTATTTCCTTGACAAAATGGAATTCCACAATCCATACATCGTGCTGCTTGCTCTCTAATATTAGATCGAACTGCTCTATAGTCAACAACCTAAATTTTTAAAAATAAATCTCACTAAAAATATTCAAATAACCTCATCCCAATCTTTTAGTCGTTGTTCAGGAGGCCTGTAAATAACTTTCTGCCGTTTATATTTAATAAATCCTCGTTTTTTGTCAAGCTCTTCCTCTCCACTTTTCAAGGCAACGGCCAACAGATCTTCAATGTCACCATTCCTCTTTTTACGGTCATCAGCAGTTCCTTTTGAATTATCTAAAAAATAATATTTAAAAAATTATTCGAAATTAAAAATTAACCAGATTCATCTCCAGAATCAAGATCTGACAATTGTTCAATTTCTTCATCTTCTACATTCATATTTTGTTCTTGCACATCTTCAGTTGCTTCAAAACCAGAAAAGTCCACTTCTCTTGTCGCTTTAGAAAATTTCCTTCGTCTTTGCTGAATTATCTGAAATTTATGGCTATTAAATTAAATTCGTCCCTTTTCAATAAACAATAACAAAGACAAAAAGGATAGACAAGTAAAGACAGTACAGAAAAAATTTAAAAAAAGTACACTGCGTCTTCGTCTTTCAGTGCGTATTTTAGTCCGAACACGTTCATCCTGCAAAGCGATTTGCATGTCCATAGAATAGGCTCTATTCACACGTTTTTCTCCAGGTACGTCAAGTTCATTCTGGACCAAAAAATAAAAAGAAATAAAATGTTAAAAAGAAATGTTAAATGACCAAACAAAAGCGAGAAAAAGAAAAAAATTAGTAACCTCAAGTTAAAAAATAATTTAACCTGTAAAGTATTTCCGATCCTCTGTTGCTCTAGCTTCAGGTTCTCCTTTTCCTCTTTGGCCCGTATTTTTGCTTCTTCCTCTTGTTCAATCATTTTCAAAGCTTTTTTATAATCTTTAGGAAAAACCTAAAATATTTATTTATATTCAAGTATTAAAAAATGGAAAAACTCAATTTAATAAATTCATGCCGTTCAGTCTCCCAAGCATCCAAAATACGTTGTCCAATTATAGAATCTGTTTCCTTAACAAATCTTGCAATTAAATCTTTCATCCAATCAAAATCTTCTTTGGTTGGTTCCTCTAGATCAATTGTTGCTTGGTTCATTAATCGTGTAATATCTCCATTAAAACTGTAAAAAGAAAGGGAAATTATTTGTTTATTTTTCAGCAAACATAAAATCAAATTAATTTCTTCAAAATTAAATCATTTTATTGGTCCGCGATAACCCTTAGTTTTTATATTTATTTGCTAATAAATAAATAATGTCACTGCAAAATATCCTTCATAAAAAATTTGTTTTGATCATAATATTTATATTTTTAATAATCCTAACATTACTTAATTTAAATGTAGTTAGTTGGTACGAGGAAGGAAAGACCAGGTTTGCTATTTAAAACGAATTTGTTTTAAGAATTCTAAAAATTTCAGAAGCCTAACAGGTTCATTTGCAAATTCTGGAAGCAATGATACAACAAAAATGGTGTTAAAACTGATGAAATTAGGGATTGTTGAAGGTTATGCAATTCGTCGAATAAAAATGTTTAATGATCGAGTTTACTTGGACCGTTATCGGCGAAGTTATTGGTTTGGAGATCGTTACTATACATTAGATAACAAATATTTCCTTGAAACCCGTGAAACTTGTGCATATAGAATGAGAGATGAGGAAAGGAAAGATTTGGAATATGAAGAACAACCATCCGAGCCTATACTCGATATAATTTATCAGTAAGTCTAATAAAGAAACTTAAAACTAGCAATTTGATAGATGCCAGCGATATGTTCAACATTGCTGTGGTTTGGACTGCTGTAATATTTTCTGGTTTGTAATTATTTATTAACCTTAAACTATGGAGGGAAAGCCTAGAACTCATACTTTATTCTTAGAAAGTTCGACCTGACACTGATAATTTAACAAATGCTCACCTATTGTAGACAAATGCCAATCCACCACTCATTGCAGCAGCAAAGTTCTTCCCAATTCCATTAAGAATAATAACACGGCCACCAGTCATGTATTCACAACCATGATCACCCACACCCTCAATGACAGAAGTAGCACCAGAATTACGAACTGCAAAACGTTCCCCAGCAATTCCTCGGAAGAATGCTGTCCCTATAAAAAATTTAAACTTAAAAATTGAGAAAATTTTTAAACCAGATGTTGAGCCATAAAGAGCCACGTTTCCAATTATTGTATTTTCTTCAGAAGCATAAGTAGAATTTTTGTATGGCCGAATTATTATTTCACCTCCAGAAAGGCACTAAATTAAAAACAAAAATAATGGAAAAATGAATAATTCCCAACCTTTCCAACATAATCATTCGCCTCGCCTTCCAATCTGACAGTAACTCCTTTTGCCAAAAAAGCACAAAAACTTTGCCCAGCAGATCCTTTTAAATTTATTTCCAAAGAATGACCATCAGGCAGCCCTTCTTCTCCATAACGAATAGAAATCTTTAAAAATATTTATAAGTTTTATTAATTATTCAAATACTTCGTAGCTAAGTCGAGCACCAAAACAACGGTTTGTATTGCCTATTATTCTTTCTTTGATGTGTTTAACTTTTGAAGGGTTATCAAGGAATTCAATTAATTGTTCCTTTTCTATTATATCAGTTTCCAAATCGTTACATTCATGCAACTATAATAGATAAAATAAAAAGTAATCCAATACTCAATTAATAAAAACCTGTTTTGTCGATCCACCTTTTATATTTATCTGAGGGAATTGCAAGGAAACTTTATGCAAAATTTGAGCAAACTCTAGAAGAGTTGCTTTGTTGTTCATTGGATGTGGATTCGCATAAAGTAAATCTACTCTACCAATAGCTTCACTCATTTTTCGCAATCCCAATTTCGAAAGAAAATAACGAACATCTTCGGCTACCATAAACATATAATTAACGACATGCTCTGGCTTTCCATCAAATTTTGCTCGTAGAACGGGATCCTGAGTGGCTATTCCAACTGGACATGTATTTAAATGGCATTTTCGCATCATTGTACACCCAAGAACGATTAAAGGTGCTGTAGACATGCCGTATTCATCTGCACCTAACAAAGCTGCAACCATCACATCACGGCCTGAATATGACAAAAAGCTTTTAAAAAATAAAATATTAAATAACCAGTTCTTATTTGACCATCAGCTTGAAGTACAATGCGGGAGCGTAAATCATTCATCGTCAGAACTTGATGAGTTTCAGAAACACCTACAATTATTTAGTATTTAGAGATGGCCGAGATGGAGGATTTGTTAGATCAATTCAGATAAACATACCAAGTTCCCAAGGAAGACCAGCATGCTTTCTAGAATAATCGTATTAAATTAAACATCAGTATTTAAAAACTCACATTCCAGTCCAACTGCTTGCCCCAGTACCACCATCATGTCCAGAAATAGTAACATGATCTGCACCTCCTTTAGCCACACCTGCAGAAACAATACCAACACCTGCCTCTGAAACCAATTTGACACTAACTCGAGCTCTGGGATTTGCACATTTTAAATCATAAATTAACTAAAAAAAAGATTTATATTCTCTAAAAATTAAAATTTATACTTGTGCAAGATCTTCAATACTGTAAATGTCATGATGAGGAGGAGGAGAGATGAGTCCAACTTAAAAGACAGTTTAAATTAATTTAGGAGGTTTCCTTTATAAATTATAAAATAAAAAATGAACTGACCTCCAGGAGTCGATTTTCTTGTAGCAGCAATTTCTCTCGTTACTTTGTAACCAGGAAGTTCACCTGAAATTTGGAAAAAAACAATTAGATGGTAAAAGGAAAAACCTCCTTCGCCCGGCTTTGCTCCCTGCGCCATTTTGATTTGTAACTCATCGGCATTTGCCAGATACGAACTAAAATTAGCACAATTAAAATTCAAGAAAATGAAAAATCCGACCTGTTAACACCAAAGCGAGCCGACGCAACCTTTTGAAGAGAGATTTAAGGAATATACATAAAGGAAAACTCACTTGTTTGATTGCTGACCTAATATTATTGTCTTTAGGTTGATCCTTCCGATAACGTTCGGGTCTCTCACCACCTTCTCCTGTGTTGGATTTTGCACCGATATTATTCATAGCAATCGCTAATGATGTATGAGCTTCCATACTTATAGACCTAAAAAGAATAACTTTGAAAAGTTTGGGTCATTAGAAAAAGTTACAGGAAGAGGGTGAGATTTAGTGCTATGCAGTTCTCTCATTACTTTAAAACAATGTTAACACCAAATTAAATCAAAAAATAAAAAGAAAGAACCCGAAAGACATTGCTCCAGTGACGAATCTTTTCACAATTTCTGATGCCGGTTCAACTTGATCCAATGGAATTTGAAGTTTAGCGTTTGTTTTAATTTCCAATTGACCACGAAGGCTGCAAAGACGCTGAGCAAGATTTGAAGCTATTGCAAAATCTTGATAACTCTTAGCATCGTTTAAACGAGCAGCAGCCTTTAAAAGTAAATTTAGAATTTCTTTAGAATTTTAAACCTGAAGCTTTGCTATGTTAACCGGCTCATTGACATGTTTTTCTCCACCATCGCGCCAATGATAAATCCCAGGACTTACTAAAACCTTGCTATCACCTGAACAAAAAATATTTGTAAATATTAGCTGAATAAATTTTAAGCAAACCATAAAGATATAAATCACTATTTGGAACATTTGGATAGGCAATCCGATGTCTTCGAATTGCCTCCATTGCTAAAGTTTCAAAATCAGCACCGCCAAGCCGAGACACTGAATTAGTAAAGCACTTGTCAACTACCTCTCGGCCCAGCCCAACAATTTCAAAAATTTGTGCACCCTATGAAACCAGTTTAAGAACAGAAAAGGAAAACCTAACAACCTTGTAAGAGTGTAAAGTACTAATTCCCATTTTTGCCATCACTTTATAAATTCCTCGTTCAATCCCTGCTTTATACCCTTGTACAACATCATCGTCTGTCAGATTTTTATCCAAAAGTCCCATTGTTCTAAGTCGATAACAAGTCTCGTATACCATATAAGGGCAAATTGCATCAGCACCATATCCAAGAAGAACACAAAAATCTAAATAAAATTTAAATGATTCATAAGAGAAGTACTTATTAGAGAAGTACTTATTAAACGCACCATGAACTTGTTTTACTTCACCAGACTAAAATTTAGAATAATTTATTTCAGTAATAATAAAATTAAAAAATTTCACCTCGATAATTAATGCAACTTTCATACGAAGTCGTTGTTTTATTAAACATTGATGGATTGCCCCAAGTGCAAGAAGCGCACTGAAATATAGAATAAATTTCAGTCTTTTTTTGAAAAACCAAGATTACCTAATTGGGACGTAATCCTTGTCAACTTGTCTATCAGAAAGAATTAAAATTTGATAACCGTCGAGCGCCGCGGAACAGGCTTCGCTAAAAATAAAATTTATAAAAATAATCAAACTGCTAAAGAATATACCTGCATATTCTGTCTAAAGCTGGCACCAAACCTCTCTGCCCATGCCTTGCTGGATAAACAATATTAATTACATATGAACGCCATCCCTTGAAGCTAATTCGTTTTAGCACCTAAAAAATTCTTAATACATCAAAATTGTTATAAAAAACCTGAAAGTCAACAAGTGAAAGAACTGGCTGATCCAAAAGAATTCGGCTTTCCAGTTCAAATTCTGGTTCTAGAAGATTCGTTTCCGGCCCTACTGGACAACGAAGAGACATTACAATCTACACAGTCGAATCATATATTCTAATATTAAAAAAATACCTGTTCACGAAAAGGATCAATTGGGGGATTTGTAACTTGAGCAAAAAGCTGTTGGAAATAAGAATAAAGCAATGGACTATAATCAGAAAGGCAGGCTAATGCAGCATCGTTTCCCATTGATCCAAGGGCCTCTTTCTTGTCAACGATCATTGGTACAAGAATTCTTGAATAAAATAAATTTATAATAGAAAAATGGCAAAATTCTAACAAAGAAAAAGTGTCAGGCGTATATGAAAATAGAGGAAGTCGTCTATCAGAGTCCAAATGAATGTCACGTAATCTGCCATGATCTTTTCCATCACCACCTGGTCTTTTGCCAATTAATTTCAATTGTTTTAATTCTCTTTTAATCAAATACTCATTAGTTACAGCTCCGTGGTTAAGCTTAATAAAAGGTTACTTTAAATGCTGATAATTTTGTTAATAGAATTTTAAAAAATTAAATGTTATACCAACCACGTCATCTTTCCTAATTTGATCCAAATAAATTCGATTAATTGTCAATTTTTTATGATTTCTCGAATGCGCAATTTGCATCTTAAGTTGCTCATCCTCTACAATACATTTTTCTTTCAAATCCACAAGCAACATTCGTCCAGGCCGAAGTCTGTCCTGCAAAAAAATATCATTTTTCCGGCATTTTTATTTTGCTAATTTAATACCCTTTAGCCTTTTTGCAAAGTGCATTCTTATGCAAATTGCCTTCATTTTTCTACTCATCTTACTTTAACTTTAAGTTGACATTTTCTTATAAAATATTATACTTCCGCGTAATTTGGCACAAAAATCAAAAACAAAGTTAAAAAGAAAAAAAAAGTGGGAGGTAAATATTTTTCCAACCTATTGTTAGTTTGTTTACATTAACAATAAGTTATTTCCCACTATTTAATAATTGTAGCCTTTTTAAAAGCTAATTGACGGGTTAAATCCCTGAAGACTACATAAAAAAAGGGATAAAAAGTGACACCAACTCCTCTGAGACAGACGAAGAGGATTTAATTTTCAGTTGAAAGGAAAAATCATTTCATTTAGATAACCTTAAAATTAAGATACCAATATATAGTATATTCATTCAACAATATCTACAACAATGACGACAAAACATATAAACTTGTTCGTGCATTTGGCTCTGCTCATGACAACTGCATATGTAAGAAATTAAAATGATAAGTCTTTTGAATCAATCTCTAGATACTAAGAGGGTTATAAACCGAAACTCCAATAATCCATTTCCAAGGCTTTTTTTATCATTAATTCGAAACAAAATTTTTCAGTGTCTTGAAGTCATCGGAAACAAGCAATATAAAGAAATTTATCCAATGTGGAAACGACAGATGAGAGAACCACTACGTTTCGGAAAACGCCAAGAAGACAAAACAAACTACTTTAAAAACAGTAACGAAAATGCAAACGATGCGTTTCTAGACAACGGAATCTCTTTTCAAAAATAAGAACGATAGACTAACCATGTGAGAAATACCAGACTCCCGAAATTGATAAACAATTTATAATTAGTTCCAACACGTTCTAGAGCAAATGTCTTACAATACGATAAACTAATTTTAAAAAAATAGACGAAAAATTTAGTACTAGTTTACTATCGTCATGTCATAAAAGGTTTACACTTTAAATCACGCTTGAATCATTCTACTGGTGTGAGTGGGAGCAAAAGATAATGGACAAAAATTCTTAGAAAATGTTCTATAAAACGACCGGATTTTCCGCCTTTTAGTTCAAACTTTTAAGGTTCATTCAACCATGTTAGAGTTTAAGCTTTTATCCCTTTCCATAGACATATACCTAAGGCTTAAAAATGACATTCTTTTACGTAATATCCACTAGTTTACCAAAACTATTATTTAACACAACAAATAATTCCCTAACACAAGACACTTAACATTTGCTATTTTTTTCCTATTCTCATTGTGCCATTCGAACCAAATTTTCCTTGTGCCATTCATAACCAACACAGACTATTTTTACGATGACTATCCAAAAAATTTCTAATCTTATCAAACTTTTTGTGCTGATTGCTGCTTCATTTGGTAAGATACATAATATTAATTACATTTTAAAAATCAAAAATAGTAATCTCCAACTGCTCTCCAGCCGTACCCAGACAAGAAACAATCCCATCACTTCTACCTAATGGAGCTCTACATGAAACATTAACTGACCCATTTCAACAGCGTTGGATTTCGGTACGTCCCTTCCAGGATTATCCCCGTCCTCACAATGAAGAGTTGGGTCTTTTACTTCAATATTTGGATAGTAAGAGGAATGCTCCCCTCTTGGATGAAAATGTCGCGCAACTAGTAGGTGAATCACCTTTAGGGACAATGCGATTTGGAAAACGTCGAAACACCTCACCACTCGGAACAATGCGATTTGGTTAATTGTTGATATTACAATTTTTTACAGAATTAATTAAGCATGTACGAACCCTTATTTCTTACTTAACAAAGAATAAATTTATATTTTGTCATAAAAGTACTTTTTAAATTTTTTTAAATTAAATTTAAAATTCTTATAAAAAAATAAACCCACCCTCTTAACCACACATTCAGCAGGCAGATCAATGATACCAACTTCGCTAGCCAAATAAATATGGTCATCAGCAGTAACGCAATATCTTGCTGGTCTAAGTCCATTTCGATCGAGAATAGCGCCAATATAGTGTCCATCGCTGAATGACAAAAGAGCTGGTCCATCCCAGGGCTCCATTTGCATAGCTGCCCACCGATAGAAAATTCTTTTTTCGTGACTTAAGAAAAAAAGTTAAAAAGCTAGAAATTGACAAAAAAAACTTCATATCCTCGTCCTTTTCCCAAGCCTCTGGAACCATTGTCATTGCCGCTTCAGGTAATGAACGATTGCCAGCATGTACAAGAAACTCTAACACATTATCAAAGGAACCTTGAATTTAAAAGATCCTTGAGAATTATTACTTATAAAACAACCTGAATCAGTCATTTCATTTTCCACCACAGGATAAAGTTTGTGAATGCTTTCACCATATTCACGGGAACTCATAATCTAAAAAATGCTATAAAAAATTAATAATCATGCTTACTCCTTCTCTAGCCTTCATAAAGTTGATGTTCCCTTAAACAATATAGAACAATTAGTTAAATTTAAATTAATAAAAACCTCTAAGTGTATTAATTTCTCCATTGTGAGCCAACATTCTATTTGGCTGTGCCCTACTCCAACTTGGGAATGTATTAGTAGAAAATCTTGAGTGAACCATTGCCAAATGTGTTACAAATTTAGGATTTTGTAAATCATCATAATAAAGGAATAGCTGATGAGAAGTGAATTGACCCTTAAATTAAAGTATTTTGAAAACTGATTTAATCCGTTTGAAACAAAAATTGAACCTTATAAACAATTGTGGTAGCAGAAAGAGAAACAACATAACAACTAACTCCTTGTTGTAACATTCTAATTGTCGTCTGTTTTCGTAATAAATAAATAGCCTGATGAAAACGTTTTTGATTTGAAGCAAAATCGCTTGTTACAAAAACCTAAAAAATTTTAAATATTTTAGTTAACCTTTAATTTGTTTTACTTGTCGCATCAAAGGTTCAGTTTTTCTTGATTCTCTTCCCAAGTGATCAGAATTAACTTTTAATTTCCGCCAAGCGAGCACTTGTAGTTTGCAACCACGCGCCAAATCGGAAAAGGACTCCTTTGCTTGTTTGTATGATTCGGGCGAAAGAAAGAGAATTCCCGTCGCATATTGTCCAAGAGGCGGGAGGTCAATATCATTAGTCCTAAAAATAAAAAAATCTTAAAAATAAATATAAATTTAACCTTTTAATGTCTTCCCGATAGAGGTCATCTGGAATTGCTGTCATAACACCAGCTCCATCGCCCGAGTCGTTGTCACCAACACATGCTCCACGATGAGCCATCCGTTCTAGCATTACACGCCCGGCCTTGAGAATCTAAAATAAAAGTTAAAATTCTAATTAACAAATCAAAAAACCTCATGAGTTTGAATCCCTTTTACCGATGCACAGAAACCAACTCCACAAGCATCCTTTTCAAGCTGAGGTCTCCAAAGAGAATTTTTAGCTGCATATTCCAATTGCTCTTCACTAAGAATAACCATCTAGAAAATAAATAAATTTAGAATGAAAAGATATTTTTAATTATGAAAACAAAAATATGTCGAATGCAAAAAAATTTTTTCTACAAAATAAAAAGGTTTGATTGATTAACTGACACTTGATTAGAAAAGAAAAAATAGCCAGCAATCAAAATAGAATTGCTCAACTCTTGCTTTACTTTCGAAATGAGAAGGAATTACCCTCGAACTCTCCCTTAATCTATTATAGACTTCTTTTCGATTATAAATTGATTACGCCGATTAATTTTTTTATCATTTTTTAATCGCTTGTGAAGTTAAAATGTGTTTACTTGTTAAAAATATATGGAATCAGTTTAATTAAAAAATACGATTTTATAAAACTAAAATACGAAATGATTAATGCTCCCTAATTGGAAAAAAACTAAAAAAATAATTAATAGCAAAAAAATAAAAATGATGTATGTACTTTGCTCGTTCGATGGATAACCCTTCTCTCTCTAATTGTAAAAATATTAAAATGAATAACGATCAAATGAATGGGTGAAGGGCTTAAATTGAATAGCAATGCTATGTATAAGAGGAGACGTTTTACTTGTCAAGAACGTGTTTATTTTTAAACAATCAACTTGAAGGAAATACGCCGAAGAGTCGAGCAATTGAAATTTAAACAAACAAACTTTATTGAAGTATTTAAAGGGGTAGTTAAAATAATAATGAATTTGGTTTTTAAAAATGTCTGAAGATTAAGCGTGCCAATTTTTTTAAATAAAAACAAAAGTGACAGAAAAGAATGATAGAAAGCAAAAAAGGAAAAGGGACAGAAGACAAATAGGCCAAAAAGAAAATGAATTAGGTATATTGCCTAAATGGAAAAAAAAGTTCATTTACTCTAGTATTAAAAGCTAAAAATAAATGGGGACGGACCATCAGGGACTTGGGTAAAAAGCTAGTCATTTCTATTTAGATGGCGGCGCTAAAAAAAGGGACTCTTCTCTCTTTTTTCATATCACACAGTCTTTAATTATGGAAAACAAAAAGAAAAAGGGGGGAACTTTAAAGGTTTAAAGAGGAGTAGTAAAAAAGGGTTAAAGAGACAAATTCTTTTACTAAAGCAGTCATTGCAGGAAGCAAAATAAAAGCTGCATAAATAAAAGCAGACGCCGCCACTACTATGGCAAATTGGAGAGAGGACCTATGAGTAAAAGAAGTAAGATGTGCAGTGTTTGGCCAAGACTTTGAAGTAGACAATCGTGAAAGGACAAATGAGTATTATAAATAAATGAGAAAAAATTTAAAAAAAAATTAAAAAAAAAAGAATAGATTGGAGGGAATTACGAAATTTAAAATGTTTATTAAGTTTGTTTTGGAAATCCAAAAATAATGGATGTTATATTTAAAATGGTTTCCCTTCACTTGTAACAAGCCCAATTATATACCCTTTATCCCAGAGCATTCCCCTTTGTTTTGTTCTATATCCCAAAGATTTGTCAAAAATAGCAAAAACCAAGGCATAATAATTTTGAGTACTTTTTTCCTGCCCATTTCCATTAAAACCTTTTCCCATTCCTTTATCTAAACATAAATTTGCTATGAACTTTCACTTGGAAAATATTTTTTATTCAACCCAAGGCCATCAATTTATTATCGTTCCAATCAGAACCGATCAACATCGTGCAGAAGTGCTTTCATTTATGCAGACACAGTTTAGAGTACAGGAGCCGATCACTAATGCATTAAGTTTAAAAATATACATAGCAAAATGATATTTAAAAGATAAAAATCAGACATTACAATTAAACTAAAAAATTAAAAAAACATTTAAAACTCAAACACTAAATCCCTTAGAATGTTCGGCACAAGATACTCTACCTTTCTACAAAGATATTTGTTCGGCTTGTTTTAAGGTTTTGTTTGCTAATTTTAATGAGCTTAAAACACTTTAGTATGATCTTTCTCTAATTGCACACGATTATCATGGCCAGATAGCCGGCATAGCTTTAAGCAGTCTTTGGAAACGAAATGAAATTCAGACCTTTAAATCATTAAAAAATAAAGAGTTTGGCCAAGGTGATAGATAGAATAATTTCTATATAAAATAATGTATTTCCAAGAGATAAGAAATGGGCCTTACTTAGGTTTGGACAATGCCAATCGACTTAATAGTTTTTTGGAGGTGGTTGAAAGTGATCTTAATTCTATATTAGAGAATGAAAAATGCGTATTAAAACTAGAAATAATATCTGTACATCCTATGTTTCTTAGGCAAGAATTTTTTTAAAAATACATACTTTCAATGACAATTTTTTAAATTAAAGATTAGGACTTGCTTCTAATCTTCTAAAGAAAAGTATTGAAATTGCTCGCGTTGCCGGGTGTTCTCATATTATAACTAGCGCAACAGCTGTTGCGTCTCAAAATCTTTTCAAAAAGTTCGGATTCGAAACTGTTCACAAAGTGTTATTCAAAGATTTTCTGGAGGATGGAGAGCCTGTTTTTAAAAATTTACATGATAATGGAAGTGGAGCTGAATTAATGTTGTACAAATTGGATTAAAGAGAAAAGGGAAAACACTAAATTTTAAACACATTTCAATACAAATACCATATTTTTAATTACGAACTTCCCTTTCTTTTTTTCATAAATTCAGGCCATATGTTGCTGATGCTCTAACTTTTTTCCCATATCTCTTTAAAATCCTCTTTATATGTGATTCGCAGATTTAATTTTACGAGTTCCTCAATCGGTAAGAACAGAATGAGAGAAAAAGGAGGAAGGAGAAAATCCGCCCGCCGCCGCGTTTTACGAGTGCTCTGGCAATAAAATTTGCCTTTCGACCGCCATCGTTGACGATTTTTTGTGCCGGTCGCAGTTTATCCATCCTCCATTAAATTAAAAATCGACAAACGGTTGGTCAACTTTGAAAAAATCATTCAAATCCTCTTCAAATTTTTTGTTATTCAAAATTAATAACTGAAGAAGTATCACTGGTCATGACGCGGCATTCCACGCCCAATGTTTTTCTTCTTTTTTTGGCTGCTTTATTCATTCTTCCTTTTTATTGTATCTCCATCAAATGGCTGTAAAATTTTACTTATAGGTTCTCAACTAAAACAATTTTTAGAGCACTTCATAGGGTACAGCCCGCATGGACAAATTCAGGAGATTGCCCTCGTTCACGTGAAGAACGCCGCGTTTTTGGCCTTATAGCTTATCAAGCACGTGTTTGCGTTCGTCTGCCTGAACTTATACCACATATAATTAATGCTGCTTCTTTGACTGTTGATGTGTGCCAAGCCGCATTCGCTGATCGAAGATGGAATTGTTCTTCTATTTTAACTGCTCCAAATTTGAGTGCTGAGTTAAACAGTGGTTGGTAGTTATTAATCAAAAAAGAAATGTAATTGACTAAATTTAGGTACAAAGGAACAAGGTTGGTAAAAGGATATTAAATGAGTATGTAAATCTGTATATCATAGCATTTGTTTATGCGCTCTCATCAGCAGCCGTTACGCACCACGTATTTATCGCAAAATAAATTTAAATAGATATCTTAAGGTAGCAAAAGCTTGCTCTTCTGGTCAATTAGCAAATTGTCCTTGTGGTTTTGGAGGTTAGTTTATAAATCAGAATCTAGCAGATTGAATCCGAAACTAGCAGAAAAAACGTAAAATACTCTATTAAAAACAGATACCGTGACGACAACAGCTCCAATTGGAAGCGACCATTTTCAAAGAAATCTTACTGAATTAAGTTATAAATGGAAGGGGTGCAGCGATAATGTTGTTCATGGACGAAGAATTAGCCGTGAATGGAGTGATTCAAAATGGAGACCTAATCCTGCGGAAGCAGTTAATGAAATCGCAGCTCGAAATCGTTGGAATATTGTTGATGCCGAGAGAATTGGAGGAAGCGATGATTATATAGAAGACCAAATGAGGGTTTTAAAACTTAAAAGAGTGAATTTAACGAGAATGAGGGAAATCTACTTAAATTCTTTTTAGCATTCACCAAACAGCAAACGAAATAATGGACAAAAGGCGCGCATGAATGAATTCAACAATGAAATTGGTAGACAAGTTGTAGAGCAATCCCTATACAAAAAGTGTAAATGTCACGGAGTTTCAAGGCTTCGCATTTTATTTATTAATCATAAAATGCTTTTTTCAGCTCCTGTGATGTAAAAACTTGTTGGTACACACTTCCACCACTAGAACATGTTGTCGCAATTTTAAAAAAGAAATATGATAATGCTAGACCTATGCTTGGTTCTATTCCACTAGGTGCTATGAGAAAAAGATGGAAACATCCAGAATCAAATGATGAACAATCATTGGTAAAAAATAGAAAAATATCGGGAAAAAATAATTTATATTTGAAGGTTTATTTGAAGAATTCGCCAAATTATTGCGAGGAAGACGCGGCGACAGGAAGTCAAGGGTAACTATCAAAACTATTTTTAAAAAACAATACCCACTTTTAAAGAACTATAAACAGGTAAATATCAAAATATGCAGAACATTAAAATATCAAAGGGAATGCAACATAAGCTCATTTGGTACAGACAGCTGTGAGAGCCTCTGCTGCGGTAAGCACTTAAAAAAAGGGTGCAAATCCCTTTTTACCATTTCCTTTCGTAAATTTACAAGAGAATTTAACAAAGTTTTTATACAAGGACAAGATAAAGCTAGAAAACCAAAATACAATATTATATGTACAGACAATAAGATCAATGAGAATAAACCAAAAGCATATTAACCTAAGAGGGCACACAGAATATATATTTTGATTGTTCATCTTCCTATCATCAATTTTACATAATTCCTTTTGCCGAACATTATTTTCTTAGAGTTCAGTCATATTCATAGGTAGCGGTGGCCGTGATGAAGGAGGAATAGTCAATTTGGATTTTTTGTTTGACCCGAGACTTGACATTTTGGATTTACGGCTATCGATAAGTGAAGTACTCTTGGACTTGCTTGCAGTTTTGCTTTCGCTCGCTTCAATTGTGAGCTCGGTCTTCTTATCAATGGTCACTTCACTTTTTTCCGTCATGGCCTTTTTGCCTTTCTTCATCCTTTGTCCCTTCTTATTATTCTTCTTCGCACAGAGCATTAGGCAAGAAGCGATCACAAAACTAAATTATGCAGAGGATTACAAATTTTAAATCATCAAAATAGTAAAAGAAAAACCTACGTCAACAGATATACAACAATGTTGAGAATGACGTTCAATGATGACAACATTTCCTTGACTGCCAGACGAAAATTGCTGTTCTTTTGACTAAACACTTGTACCACGTAGGATGAAGATAGCTTTTACAAGTGAGGATCGACAATGTGCTTTTATATACAAAAATTTCACCAAAATTTTTTACGAAAGGAAATGGGCTTTCTTACTCTCTTAAATTTTAAATTAAGGAAGAGGATACACTATCTCTCAGGTATAATTTTGAAGAATTTAAATGATTAATATTCGAGCTTTTTTCATTAAGGTTCGTATAGAAGAAAATTGTCAATGCAAATACGTTCATTGCTGTTATATTAAATGTAAAAAGTGTTTGACCACATTAAGCAAATATTTTTGCAAATAAATAAAACTTTTTTTGCTATTTATTTTTCGTTCTTAAGGAATAATTTAAGGATTTGCTGTACAAGCAAGTTAATGCGCAGAAAAGATGATCTTTTTGTGGAAAAGAAGCAAATCTCTTTTTTGCATTTAATTCACTCTTTAGCTAATTAAACATAGCTTGAGTGCACTCTATTTTAATTAAAGGATGTAAAAGCTTATCAGGAAAAAAAGCGTTGTAGTATGATGAGAAAGCGGAGTGTGTATCCATCCGGGAATAATTGTTCTTCGCCTGCCAAGATCCCAAAATAAAAGCTGCTAATTCTTTCCAAAAATATCTTTTCACTTTTCATTTTTAACAAAAATGATGTTCTCGTCATCTTCTAAGACACTCGGAATCCTTTTCTTGTATAGTTCACTAATAGTTATAATACTTGGCTGTGGATTACCCCCAGCTCCAGCGCCACCACCAGCTCCATGCTGCGCTCCTCCTGCTCCACCGCCTCCCCCGCCCTGTTGTCCATGTCCACCTCCTGCGCCTATGCAGTCTTGTTGCCCATGTGCAGCAGCTCCACCACCTTCTTCTCATTGTGGTGGTTGTATGTTTGGTGCACGCCGGCGAATGTATTCGTCAGCAAGTTTACGGAAGTATTGGCGAAGCAAAAGAGAGGTTAGTTATCAGTGATATTAAATTAATTCGAATTGCAATCAAAGCACAAGATTTTAAGATTGATGTGATGAAAGTTAATGAGGCAACAGCACAAAAGCTACAATATATTAATGTCACCGAAGTGCCATGTCCGCGAGCAGAATGGTACAGCCCAATTCGCAAGGTATTACTTAAACAAAATCGAGACTTGAGGAATGGCGTAAGAAAAAAAACACTCAAAATATCAGAATATTCTGTGGAAACAATTAAAAAAGCTTATTACAATAAAATAAACCAAAACTCAACACAACACAAAACCCCAAAAATTTTTTAGAATTAGACTGACTACACAAACAATTTAATAAAAATAACCCACCAAACATTCCAGGCAATGATCAGCGGCAATCCTTCTGCATCTGTTCAATCAATTCAAGCCAAACTTCACCACGAACATAATAACAAATTTTTGGTGATGTGCGCCCGTCATGAGCAATTTGGAGAGGAAAGTGTTGTCATACCAAGTGCTCTACAAATTAATAGTTCTGGTGTAGACTTTTGTAATGTGAATGAACAATCCATTTGGTGCCAAGCAGTTGGAATAATTTCTTAAATTTTATCTAACATCAAGTACAAATTGATGTTTCAAATAATTATTGCAATAAACAAAATTTCTTAAATCAAGAATCATGTAAAATATTTATAATATTCAAAAAACAAAAGGAAATCATTTTTTGACAATTCAAATAAACAATAAAGGAAAGGAATTTATAGTAACCAGTATTTGTCCATAAGCGTAGAGAAAATTATAAAAATTCGTAAAATTAATGAGGAAAATAGGAAGCTTTATATTTTTAATGATTGGCCTTTCCCGAAATAGAAAATTTCTATCTACGCCCATGATAAGTAAATTATATAATGTTCTATATGCGCAACTAAAGTTGAAAAACGGGCTAACTATTCTTTAATAAATATAAAAATTCAAAAAATAAGTGCAAGGAGGTAAGTTTCTTTTGGCTTAAATTTAAAAGTATGTACTTGTATATAATGTTGAAAGAAAGAACCATGAAAAACCTCGTAGTTTCATTTAAAGAGAACACCAAAATCTATTAACTTCCGCACTAATACATTGATAGCCAATTCATCCGAATTTGAACCATTCTCAATCATCATCTGAGCCCAGTCTAGTAGAATGAAATCACCAAACTTTCTGAAAATTGTTATTTAAAATTTTTTTCTTATATTTAAATTCAAATAACCCATTAGGAGACTCTTGCTGTTTATTTTGCACATGAATTCTCAATTCATTATTGTATGCTCTGATTTGTTCAGCATGGCTACCGAGCTAAAAAAATATATATTGAAAAATTTGATTAGGAAAGTATTCATTAAATTTCAAAAACTCACTTCAGGAATAGTGACGACAACAAATTGAGGAATTGAATATTGGTAAACACAATCTTCTTTACTCTTTTGCAAATTATAACCACTCAAATTTTCTTCAAACCAGTTTTTGAGTTTTATAGTAGAATCGAGAGAAGGCGTTCCCTCTTGATTAACGAGGTCGTATCCGTACAAAACAAAAACGTACGAGAATTCGAATGCGCATAGCTGATTCAAAATATACTGATGCAGAACATCTAATTGTGAGATAAACAAGCTAAAAAAATTAACGCTAAAATATTTTTTGTAAAAAAATTCACTAACTCCATATGTTTGTGAAAGTCTAAACGAAAGATGTACATATTCCTGAATACCTCATCCTTGACACTAGCAAGCATTGAGTCTGTCACAAAAAGACGAGAAATCCGACAGAGCCTATCAGCAGGAGCAACAAATGTATCGGCAAGGTTCTGCTCCACTACATTTCTTCCCCGAAGAAGCACATCAGATACAAGAGCTTTAATCTCAGCTTTCAATTGTCTAGTTAATTTTCTGTGTCCAATTTTAGATGGATCTACTGCTGATATTTGGCCCAAAGGTCTGTTCTAAATAAACCAAAAGAATTATTTTTAAGATTAAAAAACCAAAAAATTAGTAGAACCAGGAACATGCACCTTACATTCGTTTACATAGTCATAACGTTTAAAGACATTTCCTTCTTCAATGACAAAATTGCGTATAGTCACTTGTAAAGAAGTTTCTTTATCATTATCACGGAAAAATTTGACCTAAAAAATAATTAAAGATTAAAAAAAATTAAAATCTCACATTTCGACCCTGCTTCATCTCTTTCCTCCTGGCTAAATTAATAAAGTCAGTGGTATATATGAATGAAATTATTTACCTTTCTGCTCCTTTAGATAATCAGCACGACGATACTAAAAAGAAAAATAATTATGTGGTGTTATGGAAGTAAGGGACAAGACAAAAAACCTTTTTGATCTTTGATGAATATCCCGTTTTATTGTTGGACGAAGAAGGGTCAGACATTTCTGTTGTATCAGTATTATTATTCACCAAAATTGGACTCATATGCCAAGGAAGTTTTGCCTGTTGAGGACCAATACAGAATTCACTAAAAATAATAAAAAAAAATCACTTAAGGAATTCAGAAACGCATACCTATAATCTTCGTCATCGAATGATTCCTTCAAATCTCTGGGTTGCTCGACTAAAGAAAAAATTTAAGCATAAAACTTATTATTAAACAAAGAAACCTGAATCCACTCTTTGTCGTTTCGAACTCACTCCCCCCGTTTCCATGTCAGTATTTGAACAACTCTGATCTATACAAACTTCTCGTGTTACTAGAAATGAGAAAAAAAGTTTTAAAAAAATAAGAAAAATAACCTTTAGGAGCAATTGCCTTGGCAGAAACAGTTGATTTATTACGAAGACCCCATTTTAATGAAGAATTTTTAGAGTAAACAGGCAAAGATGAAGAACTCATTGCTGAAAGTTGTAATCGAGGATTAATAGGCGCTGGTGGTAGAGGAATGTCTTGATGAAGATCAGGAAGAGGCTCATTGGAAGAAGTCGCACTACTACTTTCTTGATGTTCTGTTGGATCATAGATAATAACACTATTACTCATTTGAGCATTTTGCATTCCAACATTATTAGAAAATCCGTCGTAGTTCTCTTCTTGTTTCACAATAATAACAGAATTTTGCATATTAGTTTGTTGCACATCAATCTGTTCTTCAACTTCCTCCGCTTCTTCTTCCGTATCACTCATCAATTCCTTCTTAACCTCAGTTGCAATTTCATTTAAATCTTGCATATTGGTGTCCTCAACTTCTTTGACAATATACTCTTCGTCAGGCTTTTCAGGATCCTTGTCATTAGAGAAAAAATCATCCAAACTTTCTTCTCGTAAACTAGCTCTCAAATATCGATCATCATCATCGCTAGCCTCAACATAGTCCAAATTTGCAGTTTCTTCATTTTGTGTCGTATCGGATGAGACATCATGAATTTGGTCGCGTTGTCCTTCAGCAGGTGTAACATTTCGACGGAGAATCATCTTAAGTAAAATTATCAAAAACAAGATAAAATAGAAACCTGATTATTTGACTGGTTTTCCTTTGAAAAATTGTTCTTCCTTGTTGTGATTTGCTGAGAACTTTCAACTTTAGACTCAGCATTGACAGAACTTGCCTCATTTTTAAGTCCTCTACGATTCACAGCCTTAACACACTTCCGTGAAGGAATCTTAATTAGAGATTCCTCGTCATCATCCTCTATCTCTTCTTCAAACAAATCCTCCATTGGACGATCAGAATAAGTTCCAAGATTTACGACGGACCTTTTAGACGTCTAAATTTTGAAAATAAAAATAACAATTACAATTAAACCTTTAAGATTGCCGAATTATAAGGGTTATCCTTATTACTAATGCAAAGCTGTTCATCCTTTTTGGCATCATCTGATGAACGATTATTTTGACTGCGTTTAACTTACATTTAAAAAGGAAAATTTTCAGAATTTTCTTGTAGAAAAAATAACCTTTCCAAGCTAAAACTTTGCACAATAATTTCCATAGATAATGTGAAATTAAAACAAAATCATCAATGTCCTGATATTTTTGATTCTTATTTCGCGTAAAGTTGGCCACATCTTTGAGCATTATTACGGAAACGTCATCCTCTGAGAAATTTTTAAAAATGGAAACATTAATAAGAAAACCTCTGTTATCAAAAGCATGACGCATTAACTGAAGTACTCTATCTGATTGTCGTTCCAATGCCTGCGCGAAGATAAGAGTAAGCTGGTCAGATTGAAGTTCTTGTATCTCGTTCCGAATCCAATCAAACATAACAACTAAAAAGTTAAATTCGTAAAAATAAAATTAAAAATAAAACCAGGAGAAAGAGTGCCAATATTTGTCAGGGAACCAGAAGTTCCAACACTCATTCTATTATTATCCATTTTATTAAAAGCCGATCCAATTTTGACAGGAATAATTCTAATTTTTCAAATTTTAATTTAAAAACCAAATTATATCTGAAAAAATTTAAGGATACAAAACAATTGAATCCCCATTAAAAATAAACGAATTACTTTAGGTCATTAAATGAGTAAAAACCAAATAAAAAATTTAATAAAACTGAAGCCAGATAAAATTTAAAAAAATGGAAACCTAAAATCAATTTTGCCAACTTTGTAAAACGGTAAAGTCCGTTTCGGTAAATCCTTTTAGAAAAAGCCGTTTCAGAACAGCACCAGGAAAGGAAATAAATATAACCTAGATTCTTAAGATCCTTGGTTAGAAGATTCCATTCAGAAAAAAAAGAAAAAATATATTTTAAAAATTAATGTTGTATATTATACAAAACATATCTAATTATTATTTTTAATACTTTAAAAATTTTATCAAAAATTTTTTTTAATTTTTAAATATCAATTTTTAATTTTTTTCATTTTCCTGCATCACCGAGACGATTAATAGAAGCAAAATTTTTTAAAATATGATTAACTAATTCTGCATTTTTTCTTTTTGAAACCGAAAATTGAGTTGGAGGAGATGATCTTTCACCAATTTCTTGTTTTAATTTCCAATGATTTATCTGTTAAATTTTTTGTTTTTAAAATTAAATTAAAAGAATTTTACTTTTTCATCATCACCAGTTATCGGTAATTCATTATTTTGAAAAATTCCATTTGGTAAATTTTCTTCATCTGAATATCCTAACAATGTTCGAATCCAAGCATCACTTATTGGAGGGTATTGGGCTCTCTAAATTTTTTTATTTTCTTTTCAAAATTAAAAAAAACTAACCAAATAGTTAATTGAACTTGCTGTAACTAATGTTCTTTGTTTAGGTAATGAGGCTAAGGCTACTAGCAGTGATAAAAATAAAAATGTAATTCTTGATGTTTCTGAAGAAAAAACTGCCAAATTTTGAAATGCCATTTGATGTCTTAAAAAATTAAAAAAAAAATTCTTTTTTTGAAAATAAAAAAAAGTAAATAATGTGTGAAAGAAAATTTAGGAATAACCCAGGAATTTTTAATGTCTTAAATTTTTAATCAAAACATGCACAAATGTGCTAACAAAAAATAATTGTTTCCAAGTATATTAAGATGTTTTAATAAAAAAAAATTTTCCGCGCAGACAGAAGGGCACATTAAAAATGCCAAATAAAGCTAATTTATGTGTGACGTTTTTTGTGTATTTATTTTACTGTTAGATTTTTCTTTTAAATTATATAAATAATTAATAAATGTGTGGGGGAGATTTTTTTAATTTTCAGAGTTTGGCAAAGTCTCTCTACTAGAGTACACACACATTTTTTCCTTGTTTTATAATGATTTCCGTTTTTATATTTTTCCTGGCAAATTTACAATAAAATGTGTGTACTTAAAAAATCACAAAACATTATAATTAAAATGGCACGTGTAAAAAATGTTTTTTAATAACTTTATTTTTTTGAATTTAACCTATAAACTAAAAATTATCAAAAATTATTTATAATTAATTAATTCTTGTGTTTAAAACAATTTTAATTTTCCGTAAAAGCAACGCAAGCTTTGGACATTTATTAGTGTTTGGGTGTGGTAAATTTTTTTCTTTTCAAATGGAAAAGGCTCCTCCCTTCGAATTAAAAAAACAGTTATATTTAAAAAATTGTTTAGAGGTAAAATATTAAATAAAATCCAAAATAGAAAAATTTTTAAAAAAATCTTGAAATGGAAAAGAATTAAGAAAAACTCTCCTTCTCTTCATAATTAAATCAAAAATGCAATGTGTTAAAAAAACAAACACGAAATTAAAATTTTTTTGCTTTTTAGATTTCTTATTTTTTACATGTATTTTGTAGTCTTGCCTGACAAAAATTGTCAAAGTGTTAGCAAAAAAAATGAAAAAAATTTTTTTGTAAATTTAGTCCTACTCTCAAATTTCATTTTCTATATTTGGACAATATAAAGCATCAAATTTTTATATGCTCTAAAGTATTAAAAAAATAAAAAAAAAGAAGCTCTCAACGTCAAATAATCATCCAAAAAACTACCAAACTTAGGGAAATGAATTGACGGGGGATTTGGTCAAATAAAAAGAAAGAATAATAATGTACATAGTAGAATTGCCTCATTAAGATGATGAATAAAAAATTTTTGGAGTTGAAAAAAGGAGAGAAAATTGAAATAAAAAAATCGGAGGCGTCCAAATTTTTTAAAGTTAATTTTTAAATGTCAAGAGGTTAATTGAAAATGAAAGACAATTATTCAACAATTTTAGAAAGCACTTGGGGGAGAGATGAAAAAGGTGAGTTGGACTCTTGCGAAAAATTAAAATTAAAGAGATTTAATTAGCTGAAAAGCATTCTTGCAGAAACTTTTTAGATAGGCCATAAAAGTAAAAAACAAATAAGAATAAAAATCAAAAATTTTAAAAATAGTAGACTAAGGGGTATCTTATAATATTTTGGCTTATAATATTTTAAAAAGTTTATAAAAAATTTAACTCACCTCAAGTTTAGTCATTTCCAACAGTTCAATGCCACCTTTAATTGTTTACTTCCTTCCTCGAATTAATTCCTCTTCCACTTTTTAATTCATCTCAATAGCTATGGTAAGCATAACTCCAAATATTGCGGAGATTGTTGCTGCGCGAACATATTATATTGTTGTTGCGCGTGTTGTTATATGGGGCAATTGTCACAACTACCAAAAAGGAGTAGTAGAGAAAATTGATTGGATAAATCGAAGAATTGTAAGGGCACTTTGTTGTTAAATAAGGATTGAATGACCGGATCGACAAAAAGAATAAGCAGAGCAACTAGCGAGCTTTTTCTTTATAATATGGTGTAGATTCCATCATCCACAAAAGGTAAAATATAACTAGAGTAGTTTATATTGAATAGAAAAGCAGGAAAAATGCTGCGACAAAAATAAGGGCGACCTTCAAAAAAATTTTTTAAAGTTATTTTTTCTCCTACCAATTTATTGCCAAAATTCACAAAAAATAAAAAATATTATTCCCAAAAATTCTACAATTTTTAAATTACCAAATTTACTTAAAAATGCAAATTTTTTACTCCACATATATTCTTTATTTTAATTTTCTTAATATTTTTCTTCACTTACTTGTAACTCCAACATTTGGTATTGGCACTTCCACACGTGTACAGTGTCCAGAAGGGCATTTCCTCTCTCGGTTCAGTTCAGCATTTGATGGCTCTGAACGTTTTTATAAATTTGGTTGTCAAGCATTCAATAATGATCTTTGGAAATCTGACGGAGAAGAACGTTGTGAAAGCACAGAATTTACTGCTTTAGAAACAGGATCTGATATTTATTTGAGCTGTGATGGCAATCAGGCACACTAAATTATTATAAAAATACTTTTAGATTATTTAAAAAATTTTTAGTATACCGCAGGAGTTCAAATTGTTGAAACAATACCATCAAGTGCTGGCCAACTTCCAATAGAACATTGGCAGTTACTTTGTTGTCATAGCAATTCAATTCGAGTACGGACATCTGATTGTGTTGAAACAAAATTTATAAATGATTTTAGACGTTCTTCTACATTCAGTTCATCCGCGCAGGTTTTTTTGGCCATAAAACAATTTCACCATTTTCTTTAAAAGATTATTCGTCGATGGCAAGCAATGTCAGAAAACAGGTTAGAGAAGAGCATAATTCAATAAATCCCTATAAATCAGTGATAAACGTTGGTGGCTTCAAATCTGCCCAGTTGATGTACATCCTGCACCTAAAATGAGAAAAAATGGAGATGTTGATATAAGAGCGAGAAGACAAATACCTGTTGAATGGAGTAATTCAAGATTTTCATACACACCTGTAAAAGAAAATGCTTTAAAGGGGAGTTAAAAAATAATTTTTTAGGAACAACAAATTTCTTCAAAGTTAAAACCATTCTTTCGAAGAGGATCACAAAATATTACTCCAAATAAATGGCCAAGAATTCCACAACGTTTTAACACTGTAAATTCTTATTCGGTTGGAAGGGGTAGTGAGACCGGAATTGGAAGATTAGAACCACAGAAAGCGCAAATTACAACAACCACAACGTTTCCTTCTACAACAACTTCAACGTTAAAAACATCTCAGGCAAGTTAAAAAAATATCAAAGATACATTAGATTGAAGTTTCAGTTAAGTGTTGCAGAAAAGGAAGAAGAGGAAGAAGCAACAACAACAGCAATTATTGAACAAAGGAATATTACAGAAAACCCTACTCCCCCTACTACTAGTAAATCTGTTAGCCGTCGATTAATTCCATTAAGGCATTCACGTCTTTTACAATTTGTAAAAAATATTTTATTTCTCTTCTTTTATTTAGTAAATTTTTCAGAATGAAAAAGCACGAACACGTTCAACCCCACAAGAAACAACAACTGAAAATGCCAAAACTAGAACACAAACAACACCAATAACTTCAAACGAACCAAAGAAAACAACAACAACACTTCCGACAGATGTTTTGGATTATTATGACATGTTTGTAAAATTTTCCCCTGAATATTTTCTTAACTTTTCTAATTTTTCATGTATGACGAAAATTTCGACAAATCCAAACATCAAGGAAGTGGAGGACTTTTAGATGGAGTAACTGATTTTATTCAAAGTCTCCAAGATGGATTAACACTTGCACAAGCGGCATTCCCAGCTAAAATTAATATGGAACGAAGTGATGGAAATGGCAGAAAAGGATTTCAACTTCGAATTGCAGTAACTAATCCACCAAATACTGTGGATTTGAGGAATAGAAAAGAAACAGAACTTGCCTTTTCAAAAGATGAAGCTTCTTCTTCTTCACATGAAAGAGATGATAGTAAAAGATGGGATGATCGTCATAATATTGGATCTTTTGTTCAACAAAGTGATAGCCCAGTACCACAAAAGAAAATCATTTCAAAAAGGCCAGAGGCAACCAAAAGAGAATCAGTAAACACAATTGAGTCAATGTTGCAAATGATTGGTTTATGCCAGGGACATCCTGAATTATAAAAAAATTTAATTGGTTCTATATGTAGCGATTAGTATCAGGTTTCGAAAAAAGATTTTCGAGAATATTCAGAGGAGAAATTTATTTTGATCGATTATTTGGGAAATTATTTTAAGGAAACCTATACAACCCTGATACATTAAAGATTCTATTTAATATTTTTTGTTAAAAGCGTAAAATAATAATTTTAATTTTTTTAAATTGTGATTCTAAATTTTTAAATTAAAAAACCTTGTTATTAAATTATGTAAAATTAGAATAGGCTAAATAAGTCGCATGAAAGCAATACAACAAAAAGTAGATAATCAAAAAACGCACGTATCAAATGCCAAGTCAGCTATTAGAGTGCCAAATGCCTGCTCTTCTTTCCTCTTCACTCTTAAAAATTAATTTTTAAAAATGATAAAATCCCATAAAATCGTCATTCATTTGTTTTTTATTTATTTTTCTTTAATTTTATTTGGTATTTATTGCCAAAATCGTATAATGAATGGCCGACTTTATGCTAATTATGAACCTTGTCCTTTTCCAAAAGTTGAGATTACAAATAGCACCGATCCGTTTGTTGCCCCAGAACAAAACGTAAAAGAAGACAAAACACCACAAACTGAAGGAAACTTTGTTTTAGAAGTGCCTCAAGGTACAGGAAATATTACGATTGAAGCGGTAAGTCTAACTTAATTCTAAAATGTAAAAAAATATTTTTTAAAGGAATGCCCATCAAAAGAGCCAGGAGACGAAGGGAAAATGATTAAATCAAATTATGTAATAGAATTAGCAAAAGTTGAATGGGAAGGGGCTAATGAACTATTACTATTTAATGACGTTGATCTTTTAGCATTTGGATACCCAGAACAACCTATCGGTATTGCCTAATGAGTGCGCTCTTATGTTATAATGAACCTTGTTTCATTTCGTATGAAACCTAAGAAAATTTCAAAACGAAAAGTTGAAAAGATAGAATCACTTTATAATTTAAGAATTCAGTCTATGAGCTTTTGAATTATTTAGATTTTGTAATTTTATTTACTTATTTTCCTTTTCTGTAAAAACCTGTTCTCTCAAATTTTCATCCATCAAATCATAAATACCACATACCAAATTAGCTGGCATTGATTTGTCTAAAATATTTTATTTTATAAAAATTAATAAAAAAAACCTATTTGTTTTGGATAAGGCAAATTTAATGAATTCATAATCTGTACAAATTCGTCCTCAGATTTGCTTAGCCTTGGATTGAATTTTTTCTCTTCCCAAACAGTGGTGACCATTCTACCCGTATAATCTAAAAATAAAAAAGTCGTGTAAACAAAAAAATATTTTTAAATTTACCATGAGCAGGGAACAATAAGTAATCAGAAGGAAGACTTAAAATTTGTTTATGCACCGAATTGTAAAGTGTATGAGGATCGCCTTGTTGAAAATCTGTTCTTCCACATCCTCTAATTAAAAGGGCATCGCCTGTAAAAGCCATTCTAAAAAATAAACATATGGTTGACTATTACAATTATAACCTGTGCTTGTGAAAAACATAAGTGAGACAGCCTAGACAAAATTTTGATATAAAAATAGAAACAAAATAAAACCATTTGTGTGTCCAGGCGTTTCTCTGACTTCAAGTTCGTTATTCTCACCCCATTTAATCACGTCATATTGCTTGACCATAACATCAACTAGTAAATAAAATGTTAAAAAAGAAACCATTTAAATTACCTGTCGTTGCTCCAGCATTAGCAGATAAAACAGATTTCATAAGGGGAAAACCATTTACAGAACGTTTAATTTGTCCAGTCCCAGTAACATGATCAGCATGAATGTGAGTATTTAATCCATAGACCAAATTTAGTCCAAGTTCGCGAATTAGCTAAAAAGTAAAATTTTAACTAATCTTTTCTTTATACCTTTAAATCTCTGTTTGTAGTCTCAAGTACTGGATCAATTATTAATGCTTGTTTTGTAGAATTGCATCCCAATATATATGTAAATGGGTAATCCTGCAGAATCTGGGAGACACCTTAAAAACCCCTGTAAAATTATTTTTTTCCCATAAAAATCATTTTATTTAGGTAATCGACTATGCTGATCACGAATCTGAGCTTAAAATTTGCTTATTTCGAACCCCGGACCCGAATTCCACCAAGTCGAATTCGGGGTAAAAATTCAAAATTAAGATATTATGGTTATCCTTACTCGTCTCTTTATTCTGAGTCGAATGGTATCAAAATTATTCAGTTTCGACGATTTTAAACGAAGTAATGATGCCGGTTTTCTACACAGAAGTCTATACTAACGTGTATAAAATTGATCATAACCTCGTCTAAAATGGTCGAAACTGAATAATTTTGATACCGTTCGACTCCATTCGAATAAGCTTGTCAGATTAGCCCTAAATTTTTAATATCGAATTTTTACCCCGAATTCGACTTGGTCGAATTCGGGTCCGGGATTCGAAATAACCAAATTCTAAGCTCAGATTCGTGATCAGCATGGTCGATTACCTGTATGAAATTATTTTCAGAAAAAAATAACAATTTTTAAGTTGTTTTTTAAGGTGTCTCCCAGATTCTGCATGATTACCTGTAAATGTGCAAGAAACAGATTCAAAGAGCTGAAAAATTATAAATTAAACAAGAGAAAAATAATGTTAACCTGTCGAAATATCAGATTTGATGACATTCTATAAATAAAGTAACAAAATTAAAATTGTTTCAATTTTTAATAGAGATTTCAAAAATACCTAATTGAAATGTTATAAAATGTTTATTAGATATTTAGAAAATTAGATATTTTAATTTTGAGGTTTTGAAATTGATATTACGAAAGATAGGTATTATGAAAAAGAAATTTGAGACGAAAAATAAAAAAATAGTTCAGTGACTGTCTCACCTGTCTAGACAATAAAAGGAAGTTGACAGGGAAGTTGACAAGTTGGACAATGAAGAAAATCATTATTGATAAAATTTTGACAAGGAAATAATTATTAAATTTAATATATCGCTTTTCACATTTTTCTAATGATTTATTAATTCTTTTTTTTTTGATTTTTAGAGGGTACTTATATTTCATTTTTATCTTAAATAACAATTTAATTTTTTTTTGCATTGATGGATAAAAGAAAGAAAAAAGATAGGATATCAAAGGTTTGTTTTTTAATAATTCTGAAATATCTAATTTTCTCATTTAGAAAGGTTCTTCTAATGAAAATCCTGACAAATTGACAAAGGAAGAGGATGCGGTTAGGGGACTTTTAAATTAAATTCTGACCCTTTTTTCCTTTTTTGGCAGATTGCTCGTTGTGTGCGATTTAATTGTCCTACTAATACAACAATGTTTGAAGGAAATGAAGTTAATTATTTTGTTGGTAAGTTTGTTTAAAAAATAATTTTTTCAAAAAACCTTAATTTTTCAAGCCAAAAAAGCTGTTGATACACTCGTTGAATCCAAAAAATATGGTGCTGGATCAAAATCCAAAAAATTTCCCGATGCTAAAACAGCCGAATATTTTCTTCAATCATTGTTGGAAAGAGGACTTTTCTTTAGAGCAAAGAAAACTGTTTTAAAGAAAAAAGAAAAGGAAACAACTGAATCATCAAAGAAAAACCAACAAGATGGAAATAAATCACCAAAAATTGATAAAAAAGAAAAGGAAAAAGTTGAAGAAATTGGAGAAAAAGAGGAAAAGAATGAAGGAGGAAATAAAGAACAGGTTAATGATTTGTTTTTTTATATACGTGTAGAGCTATCCCCTTTAATAACATCAAATCCATTGATATCCCCTCAATCCCTCCAAAGCCCTCGATATTCCTTTTCAAAAGTTGTAGGTTTTGGGATCCTCTGAGCGTAGGTCTTCAGGTTTGACCCCTTTGATATAAATATTAAAAAAATATTTTTTTAAAAAGGAAGAAGATAAGAAAAGAAAGAAAAAGATTAAATTAACTTTTAATGATTTACAAACATTTGATGTTGAAACAAATGATGTTTATGTTTGGGTTTTTGATCCAACACCTTTTTGGAAGCAATGTGTTGGAGTTTTAATTGTTCTTGGAACTATTGGTGGTTGCCTTTTCCCGTTATGGTTCGATTTTATAATTAATTTCAAAAATTCTTTAAAATTTTAAAGGCCAGATTGGCTTCGTTTAGGTGTTTATTATCTTTCCCTTACTGGAATAATTCTTTTTGGAATTTTCCTTGGATTTGCTTTAGGTTTCTATTTTTTAATTAGTTTTTTTCTAAAATTAAATCTTATTTTAGTTAGAACTATATTATTTGGTATAATCTGTGTTTGCAGTCTTGGTATTTATTTCTTTATATTTAATAAATCTGGATCCAAACCTTAATTTTCCCTTAACCTTGATCTCTTATATTTAACTACTAATGTTAAATTTAAAAAATTGTAGGTCGGCATTATCTATGGATTCTACCAAATTTGCTGGAGGTTTTGTTTTTTACCCCTTTTGGTTAAAAATTAAATTTTCTAGGAATGCAGTTTCTTCGAGAGTTTCCAACCATTTTACACTTACGTAATTTAAAAAAAAATAAATCTTTTGATAAATCGAATTTAGGAATACGTCCCGGGTGGATTTTTTGGCCCAAAAACTGAAACGAAGAAAAAAGATGGTGCTAATAAAAAGAAAAAAACGAATGATGATAACGATGAGGTTTCTGAAGAAAAGAAACCACTCCTTGAACCCAAAGGTTAAAATAAGATTTTTATTTAAAAATTTATTTTTAAGTTGAACCTACTGATGGAGAGCCAGTAGAAGCAACAAAAGAAAATGTTGATGAACAAAAGCAGGATCCTGATGATGAGAAGAGTGTTGAAGAGGAAGAAGAATCAGTTACCGATGAAAGTACCAGTTGGGATAAACTTTCTGAAAATAGCCAAAGATCTGCTGAAGAAAATGGGGAGCTACAAAAAAATGATTAAGTATATTAAAAATTTAAATATTTTTTTATATAAATATGTGTTGGTGGTTATTCTATAATTTTTTTCGGGATAGGGGAAAAGTTATGTTTAAAAAGCTAAAAAATTCTAGTAAAAATTTTTTTTCACTTATATTTTCGGTACTTTTTTTCTTATGTATTTTTTCTTTTAATCTCCCTTTTTTCAAAAAAAACAAAAATGCATTATATAATATATAAATACATGTGTAATAATATACTCGTTTCTTTACATTTTTATGTTTTTCATTCAAAATAGAATATTTTTTGAAAAATAAAATGTTGTAGATTTGCTGAACCAGTATTTATTTTTTGATAATATGCTCTAAATTTAATTTGTAAAAAAACTTTTAAATATTTTGAAGCCTTCGTTGTGTTTCTAAAGATGAAACAAATGATTCTGCTTCTTGTATTGCTTCATCAACAATAGAATTGGCCATATTTTCAACTGATGGTAGATTGGACGAAAAACTTTGATTTTCAACAGCAACACTTGTTGTTAAACTTTCATTTGTTTGCTCCAAATTGTTTTCAAAATTACTTGAAGATGTTGGAATATCTTGATCATTTGGTTCATTTGAAGCCTTAAAAATTAAATTGAAAAAAATTAAAGATTTTTAGAGTTCGATGGTTTCAAAGTGCCTGGTCCGGTACTCGGGGTTTTCCTTTCAAACAGACCCAGGCCGAGTTTTCCTGGCTAAACTCCAAAACCTGATTTTATCAATATACCCAGTTTCCGGGACTAAAAAAGCTACCGAGCCCGGAAACCCCAGTCCCGGACCAGTGTCGAACTCTGAAGATTTATACTTACAATATTTTCCAAGATTTCCACTGCTCCTCTAATAGTAGTTGACACATCATTGCTTGACCTATTTTCAATATTTGTATTTCTTAAAGTATTATTTCCATTTTGTGAAGTTATTCTAGCTGTTCGATTTTCATTCACTTGTCTAATTCTAACCAAATCAACATTTCCATCTCCATTCTTAATTTTTTAAATTAAAAATTCTATTAAGAAAAATTTTTAAAAAAACCTCAGTATTTATACGTCTAACTGCATTAATTAAGCGTTCTTGATATATAATATATGGAAGTTCGTAATGATGGAAAAAATAAACCATCGAATGCTACAAGAAAAAATTAAAAAATATTTTTATTAACAAGAAAAACCAGAGTAAATGCAGCTGAAGTTAACAAAGCTAAACTGCTATACACACCTTTATAGGTATTTAAAAAAATTTCTGAAAACAATTTACCATTGTAGTGATATTGATAAGCATAGAAAGCAAAATGGTAGAGGTAGAAAAATCTGTAAAAGATTAAATTAAAAACCTCCTCAAAAAATAATCAAAAAACCTCAACCAATAACGCCTTCCAATTGATGAATGGCAAAATATTGCATCATATTGATCAGCCATCCAAACAACTTTAAAATTAAAATTTATAATAATTTTTAGAGATCGAGGTTTTTTAAGGAACTTGAACAGATTCTTGACCTTGAATCAAGAAGAAATCAAGGCCAAGAAAAAATCAAGGAACTCCGAAAATGTCGGTCCAGAAAAATTAAGGTCTGAATCCAGCTCGATCTCTAATAATTTAAAAATATCTTTTTTTCTTACATAAAATAACATAAAAAGCAGTTGTTGTATCATTAAATATTTCACTCATTATTGCTTCCATTCCTTAAAATTAAAATTTTTTATTCAAAAAATGACAAAAAAAACAAACCAACTAATGCCAAAATAACAGTTAAAAGAGGAGCAATAGGGAAAATTAAAGGTTGATTTTGTTCAAACATTTGAAATAAATCAACAATAAAAACAAAAATTTGATCATGACTAAATCGAAGAAGCATTGAAATTGCAAATGTCTTTTTGAAAAAGATTTTTTTTAATTTAAAAAATTTATTTACTAACAAAAATAAGCATAACAAACAATGCTGTCAAATATCTACTTGCAGAAGTTTCTCCAACATTAACAAAATGATATAGTTCTCCGTTAATTAAGTCTCGTAAATAACCTTTAAATTTTAAAAAAATTTTAGGTACAAAATTTAAAAAAAAGAACCTCTCTCTGTTTGATTTTCAGAAAGTTGTTTAACTGAAGACATAACCAACTCATCTATTCCAATTAATAAACGCATTAAAGGTTTGTCTCTCCAATCTTTCAAACATTTATCTTTTCGAATATCAAGCTTAAAATTTTATAATTAAAAAAATATACATTAATCCAAACCTGGACATCCATAATATTAACTCCCAATTCTTGACGCATTTCCGAATTTAAACGTAAAAGTCCATAATGAAGAGAAAATTCAAATAAATTCTTTAAAATTTAACTTAATTTACAAAAAAAATTTTTAAGTATGAATTACTTACGCTATAAATAGGGAAATATTCATTCGAACTTGAATCTAAAAATAATTTTAAAAAAATTGAGTAATTTGGAAAAACCTTCAAAATTTCCATTCTCATCTTTTTCATGTTGAACATCAGTTTTAAAAAAAATAAAATCTTTGAAAAGAATTAAAATGTTAAAAATTAAAAAAAACCTTCATCAAAAATTTGTTGAAATTTTCGAAATTTATCCATCACCCAATAAAAATAATCAACCATAAATGGAAATAAAAATTTTCTTGGACGTTTAACACGATCGGGCTGTGAAGTAATAAGTAAATTTTTTGGATCAACAGTTTTAAATGGATTTTTTAATTCAGAAGGTAAACCATATCCTTTTAAAACTTCAGCAGGATTCAAAAAACACGTATAGAAATCTTTTTAAAAAATTCTTTCATTTAAAGAGATACAAAAAACAACCTTCATCGAATCGACAGATACCAGAAGATTGCTCTTTAAAATTATTTTTAAAAATATTAAAAAGTATTTTAAAAAACATACCTTCTTTATCAATAGTTCTTAACATATAATTTTTAAATTTTGGCAAATTATCGTGAACAATCTTAAATGAAAGAAAGTTTTATTTATATAAAAAACTATTCTATATTAATCTAATTGGTACTTTATGGAAATCCAAAAATTAAAAAAAATTGAAGTCGTCCCCCAATGGAAAACAAGTCAAAAGTCCATTCAAAATTTAAAAAATCAAACCTCAATCCTTACAATTCCCTTCAATGGCCAAGTCTGTTTTATTTCATTTAAACAACTTGCAGGATAATGTGCAGCAAGAAAATGAGTATAAATTAAAATTGATAAGAAAACTAGAGCCTAAAATATAAAACTCTTTAAAAATATTTTTGAAAAAATTACATTAAATAAGGTAAGAAATTCAAAAATTCTTCGAAAAAGTGGAGGAAAATTTGTGTAGTAGGGAAGTGAAAGGCGGACCTGAAATTAATTTTAAAAAATTTTTTAATTTAAAAAAAAATCAACAAACCAGCATTGCATGAAATAATCGATCTCTAACAACTCCAAATCTTGGATTTGCATCACCAACATGATTACCAATATCATTAACAGAAACGCGTTGATGTTCAATATAAAATGTTGTGCTAAAAAAAGACAAATAAAATGAGAAAAAAGTATCTAAATAATTAAACTTTGTAGTATTTGTATTTTCATTTGGTTGTTGAGTTGCTTCAGTCATTTTTCTGTGTTTATTCAAAGTGGAATAAAATCTTCAACAGAAGAAAAATATTAACTGTTAAAATTCTTATCAATTAAAAGTTGATAATCAAAAAGATTTAAGCTCGGACTCAAATGGTCCCTTATGGTCACCGTCTGTTCAGTGCGCCCAATCAAAGAAGGCCGTTTCAGAACAGCCAAGTCAGAGTATGACGAAAAGACTCAAAATGTCCATACCGGAAAAGCCTATTCAAAGCAGCAAATTCTGTGCATGATTCTCACGAATAACATACATAACTAGTCTACAACCCAACCCCAGTACTGTAAATTTAAGTAAATTTTAGAAAAACTTCAAATACTAAATCCTAACTAAATTTAAAAAAATTTTTTAAAGTATTAACAAAGTTATGATACAAAAACATAAAAAATCTTCAAGTATATTCTTGCAATTGCACAAATATATTTTTTTAATTTAATTTTTTAAATTTTCTTTAAATTCTGATATTTTTCCTTCTCTCGATCCTTTCGAATCTTCCTTTAAAAATTCAAAAAAAATCTTTAATCAAAAATTTTTTTCACAAACTTGTTTAATTTCTTCAGGTAAAAGGCACATTTCTTCCAAAGAATTAATTAATCTTTTAACTTCCCTAAGTTTTTCATCAAGTAATCTTTTTTCACTACAAAGTTTTAACAATTGTTCTTTACAAAATAGCCATTCTTGTAAAGCTTCAACATCCCCTCCAAATTCATAAGCAATTTCTGCGTCTAATTGTTTTTCTCTTTTGTTCAAATATTTTTGTATTGATTGTAAATCGTTGATCCTTAAAAACAGAAAAATTAAATTTTTTAGAAAAATTTTTTTAACTAACTGTTCTTGTAGTCGTTGATTCCACTCTTCCTTTTCACTCATTTCAATCTCATTTATTTTTGAAATTCCATTTTTCCGTTTAATCCTTGGTGGTTGTTGTTGATCAACCAATTGTTTTTGTTGACAATTTAATAAAATATCCAAATCTGCAATTCTTTCAATTTCTTCACAAAAAGTTTGAAGACGATCAATTAATAATTCAGTATTATTTGTTTTATTATTAGAAGATTGTTGAATTCTTTCAAATAAGGAAACAATTAATTGTTTTATTTCATCCAAATCACGTAATAACAATTCTTTATCTTGTTCTCGATCAGTTGCTTTTCTTGCCAGAGATTCTATTGACTAGTAAAAAACAAAAAATTTTATAAAAATTAACTCCATATTGATCAAATGACCCAAAAGGTCGACTTCAAATGTGAGTATTAAGGATTTTTGTGGATTAAGGACTTGTGGGTATTAAAGGAAAAAAGACAAAAAATCTCTCGTACAACTATAAGATAAGGATCAGAAAAACTCAACAAAAACCTAGACCCCTTTAAAAGAAATAAAAAATATACTTGAATTCGACGTTTTTCCAATTCCCTAAGTTGTTCAATAGAATGCTTTTCTGGATTTTCAATAGCAAAATATAAACTATTTTGTAAAGAAGCTAAAGAAGGTGAACTACTTAAAGAAGATGATGTTGATGAAGAAATTGTTGTTGTTTGTGAAGGTGGGGATGAAAAATATTGATAAGAATTTATTAAAGAAGGTTGGTTATTGTTGTCTGTTAATGATGTTTTTAAATTTTCATTCTTATAATTTTGTGTTGTTATTAATTGCTTCATTGGAGGAGGAAACTGAGAAAATTGTTGTGAAATATTATTAGTAGGTGATGGTGAAGAATTTTCATTAAAATTAAATTTATCATTATTTTGTTGTTGTTGTTGACCTTGATTAAATGATTTTGAATGTTTTGCCATTGATAATTGTGTTGCTAATAAAGATTGTTTTTTAGGTGGTAATGGTGGAGGATTTAATAATAAAGGCTTTGGTGATGTTGAAGAATTTAATAAATCAGAAATTAAACTTGCAGATGAATGATGCCTAGGTGGAATAGGCAATGGATGAACCTTTATAAAAATTCTTTTTTTAGAAAAAATAAATTTTTATAAACCTGGACAGTTGGTTTTCTAAAAGCAAAAGTATTTGTAGTAGGTTGTTGCTCCAATTGAAAGGATTGAAGAGTTAATGGTGATGGCATTTTATCAATAGAACAACCACCAGTATTATTATTATTTCCAGTTCCTCCTGCCTTCCAAGAACCATCAAATGAATGTAAATTTGGAAATTGTTGTTGTTGAGGGGAGCGAGTGATTGATTCAAGCCTGGAAAAAAATTCTTCGGTTAAAAAATTTAAAAATACTAATAAAATTAATAAAAAAAATTCTATACTTATTCATCCGATCAATAAGCTGTCCAGCCGAAAGCCTTTCCAATTCATCACTGCTAAAATTAGTAGTTGATGATGTTATTGTTGTAGCCTCTCCTCTACTACCATTAGCATTATCACTTCCCAATAAAGAATGGTAGCCATTTTCATTAATTAAATTTCTGTAAGCCATTTGTTTTAAATTATTATTAACAACAGGTTCTGTATTTCCTCCTCCACCATTATTTCCTCCTTTATTTACAACATTTTGTGACATTCCTCCAACTTGTTGTTGAAATTGTTGTTGGGCTCTATAATAAAAAATAAATTTTTTTTCAAAAAAAAATGTTTGCTAACTTTTGTCGAATTTTTCTTTGCGCTCCTGAAGGACTTCGATGTAAAAAAATATTGTTACTATTAGACTGTTGTTGTTGCTGTAAAATTAAAGAAGTGTTTTGATGTTCAATAGATTTATTATTTTCATTATTATTGTTGTTAGTCAGACTAGTAGTCATTGAAAGAAAATTATGATTACGATGAGGAGGAAGGGAATGAACACAAATGGAAGATGATGAAGAAGAATTATTTGGTGGATGATGCTGCTGCTGAGAAAAAAATTTTTTTTTATTTTTGGGAAAATATATTTAAAAAATCAATTTATTTTTGTAAAAGGAAGAATTTTTAAAGAAGAATGTGAATGGAAAATAAATAAATATGAAGAAAATTGGGGGGTTTATTTTTGGGTAAGAAGAAAAGAAAGCAAAATAACGATTAGAGAAAAAAAAGAAGGTGAATCATCCCCCCAATAACTATCGAAAAATGACAAAATTCTCTCTTCCTATATTTCACCAATGCCATGTTTTACCAATAAGGATAAAATCCATATTTTGCCAAAAAATTTATTGGCAAAATAAGGGTTTTTAGCAATATTGGCAGAACAAGGATGGGTGAAATATGTGGGGCGAGATATAAAATTAATATATTCAAGGTCATTTTGTTGGCAAAAGAAAAATTAAAACTGAATTTTTAATTAAAAGGAACAGTAATTAATTAATTTTAATTTAAAGATAAAAATCTTTTTTTTTAAATCACAAGTGCAAACAAATGTGAATGCTTTTTTTTTTAATAAAACTGACAGCAAAAAGAAGGGATCGTCAACAAAAACATTTTTTGAATAAAAGAATTTTTTCCCCTTATTTTACTGTCCATTTTTGTTGGCCGAGTAGCCAAGAGGACAGTTTTATATATTAAAAATATTGACGGCTGGCGCGCAAAATAATAATAATATATAAAATGGAGGTAGGGGGACAACAAAGAAGAAAATGAGATGAGGAAAAGAATTGAAAGAGAAAGATTTATTTGGAAGAGGATAAATAAAAAAGGGATTGACAGCGAAAAGGCCGTGAGGCTATCCGACACAAAAATATTCAAAAATGGAGGAAAATAATTAAGAACCCCCCTCCCCATTTAAAAATAAATTAATTAAAAAAAAGAATAACCTTTTGTTGTTGTGTAAAATATTTAAATTCTTCAACATTTGTAGGAAATTTTGAAATTGAAGTTGCAGGAAAAACTAAAAAATTAAAAAGAATTTTTATTTTAAATTTTTAAAAATAAACCTTCATTTAAATTAGATAAATTAATTCCTTCTCTATTATTCCAATTCCCAAATTTATGGTTAACCAATCTGTCTTTGCCAGTAAGTGTATCATTTCGATAATTATTCATTTAGGAAGCATTTATTTTTTGTTCATAATTTCCAAAAAAAAACATTTTTTGTACCATCATTTTTTGTTGCTAAATCTGTGCAAAAGTGCGAAGAAAGAAAAGAATTAGAGGAGAACGAGGCGTTGTTGTGGACAAACATTAAAAAAAAGTACAAAAGAGAACAAGTAAAAAACAACAACAAAATCGCCTGGTCCAAAGCTTTTGTAATCTTTCAGTAACAGACTGGCTGCTAATTCTTTTTTTTTAAATTTAGAGAGGTAAAGAATATAAAAAGGTAAGGAAAAGCTTAAGAATTAATTCTTTTCCTTCCTTTCTTCTAAAAATATTTTTATTTATTTCCACAGCAACGATGACCAACCAACACAACAAATGGCCATTTAGTAGGATAAAACTTAAAAATTATTTACTAGGTTAAAAGAAAGGAGGGAAAAGGAAAGAAAATTGAAACAAACCATATAACAATTATAAAAGGTCGAAAAACCAAGTGTCTGTCAACAATTGAAAAAGAATTTTTAAAAGAAAGCAAGGAAAATTTTTTTCCTTTTTAAAAATCAGTCGGTCACACAACACAAAATATATTTTCTTTCCTTTACAAGTGCAAAAGCTCATAAAAATTATATATATTTTTTTCCTTTCTTAAAAATATATTATTTCCTGTAACACATGCCCTAAATAAAAATTTATAATTTCTTTACCTTTCTCTATTAATTTTGGTTCCTATTCTAAAATTCAAAAAAAGAAAACAACCAAAATTCACTCCTCTCAAGTCTCCCCCCCCCATTCCCCGCTCCCTCTCTTTCCTTAATAAGATTTAACAAAAGTAGAGCTAATTTTCTTCTCCCTCTTAAAATTTTTCTCACCGGTCACAATAAAACACTTAAAAACGTTCCCCCACTTAACTTTTTACACTTTTAAAAAACTTTTTAAATTTACGCCTAATATAAATTAATAAAAAAAAAATACTAATGCAAAAAAGGAAGTTAGGTCATTTCACAAAGTCTTTCTATATTCTGTCCACCAATCTTTAACACGTCCATCCCATTCTGAATCAATTAGAACTTGCTAAAAAATAGATTTATTTTAATTTATATTTAATTTATACCCTTGAAATATTGCAATACCAAAATGCAAATTTATTTTCAAGTGAAAAATCACGAAATGCAACAAATTCGGCTTCTAAAAAATAAAAATCTTTTGGAAAAAAATAAAAAAAATAAATACCTGAATCAAAAGCTGAATATAGAGTACCTTAAAAATTTTTTTCCCAATTATTATCAATTAAATTTATTTTTTTCGAACCTTCCGAACATGTAAACCTTCGTCTCTCTTGTTCCCATAAGTAAATCTATAAAAAAATTTAATTAAAAAAAAAGTCAAAAATATAAACCTGATCAGTAATTGTTACTGGAATCAATGAGGTTGAAGACTAAAAACAACAAAAAAATTTAGCAAAAAAATTTAAAAAACCATAGGAATAGAAGACGAATGTTGTTGCTGCATCTGTGGATGAGAATTTGATCGTAAATATTGACAAATTTGGCGTGCTGTTATACCCGTCTAAAAAAAGAAAATAAAGAGCGAGTAATAAGCTAAAATAAGGAAATTAAAAACCTGTAAAGCTCGTCTAATTGAATCTCTGCTGAGTAAACCTAAAACACTTTAAAAGAATATATTTTTCGAATATAAAAGAATTCACACCAATAGAAACATTAGGAAATCGATAAATAATTTCAGCAAATGTTGAAATTATTGCCAATTGAAGTGTTGAATTTGTATAAGCATAAATACTTTGAAAAAAATTCTTTGACTTGAAAAAAATTTATTTTTTCACAAACCGATAATTTGTTTCAACAATAAGAAATCCATTTTTGTTTAGCCCTCCTCCTCCTTTATTCTCCATTAAATTTTCCACAATTTCTCCTCCATTTCCAATTTCTCTAGTTATTTCAACTAATAAAGGTGTTAATAAAAACCATCTTAAAAAGAATTTTTTTCAAAAAAGAATTTAAAAAAATCGAATACCCATCCTTTCTTTTTCGAATAAATATAAGGCCAATTTCCCTAAGTGTCATTAAAAATGCTTGAACATTTTCTGGCCATGTTTGATCAAGAACTTGAGGACTAATTTTTCCTTTAAATTTGTTAAAATCATTTTTAAAAACAAATTTAAAAAAACCTTCATTTGGTTGAATACAAATAGTTAGTCTTAAAAAGAATTCAATTAAAGGAAATATTGGCTCATTCTTTGAAGATAAAAAACGGAAATAATGAATTAAATAAGTCCAAATTTGTTCACTTCTACTCATTAAAAGAAATTGAAATCCTGATGAGGAAATTTCTGGTTCTCTTGTGCCTATATAAAAATTTGTTGTTAAAAAGACTTTTGAGGAAACTTTTAGATCAGTAGGTCAAAACTTTATACTTTTCATTCGTACCATTGGATAGAGCATCATCGATTTACTCAAGAAAATTTTCGAGTATTTTGGCTAGGAATATGAAATATATATATATGGAAGTTCGTAATGATGGAAAAAATAAACCATCGAATGCTACAAGAAAAAATTAAAAAATATTTTTATTAACAAGAAAAACCAGAGTAAATGCAGCTGAAGTTAACAAAGCTAAACTGCTATACACACCTTTATAGGTATTTAAAAAAATTTCTGAAAACAATTTACCATTGTAGTGATATTGATAAGCATAGAAAGCAAAATGGTAGAGGTAGAAAAATCTGTAAAAGATTAAATTAAAAACCTCCTCAAAAAATAATCAAAAAACCTCAACCAATAACGCCTTCCAATTGATGAATGGCAAAATATTGCATCATATTGATCAGCCATCCAAACAACTTTAAAATTAAAATTTATAATAATTTTTAGAGATCGAGGTTTTTTAAGGAACTTGAACAGATTCTTGACCTTGAATCAAGAAGAAATCAAGGCCAAGAAAAAATCAAGGAACTCCGAAAATGTCGGTCCAGAAAAATTAAGGTCTGAATCCAGCTCGATCTCTAATAATTTAAAAATATCTTTTTTTCTTACATAAAATAACATAAAAAGCAGTTGTTGTATCATTAAATATTTCACTCATTATTGCTTCCATTCCTTAAAATTAAAATTTTTTATTCAAAAAATGACAAAAAAAACAAACCAACTAATGCCAAAATAACAGTTAAAAGAGGAGCAATAGGGAAAATTAAAGGTTGATTTTGTTCAAACATTTGAAATAAATCAACAATAAAAACAAAAATTTGATCATGACTAAATCGAAGAAGCATTGAAATTGCAAATGTCTTTTTGAAAAAGATTTTTTTTAATTTAAAAAATTTATTTACTAACAAAAATAAGCATAACAAACAATGCTGTCAAATATCTACTTGCAGAAGTTTCTCCAACATTAACAAAATGATATAGTTCTCCGTTAATTAAGTCTCGTAAATAACCTTTAAATTTTAAAAAAATTTTAGGTACAAAATTTAAAAAAAAGAACCTCTCTCTGTTTGATTTTCAGAAAGTTGTTTAACTGAAGACATAACCAACTCATCTATTCCAATTAATAAACGCATTAAAGGTTTGTCTCTCCAATCTTTCAAACATTTATCTTTTCGAATATCAAGCTTAAAATTTTATAATTAAAAAAATATACATTAATCCAAACCTGGACATCCATAATATTAACTCCCAATTCTTGACGCATTTCCGAATTTAAACGTAAAAGTCCATAATGAAGAGAAAATTCAAATAAATTCTTTAAAATTTAACTTAATTTACAAAAAAAATTTTTAAGTATGAATTACTTACGCTATAAATAGGGAAATATTCATTCGAACTTGAATCTAAAAATAATTTTAAAAAAATTGAGTAATTTGGAAAAACCTTCAAAATTTCCATTCTCATCTTTTTCATGTTGAACATCAGTTTTAAAAAAAATAAAATCTTTGAAAAGAATTAAAATGTTAAAAATTAAAAAAAACCTTCATCAAAAATTTGTTGAAATTTTCGAAATTTATCCATCACCCAATAAAAATAATCAACCATAAATGGAAATAAAAATTTTCTTGGACGTTTAACACGATCGGGCTGTGAAGTAATAAGTAAATTTTTTGGATCAACAGTTTTAAATGGATTTTTTAATTCAGAAGGTAAACCATATCCTTTTAAAACTTCAGCAGGATTCAAAAAACACGTATAGAAATCTTTTTAAAAAATTCTTTCATTTAAAGAGATACAAAAAACAACCTTCATCGAATCGACAGATACCAGAAGATTGCTCTTTAAAATTATTTTTAAAAATATTAAAAAGTATTTTAAAAAACATACCTTCTTTATCAATAGTTCTTAACATATAATTTTTAAATTTTGGCAAATTATCGTGAACAATCTTAAATGAAAGAAAGTTTTATTTATATAAAAAACTATTCTATATTAATCTAATTGGTACTTTATGGAAATCCAAAAATTAAAAAAAATTGAAGTCGTCCCCCAATGGAAAACAAGTCAAAAGTCCATTCAAAATTTAAAAAATCAAACCTCAATCCTTACAATTCCCTTCAATGGCCAAGTCTGTTTTATTTCATTTAAACAACTTGCAGGATAATGTGCAGCAAGAAAATGAGTATAAATTAAAATTGATAAGAAAACTAGAGCCTAAAATATAAAACTCTTTAAAAATATTTTTGAAAAAATTACATTAAATAAGGTAAGAAATTCAAAAATTCTTCGAAAAAGTGGAGGAAAATTTGTGTAGTAGGGAAGTGAAAGGCGGACCTGAAATTAATTTTAAAAAATTTTTTAATTTAAAAAAAAATCAACAAACCAGCATTGCATGAAATAATCGATCTCTAACAACTCCAAATCTTGGATTTGCATCACCAACATGATTACCAATATCATTAACAGAAACGCGTTGATGTTCAATATAAAATGTTGTGCTAAAAAAAGACAAATAAAATGAGAAAAAAGTATCTAAATAATTAAACTTTGTAGTATTTGTATTTTCATTTGGTTGTTGAGTTGCTTCAGTCATTTTTCTGTGTTTATTCAAAGTGGAATAAAATCTTCAACAGAAGAAAAATATTAACTGTTAAAATTCTTATCAATTAAAAGTTGATAATCAAAAAGATTTAAGCTCGGACTCAAATGGTCCCTTATGGTCACCGTCTGTTCAGTGCGCCCAATCAAAGAAGGCCGTTTCAGAACAGCCAAGTCAGAGTATGACGAAAAGACTCAAAATGTCCATACCGGAAAAGCCTATTCAAAGCAGCAAATTCTGTGCATGATTCTCACGAATAACATACATAACTAGTCTACAACCCAACCCCAGTACTGTAAATTTAAGTAAATTTTAGAAAAACTTCAAATACTAAATCCTAACTAAATTTAAAAAAATTTTTTAAAGTATTAACAAAGTTATGATACAAAAACATAAAAAATCTTCAAGTATATTCTTGCAATTGCACAAATATATTTTTTTAATTTAATTTTTTAAATTTTCTTTAAATTCTGATATTTTTCCTTCTCTCGATCCTTTCGAATCTTCCTTTAAAAATTCAAAAAAAATCTTTAATCAAAAATTTTTTTCACAAACTTGTTTAATTTCTTCAGGTAAAAGGCACATTTCTTCCAAAGAATTAATTAATCTTTTAACTTCCCTAAGTTTTTCATCAAGTAATCTTTTTTCACTACAAAGTTTTAACAATTGTTCTTTACAAAATAGCCATTCTTGTAAAGCTTCAACATCCCCTCCAAATTCATAAGCAATTTCTGCGTCTAATTGTTTTTCTCTTTTGTTCAAATATTTTTGTATTGATTGTAAATCGTTGATCCTTAAAAACAGAAAAATTAAATTTTTTAGAAAAATTTTTTTAACTAACTGTTCTTGTAGTCGTTGATTCCACTCTTCCTTTTCACTCATTTCAATCTCATTTATTTTTGAAATTCCATTTTTCCGTTTAATCCTTGGTGGTTGTTGTTGATCAACCAATTGTTTTTGTTGACAATTTAATAAAATATCCAAATCTGCAATTCTTTCAATTTCTTCACAAAAAGTTTGAAGACGATCAATTAATAATTCAGTATTATTTGTTTTATTATTAGAAGATTGTTGAATTCTTTCAAATAAGGAAACAATTAATTGTTTTATTTCATCCAAATCACGTAATAACAATTCTTTATCTTGTTCTCGATCAGTTGCTTTTCTTGCCAGAGATTCTATTGACTAGTAAAAAACAAAAAATTTTATAAAAATTAACTCCATATTGATCAAATGACCCAAAAGGTCGACTTCAAATGTGAGTATTAAGGATTTTTGTGGATTAAGGACTTGTGGGTATTAAAGGAAAAAAGACAAAAAATCTCTCGTACAACTATAAGATAAGGATCAGAAAAACTCAACAAAAACCTAGACCCCTTTAAAAGAAATAAAAAATATACTTGAATTCGACGTTTTTCCAATTCCCTAAGTTGTTCAATAGAATGCTTTTCTGGATTTTCAATAGCAAAATATAAACTATTTTGTAAAGAAGCTAAAGAAGGTGAACTACTTAAAGAAGATGATGTTGATGAAGAAATTGTTGTTGTTTGTGAAGGTGGGGATGAAAAATATTGATAAGAATTTATTAAAGAAGGTTGGTTATTGTTGTCTGTTAATGATGTTTTTAAATTTTCATTCTTATAATTTTGTGTTGTTATTAATTGCTTCATTGGAGGAGGAAACTGAGAAAATTGTTGTGAAATATTATTAGTAGGTGATGGTGAAGAATTTTCATTAAAATTAAATTTATCATTATTTTGTTGTTGTTGTTGACCTTGATTAAATGATTTTGAATGTTTTGCCATTGATAATTGTGTTGCTAATAAAGATTGTTTTTTAGGTGGTAATGGTGGAGGATTTAATAATAAAGGCTTTGGTGATGTTGAAGAATTTAATAAATCAGAAATTAAACTTGCAGATGAATGATGCCTAGGTGGAATAGGCAATGGATGAACCTTTATAAAAATTCTTTTTTTAGAAAAAATAAATTTTTATAAACCTGGACAGTTGGTTTTCTAAAAGCAAAAGTATTTGTAGTAGGTTGTTGCTCCAATTGAAAGGATTGAAGAGTTAATGGTGATGGCATTTTATCAATAGAACAACCACCAGTATTATTATTATTTCCAGTTCCTCCTGCCTTCCAAGAACCATCAAATGAATGTAAATTTGGAAATTGTTGTTGTTGAGGGGAGCGAGTGATTGATTCAAGCCTGGAAAAAAATTCTTCGGTTAAAAAATTTAAAAATACTAATAAAATTAATAAAAAAAATTCTATACTTATTCATCCGATCAATAAGCTGTCCAGCCGAAAGCCTTTCCAATTCATCACTGCTAAAATTAGTAGTTGATGATGTTATTGTTGTAGCCTCTCCTCTACTACCATTAGCATTATCACTTCCCAATAAAGAATGGTAGCCATTTTCATTAATTAAATTTCTGTAAGCCATTTGTTTTAAATTATTATTAACAACAGGTTCTGTATTTCCTCCTCCACCATTATTTCCTCCTTTATTTACAACATTTTGTGACATTCCTCCAACTTGTTGTTGAAATTGTTGTTGGGCTCTATAATAAAAAATAAATTTTTTTTCAAAAAAAAATGTTTGCTAACTTTTGTCGAATTTTTCTTTGCGCTCCTGAAGGACTTCGATGTAAAAAAATATTGTTACTATTAGACTGTTGTTGTTGCTGTAAAATTAAAGAAGTGTTTTGATGTTCAATAGATTTATTATTTTCATTATTATTGTTGTTAGTCAGACTAGTAGTCATTGAAAGAAAATTATGATTACGATGAGGAGGAAGGGAATGAACACAAATGGAAGATGATGAAGAAGAATTATTTGGTGGATGATGCTGCTGCTGAGAAAAAAAATTTTTTTTATTTTTGGGAAAATATATTTAAAAAATCAATTTATTTTTGTAAAAGGAAGAATTTTTAAAGAAGAATGTGAATGGAAAATAAATAAATATGAAGAAAATTGGGGGGTTTATTTTTGGGTAAGAAGAAAAGAAAGCAAAATAACGATTAGAGAAAAAAAAGAAGGTGAATCATCCCCCCAATAACTATCGAAAAATGACAAAATTCTCTCTTCCTATATTTCACCAATGCCATGTTTTACCAATAAGGATAAAATCCATATTTTGCCAAAAAATTTATTGGCAAAATAAGGGTTTTTAGCAATATTGGCAGAACAAGGATGGGTGAAATATGTGGGGCGAGATATAAAATTAATATATTCAAGGTCATTTTGTTGGCAAAAGAAAAATTAAAACTGAATTTTTAATTAAAAGGAACAGTAATTAATTAATTTTAATTTAAAGATAAAAATCTTTTTTTTTAAATCACAAGTGCAAACAAATGTGAATGCTTTTTTTTTTAATAAAACTGACAGCAAAAAGAAGGGATCGTCAACAAAAACATTTTTTGAATAAAAGAATTTTTTCCCCTTATTTTACTGTCCATTTTTGTTGGCCGAGTAGCCAAGAGGACAGTTTTATATATTAAAAATATTGACGGCTGGCGCGCAAAATAATAATAATATATAAAATGGAGGTAGGGGGACAACAAAGAAGAAAATGAGATGAGGAAAAGAATTGAAAGAGAAAGATTTATTTGGAAGAGGATAAATAAAAAAGGGATTGACAGCGAAAAGGCCGTGAGGCTATCCGACACAAAAATATTCAAAAATGGAGGAAAATAATTAAGAACCCCCCTCCCCATTTAAAAATAAATTAATTAAAAAAAAGAATAACCTTTTGTTGTTGTGTAAAATATTTAAATTCTTCAACATTTGTAGGAAATTTTGAAATTGAAGTTGCAGGAAAAACTAAAAAATTAAAAAGAATTTTTATTTTAAATTTTTAAAAATAAACCTTCATTTAAATTAGATAAATTAATTCCTTCTCTATTATTCCAATTCCCAAATTTATGGTTAACCAATCTGTCTTTGCCAGTAAGTGTATCATTTCGATAATTATTCATTTAGGAAGCATTTATTTTTTGTTCATAATTTCCAAAAAAAAACATTTTTTGTACCATCATTTTTTGTTGCTAAATCTGTGCAAAAGTGCGAAGAAAGAAAAGAATTAGAGGAGAACGAGGCGTTGTTGTGGACAAACATTAAAAAAAAGTACAAAAGAGAACAAGTAAAAAACAACAACAAAATCGCCTGGTCCAAAGCTTTTGTAATCTTTCAGTAACAGACTGGCTGCTAATTCTTTTTTTTTAAATTTAGAGAGGTAAAGAATATAAAAAGGTAAGGAAAAGCTTAAGAATTAATTCTTTTCCTTCCTTTCTTCTAAAAATATTTTTATTTATTTCCACAGCAACGATGACCAACCAACACAACAAATGGCCATTTAGTAGGATAAAACTTAAAAATTATTTACTAGGTTAAAAGAAAGGAGGGAAAAGGAAAGAAAATTGAAACAAACCATATAACAATTATAAAAGGTCGAAAAACCAAGTGTCTGTCAACAATTGAAAAAGAATTTTTAAAAGAAAGCAAGGAAAATTTTTTTCCTTTTTAAAAATCAGTCGGTCACACAACACAAAATATATTTTCTTTCCTTTACAAGTGCAAAAGCTCATAAAAATTATATATATTTTTTTCCTTTCTTAAAAATATATTATTTCCTGTAACACATGCCCTAAATAAAAATTTATAATTTCTTTACCTTTCTCTATTAATTTTGGTTCCTATTCTAAAATTCAAAAAAAGAAAACAACCAAAATTCACTCCTCTCAAGTCTCCCCCCCCCATTCCCCGCTCCCTCTCTTTCCTTAATAAGATTTAACAAAAGTAGAGCTAATTTTCTTCTCCCTCTTAAAATTTTTCTCACCGGTCACAATAAAACACTTAAAAACGTTCCCCCACTTAACTTTTTACACTTTTAAAAAACTTTTTAAATTTACGCCTAATATAAATTAATAAAAAAAAAATACTAATGCAAAAAAGGAAGTTAGGTCATTTCACAAAGTCTTTCTATATTCTGTCCACCAATCTTTAACACGTCCATCCCATTCTGAATCAATTAGAACTTGCTAAAAAATAGATTTATTTTAATTTATATTTAATTTATACCCTTGAAATATTGCAATACCAAAATGCAAATTTATTTTCAAGTGAAAAATCACGAAATGCAACAAATTCGGCTTCTAAAAAATAAAAATCTTTTGGAAAAAAATAAAAAAAATAAATACCTGAATCAAAAGCTGAATATAGAGTACCTTAAAAATTTTTTTCCCAATTATTATCAATTAAATTTATTTTTTTCGAACCTTCCGAACATGTAAACCTTCGTCTCTCTTGTTCCCATAAGTAAATCTATAAAAAAATTTAATTAAAAAAAAAGTCAAAAATATAAACCTGATCAGTAATTGTTACTGGAATCAATGAGGTTGAAGACTAAAAACAACAAAAAAATTTAGCAAAAAAATTTAAAAAACCATAGGAATAGAAGACGAATGTTGTTGCTGCATCTGTGGATGAGAATTTGATCGTAAATATTGACAAATTTGGCGTGCTGTTATACCCGTCTAAAAAAAGAAAATAAAGAGCGAGTAATAAGCTAAAATAAGGAAATTAAAAACCTGTAAAGCTCGTCTAATTGAATCTCTGCTGAGTAAACCTAAAACACTTTAAAAGAATATATTTTTCGAATATAAAAGAATTCACACCAATAGAAACATTAGGAAATCGATAAATAATTTCAGCAAATGTTGAAATTATTGCCAATTGAAGTGTTGAATTTGTATAAGCATAAATACTTTGAAAAAAATTCTTTGACTTGAAAAAAATTTATTTTTTCACAAACCGATAATTTGTTTCAACAATAAGAAATCCATTTTTGTTTAGCCCTCCTCCTCCTTTATTCTCCATTAAATTTTCCACAATTTCTCCTCCATTTCCAATTTCTCTAGTTATTTCAACTAATAAAGGTGTTAATAAAAACCATCTTAAAAAGAATTTTTTTCAAAAAAGAATTTAAAAAAATCGAATACCCATCCTTTCTTTTTCGAATAAATATAAGGCCAATTTCCCTAAGTGTCATTAAAAATGCTTGAACATTTTCTGGCCATGTTTGATCAAGAACTTGAGGACTAATTTTTCCTTTAAATTTGTTAAAATCATTTTTAAAAACAAATTTAAAAAAACCTTCATTTGGTTGAATACAAATAGTTAGTCTTAAAAAGAATTCAATTAAAGGAAATATTGGCTCATTCTTTGAAGATAAAAAACGGAAATAATGAATTAAATAAGTCCAAATTTGTTCACTTCTACTCATTAAAAGAAATTGAAATCCTGATGAGGAAATTTCTGGTTCTCTTGTGCCTATATAAAAATTTGTTGTTAAAAAGACTTTTGAGGAAACTTTTAGATCAGTAGGTCAAAACTTTATACTTTTCATTCGTACCATTGGATAGAGCATCATCGATTTACTCAAGAAAATTTTCGAGTATTTTGGCTAGGAATATGAAACTAAAAAGTTACGGGACTTTAAAGTTTGGCAAAAAATGGGGAGAACCCAAGAGATGATAGTTGATGACTCTATCGATTGGTACCAAAAAAGTATAAAGTTTTGACACGCAGTTCGGGAGGTTTCTTTATAAGAAAATAAAAACAAAAAAAAACAAACAAACTTCCTTTAATTAATCCAATAAAATGAAAAAGTGAACGTGTTGTTTCAGAAACACTTTTATCAGGTGTTTCATTAGGAAGAGCCAAATAACATAAAATTGATTCCCATCTCGAAATACTTTTACCAAGTAGATCCTTATTTGCTGATTTTTGTGATTTATCATCTAAAGGGTGAGAAGACAATCCTGACAATTTATTTAGACTAGTTAAAAGACTTGCAATATAATTCATTCGAAAATCTAACTGAAAAGAAAGAAATTTTTTTGTAAAAACTCAAAACCTCTTACATTTAATCTCAAATTTTCATGTTCCAAATCACCTTCTAAAATACCCACTTTTTTAAGGAGTTGTAACGAGTTAATAGACTGTTTCCACATTTTTTCGTTCCCCGAAAACCAATCCCTAAAATTCAAACAAAAATTTTAAAAAGAAAAAAAACCTTTAAAAATTTTACTTGCTTTTTATAAACATTAATTGTATTAAACATTGTTGAACATCAAAAGGTAACATTCTCATAATAGCAATAACACAATGCTGCGATTCATATAATTCTATAAAATAAAATTTGGAAAAAAAATATTTTTAAATTTTACAAACGTTGAATAAGATCTTCTCCTTGAGTAGCCAAAAATTCCAAAAATGGTCTATCATTAAATATTGAATCAGCCATTATTTGAAAATATTATATATTGGCAAATAAAGGGATAATAGTTTGGCTGACCCTCCCATTTTTCCTATTAGTTCCCTGACCATTTTGAGCTTTTTTGCCTGATATATAAAAAATAGAAAGGAAAATAAGGGGGGAAGTCAGCCAAACGATTACCCAAATAAAAGTAAAAAAATTATAAAATATATAAAAATCTTATTTAACAAGATTAAAATAAAATAGAAAAAAAGAAAAACATTTAAACTTTTATTAACTTTTTTTAAAGTATTTTTTTAACTTTTTTGTTTTTACGAAGTTACAGAGAGAATTGGGAAGGAGAGAGAGAAGGGAAAAGTTATAATAATAATAATAATTTTAGATCAAAATCACGAGAATATAGAAGGACCACCACCAACTATTCCACTACTACTATTACTATTATTAGTACCATCTGCTGTTGTTTTTTGTATTGAAGACATTGACAAAGGGATTGTATTTGTTGTTGATATTAAATGCGGATGTTGTTGGTTTTGTTGATGTTGCTGCTGCTGTAGTTGATGCGGTTGTTGTAGTGATGACTGTTGTTGTTGAGAATTATTGTGTTGTTGTTGAAATGGAACAGCTGGTTTTCCTTCCAAATCTTTATATTCTAAAATCATTTCTCTTGGTACCTTAAAAAAATTATTATTTAAAAATTTTTTTGAATTTTTTTATTAAAATTATACCCTTCTCCATTGTATTGGATCAAAAGCATTATATTGACATCTTTCATATGTTCCACCAATTTCACGTGGTGGAGCTGAAAATGCTGCCCTTTGTAGCCAAAAACGTTCAATTTTGTGAAACCGCCAGTCACGCGCATATCTGAAAATTTAATTAATAAAAACGCTCAATTCCCCTCTCCCCTCCCAAGCAGGGATGTCACGGGTTCCACGAAACCAGGAGACTTTTTCCCTCTTAATCCCTTAACTGACATAAGACCCCAGCCGAAGAAAATTTTGAAGACCCGGCCCTCCCTCAACCCGTGACAAATCTACCTCCCATCAAAGTAAAAAAATAAAGAAAAACAAACAATTCAGAAGCAGCAGCAACTTGATAAACTTCGCCAGGGCAGTTATAAAAGAGGTAGAAAAGAACATCCTCGTGAAGTTTATTTAATTTAATATTTGGTAATTTATCCCTAATTGTAGCATTTGTCAAATATTCTTCTGGTACTTTTGCATCCAAGTCCTGAATTCTACAAGGAAAGTCAGCCCATGGACCACCAAATGTTTGAAATAAATTCCTTCTTAAAAATAAAATTTTTGTCTCAAAAGTTAGAAAAAAATTTCTTACTTTGATGAGTTTAGATTTAATCCCAAATTTGTCAAGTCATGACCTAGGGCGAGTCCAACTATTGATGGCGAGCTTTCAATTGTTCTCAAAAATGTAAGCAATCCAGCCATACCAAATCTTTAAATAAAAAATAAATTAGAAAATTATTCTTAAAAAATGCCCAACTGGTCATTGAGCATCCCTGGCGGAATGTTCGTAACGCGTCCTGCAAAATATTCAAGGTGAATGATTTAAAAGTCAAAAATACCATCAGGATGTGTTCGTATTCCTACATTTTCAGGGGCAATTTCCGTCACATTTGGCCTTTTTTCTTTCAAGTCGTCATTCACCAATGAGGTACTCTTCTTTAAAATTAAAAGGGTTAAAAACACCATCAAGGCAAAAATTCCCAAAAACCTGTGGTTGTTGACTGCCATGCCCCATTGAACTCGCCAGTACAGGAAAGTCATCATCATTAAACATGAGCTTAAACCTAACTAATTGACAAATAGTAATGTTGATCGTTTTGCTTTTTAATTTGTGTGAATGCAAAATGCTATAACAAAATTAATTTTTTTAAAAGATTTGTGAAACGAAAAAGTAAATATTAGAAGGCAATACTGAATAACAAAATAAATTTAAAGATGTTTTTGAACAAAACTTTTATACATAAAAATAAAATTTAATTTTCTAATCAACGATTGTGGTTGAATCTTCCTTCTCCTTCTGTTTATCCAATGTAGAATTATTAGCAACATTTTCTGGATATAGTGTAGTGTACCGGTGGTAAAAGTTCGGGACGTGACATATGTCATTCGATTCGTCTCGACGAGCTGAGTCGAATGGTACCACTCCCTACTTTAGGAAATAATTCTGGACCGAGTTATAGGTCCCGAAAAATCGAAAAACCAAAGGGGGGACCAAGCACTTTTTTGGGGTGAAAAATTCGAAAATGCAAATTATACCTCATTCGAAAGAGCTCGTCGAGCTGAGTCGAATGACACCAAAATCAACGAAATCCGACTTGATTGGACCGAGATATAGGCCCCTAAAAACCGAAGATCCAAAGGGGCGATTTTTGGAATAAAAAATTTTTTATACAAATAATACCTCATTCGAAAGAGCTCGACGAGCTGAGTCGAATGACACCAAAATCACCGTGATTGAATAAGATTAGACAAAGTTATGACACAAAAAAAAACAAAAAACCTAAACCTATGGAGCGTCGGCGAGGCGCTTGTGCAAAACCCCGCGCTTCGCGCGGGGTTTTGCGGCACGCGCCTCGCGGGGAGTCTACGGGCGATGGGTCTGGGCTCGTAACATAAACCTATTCCTATCTCCCTTGCTCTGGACGTATTTGGGGCCTCAGTAGCAGCAAAAATCTCCACAGATGCCATAGGTAAGGAGCTAAAACAAACGGTCATAACTTTGTCAAATCAAGTCGGATTTTGTTGATTTTGGTGTCATTCGACTCAGCTCGACGAGCTCTTTCGAATGAGGTATAATTTGCATTTTCGAATTTTTCACCCCAAAAAAGTGCTTGGTCCCCCCTTTGGTTTTTCGATTTTTCGGGACCTATAACTCGGTCCAGAATTATTTCCTAAAGTAGGGAGTGGTACCATTCGACTCAGCTCGTCGAGACGAATCGAATGACATATGTCACGTCCCGAACTTTTACCACCGGTACACTACACTACAGCCCATTTTCTAATTGTCCATTTGTAGAAATTTCTAGTAATACGAAAATTAAACTCTCTCTTCTTTTTAATCAATTTAGACACAAAAATAAACAACTTTACTTTTCTTTTAAATAAACCACAATTTAAAGCGAATGAACGAACGAACATGTGGGAATGAAAATAGGGTTTACATTAAAAGAGGGGAGAGAATAATTGGATGGGGTTAATAAAATGGGTAGAGAACGAAAGAAAAACAAGTGCTATTTCTTTTTAGCATCACATCCCGCTCGCTTCAGATGACGGCGTCCTCGACGTCAGAATAAGATCTTCTAGTTCGGTCTGTTTTCGTGAAAGGCTTTGGGTGGCGAGATTGTTCTTTCTTGCTCTTGGGACTAGTCAGTGTCAAGGTGATCATAGGGTTCTCGAGACCGACTCGATTTAAGGAACCCGATCTTCGATGAAAAGTTTCCATGTGGACTCCAATGGTGAGAAATTCGGTCACCGAAACCGATTCTACCAGTCCTTTTTCTTCCTTTCTTTTTCTTTTCTTCCAGTCTTTTTCAATTTCAACACCGTTTGAGTCACAAATTACATCTTGTTTTATCACCGAGACAAAATACAAGACATTCTTCGGGTTCAAATCAAAAGTTATTCGGTTTATACCCTTCTTAAAATTCTTAGAAAGTTGAGGGACTCTGATCATCGTGACCAGTTTTTCAAAGTTCAAACACCTCCGAACTTCGAGAAAAAATCGTCCCGTGATTTTTCTTTTCAAAATTCCATATTCAAAATCTTTTCCAAAATCATTCCTTACATTTTCTTTCATTAGAACCTCACATCTTAGTCTTGCCAAAATTCTTGCTTCCTTCAATTTTGACCTTAACAATTTTCTTTTTTCCTTAACATTTTCATTTTCTTCCAAAATTTTCAATTTGTCTCGTGTTGGGAGGATTTCTTTTTCAGGATCCGACTCAAACACTTCCAATTTAGGTCCCAAACTTTCTTGCTTATCATCATTTTCTTCAACTTCCAAACCATAACAATAATCATCCATTTCCTTCAAATCAAAATACTCTTCACTTTCTTTTTCAAATTCTTTCAAATCAACACACAAATCACCTCCTCTTTCTTTCAAATCACATTCTTCCTTTCCAAATTCATTCAACTCAACAGATGCTTCGCCAACTTTTTCCAAATCAAAACACTTTTCACTTTCAGAAGAAACAATTTCAACGGGAATATCCAATGGAACAATTTCTTGAAAAACATGAATTTCTGTCGGAATAAGAACTTCAACAGATACAAAATCTTGTTTTCCATCTAAGGAGAAGTTAAGTTCCAAATCCAATTCACAAAATTGTTCATTTCCAGAATCTTCCAATAAACCAATATCCAAATCTTTTTCGGAAATATCACTTTCCTCTTTAAATTTATTTTCAGCCTTTTCTTCAAATAAATTTATGGGAAGATCAAAATCAGCTTCCTTTTCAAACTCCACTAACAAATTCTTTTCCTTAATATCCTTCTTGATTTCCTTTTTGTGTAAATCCGTTGGGACCGAATTTTGCAATTCATCAACCAATTTAATTTCTTTTTCAACAATTGATGGTTCCTTTTCTTTTGGACATCCGAAAAATTCCAAAACTTCAGAAGGGTAGGAAACATTTTCGAATGGAACGTTAATCTTGTTGAGCGATGATTTTTGAAATTGGTTATTAAGTTTTCCCTTTTTCTCAAAATTTTCAAATTCGCTTTCGTCTTTAGCCGAATCTTGGTCGATTGGCTTTTCGAAAAACTCCAAAATTTCTTTGGGAAATTCTTCTTTTTCAAATCGAATGTTGACCTTATTTTTGAAAGATGGCGTGGGAATGTTTTGCTGTTTGTGACATTTCTCATGACCTTTCAAATTTTTCTTTTGTTGAGTGGAGTTGGTTTGCTTTTTAACTAAATCGATTGACTCCTCGACTTTGTACTCAGATGGAAGGAGTTGACAAAGGATGAAATTCTTAATCGATTTATAGTTGTAGTGTCTGGACTTGATTGCAAGAATGAAGAAACTCTTTGCCTTGCCATACAGCTTGGATTTCAGAGCAAAAATTTTCTTTTTCTCTGACCAATCTTGTAGAGTAATATCGAATTTCTTGAAGAACTTCTTCATTTCAAAACTTCCTTCGGTTCCATCCAAATCGGGAATGGTTTCCAAAAGTAATTGTTCGATTAGTTGAGTCGATTCTGGTGGGATGAAAGAGGAAGGATGGTATATCATTTGTTGAGGGATAATTGGATGGTAAAACAAATTTGGAAAGCCGTAGAATTGGTTATAAGGATGCTCTGATTGCGTATTGATGGCAATATTCATTGGAGTTTGATGCTGAAGAAAATATTGATTCCAATTTTGGGGCGTCGTTTCCATTCTTTTGCTGTTTTCCAAGCCAAATTCAAATTTTATCCACCGAGGCTAAAATTTGACAAGATGAAAATTCAATCCACCCACCGAGGGAAAACTGAATAAGATTTATTTTTAAAAAAAAATCTCAAAAAAAGTTGTCAATCCGAAAACTATCCCACCGAGGAATAACTTTCAAGCAAATTTTGTTGTTGGTCTACCAAAGACCTGTTGCCAAATAATCCAAAAAAAACTTGGTCCACCGAGGGCCAATTGAAGAACAAAAAATAAAAGTCAATTCGTAAATAAATTCTCTTCTTTCTCACAAAGAACAACCTCTTCCTCAGGAGCGCCAAGTAATACGAAAATTAAACTCTCTCTTCTTTTTAATCAATTTAGACACAAAAATAAACAACTTTACTTTTCTTTTAAATAAACCACAATTTAAAGCGAATGAACGAACGAACATGTGGGAATGAAAATAGGGTTTACATTAAAAGAGGGGAGAGAATAATTGGATGGGGTTAATAAAATGGGTAGAGAACGAAAGAAAAACAAGTGCTATTTCTTTTTAGCATCATTTCTTTTTAGCATTTCGGCTGTTAACCGAAAGGCTGGTGGTTCGAGTCCACCCAGGAGCGCCAAGTAATACGAAAATTAAACTCTCTCTTCTTTTTAATCAATTTAGACACAAAAATAAACAACTTTACTTTTCTTTTAAATAAACCACAATTTAAAGCGAATGAACGAACGAACATGTGGGAACGTTAATCTTGTTGAGCGATGATTTTTGTTTATCCTTCTGTTTATCCAATGTAGAATTATTAGCAACATTTTCTAATTGTCCATTTGTAGAAATTTCTTTTTCTTTATCACACGTTGAATTGGAATGTTTTTCTTCTAAAAAATATTTTTTAGTTAACTTTTAATTTAAAAAATAACTTGAATCAGTTTTCTGGAGTTCTCCATTTGTTTGTTCACATATTTCAATATCACCATCATCTGAAGACGAACTACTTTCTGATTCACTAGAAGTTGACTCTGAAGTAGATGTTTCAATGTCAAGTTGTCGAAATTCCAATGGGCCTTTATTTACATAATGTCCATGTTTTAATGTGTCCATTGTTGTCGGTACCCATTCATCATACTAAAAAAAAGGAATTTATTAAGAGATTAAGATTTTAAACAATGATCTTGGCTCTTAATTTTAAGTAAAGACCTTGACCAGATTCGTGACCTTAAGGAAAAATCAAGGTCAAGATTTTTCCTTTGAGTCAAGGAAAAATCAAGGAACCCTGAAAAATCTGGATACAGGAAAAATTAATGTCGGGGCCCAGATCTAGTCGGTCTCAATTGTCAGAACTATGAATAGTAGATATCAAACCGCTTGAGTGTCATCAATAAAATCATCTTCTTGTACATATCCAAGTCCTTTGTCCATCACATCTTCTGGCACAAATTTAAGAGGTTTTTTATTTTTCTTTAGTTTCTTAGATCCAGTAGTGGGAGAAGAAAAGTTGAGCGTTCCAGTGCCCTTAAATTAATCAGAAAAAATTAAATAGAAAATAAACCCAACATATTTTGCTTCAAGGCGTCGAACAATTTCCTCAGCATCCCTATCATGAAATCCATCACATTTATTAACATCTGTTTGTTTGGAATCAAACTAAAAAGTATATAAATTTAAATTAATTTATAATTTCTTGCCTACATTCAATTCACGGCAAACTTGTTCAAAATCAAAACGGGGATAATTCCTTGAAGTAGAAGGAAAAAGCTTGAAATCAATCACACGAAGACTACATTCTTTCTCGGCTGGATTTTTCTTTTTTGCAATACCAATTGAAGGAAACATTGTAATTTGAATATTTTATAAAAAAAATTAAATTTAATAAATCGATAAAGATTTATTAATTTCAGCGCCATACCTTCTCGACCATTTCAGCGCCATACCTTCTCGACAACGGATACGGGACTACTCGGTGCGATAAGTCAGGTGGACCAATCTGGCACGACCGGATTAATGGGCAGCTGAGCGCAGGGCGTCAAAACAATTTGACGCATAGGCGCCCAATCTTAAGTGTTGAATGCCCCTACTTCATGTGCCCCTACTTCAACACTTAAGTAAATTTTGCGCAAAAAACAACGCGATTTCAATTTTCAAAAAATAATTTTTTTCTAATTTTTTAAACTTAAATCAACAATCAAAAAATTAAACATTTAAAAGATATTACAACAGAAAAAATTAAAAGCTATATAAAAGCTCAAACAAAAAACAAAAAAAAAACCTAACAAAATTTTTCTCTAAATTTTCCTATAAATTCTTTATAATTTAGAACCTCTCTCTCTAAATTATTGCCAGCCTTAAATTTTTTTGTTCATTTATTTTTATAATTCCTCCTTTTTGTTCTTCCTTTTTATTAACAACATCAACATCTTTTTTTGTTGCATACATTAAAACCATGAGTAAAGGAAGATATGCAAGTGTGTAACGAAATAAAAGACGAGCATTTCTATAAAAATTTTTCATTTTTCTTTAAAACTTTAAAAAACCTTCTTACTTTGAATCTGGTTTCGAATAAAATTTCCATCCAAGAATTAACATCCCTAAATTCAATGGAGCAGAAATTGCAGAAAATGTCCATGTTGTAAGCTCTGTCAATGGAGCAGCCAATTGACAAAGAAAAATGAGGATAATTGAATGCCTTTAAAAAAAATTTTCCCCAATAGTTTTCCAAAGAAACCTTAAAGTTGTTCGACGACAAAGTCCTTCATTTGTAACACACATAATTTTATATCCAGCATTTTTATAATCTTCACGTAAATTCCAACTTAGCGCATTAAAATGAGGAAATTGCCATGAGAATAACAATCCTCCAAGAACACAAGCAGCAGCATCAAGACGGCCTGTTGCAGCTGCATAACCCATTAATGGAGGTATTGCCCCAACTATAGCACCAACCCAAGTACAGCTTAAAAATTTTTTATTTAACTCGTTCCTATTTTTTCATCCACTTTGATAAAGTGGAATCAGCACACTAGGATCGGATTTTTACTAGGGATCGGATTTAAAGGTTGTAAAAAAAAAGGAAAAGGAAAAAATTTTAGGAAAAAAATTTTCTTTAGGAAAAAAATTTTCATTTCAAAAATCTTTTAACCTGTGATGCATTCTTTTCATTGGGGTATACACTCCAGCATATAATGCAATATTTAAAAATCCAAGGCCAGAAGTTAAATGATTACAACCTCAAATTAATTAAAAATTTTTAAAAAACCTTTAAAAACGAACATAAACAAAGTATTCCAAGTCCAGCAACTGCTGTTGTACCAGCAAAAAGACAAGCATGATTTGGTGTTAAACGCCCAACTGGCAAAACTCTAGACTGTGTTCCTTCAAGTTTTTTGAAATTTAAATTTAAAAAAATTAAAAAAAACTTCTCATTTGCCCATCAAATTGTCTTTCAATAATATTATTACAAGCACAAGCAGATGCTGAAAGTAAAGCAGTTCCAGCAACACAAGATCCAAATAAGGCTGGAGAAACACTTGCCAAAGTAGGTGACATAACTAAACCTCCCATTGTTGTTGATGTAATTAATGCTGTTAAACGACATTTTGAAAGCTTTAAAAAATTTTTTATTTTTTAAAATCAAATAAAATTAAAAAAATAAACTTGTAAATAAGCACTAATTAAACTAATCCGTTGAATAGGTGATGGATGCATTAATTTTCGGGTAGATATCAACTAACAAAAAATATTGTGCTCCTAACAAAAAAATGTTGATTGAAAAGTTGACCTTATTAAGACCCTGTAAAAATGTTAAAAAAGAAATTTACATGAAAAAATCAAAATATTTTAAAGATTGAAATATAAATCTAACAATAAAAGTTTAAAAAAATTTAACAAACACAAAAAATTGAGAATTATTTATGCTTCAAAAAATATATGTATATAAATTAGTAAAGTTAAAATTAAAAAAAAAATAAATTAATTAAAGCACAGCATCAAAAATATTTTACTTGTCGGTTATTCCCCTACACCTTTTTATTGCGGACTTTTTTTCATTTTTGCGGACCATTTATTTTTTAAGAGAAAATTTGTAGGAGATAAAACCAATATTTTCCCCAAGAAATAAATCTTTCAAAAACGTCTCCTTCGCCAATCATTTTCCTCCACATTTCCTCCTGATAGATTTGTCGTTCATTTATGTTTAAAATTAAATTTAACGTTATTAATACCCCTCATAAAATATTTCACATGGAAAATGGAGTTAAATTTGGAGAGGGAAAAACCCTACCCATTTTGCACATGTGTCCGCAAAAAAAGGGTTGGGTTAAACGACAAGTACCAAAAAATAAATATCAGAATCTTCAAAATAGATTTAAAAACCAGTTAAAAATATATAAATTAGCTTTTTAAAAAAATATGTATGTGTAGACATGACGAATCGATTAAAAAAATATTGTTGTTTAAGCGTTGTAAATTAATTTTTTAGAAGTTTTAAAATTAGAAAATAATTTAGATGTTGTTAAATGAGAATTAATTGAATTAAAAAATTGTTGAATTAAAAATTGTTGTAATTTAGTATGAGAATTTTTAGAATTAGTTGAGTATAAAAAATATATGTATAGACATGACGAATCGAATAAGAAAATTATGTTGTTTTAGTGATGTAGTTTTTTTAAGTAGTTTCAAATTTATTAACAGATTGTCCAATTTAAACGGCGTCTATCACCTAAACAAATTTTTTAAAATTTCTATTTAAAAAATTTACAAAAATAATTATTCTAAAAATTAAAAAAATAAACCCATTTAAAACCATTTTTGTGATACCCATGTAAAATTTAAAAATTTAATTTTCATTTTTAAATTGGTTTTAAGTATCTATATTAATTTTTATTTATTAATTTTATTTATTAATTTTTATTTTTATTTAAAATTTAAATTTTATTAAAATTGTTAGTTTTTCAAATTTTATTTATTTTTTACCTTGTATCGAATAAACCAGAAATTACAGGTGATGGTGTAATTTTTACATTTCCTCTCTCAATTTTTAAATTGCAAATGTTACTTTTTTTATAATTTTAGTAACATTTTGTGATTTTTTTAGAATAGATGTTTTATTATAAATTGTTGAATCAGGATTTAGAATCGTTTTCTGAGAACTAAAAATGGTTTTAAATGGAATTAAATCCCATAAATTGGTAATAGTTTGTTTTATTACACCCCTGTTTTCCCTATTCTCTGACCATTTTGAGCTTTTTCTCGATCTATAATTTATCATATATCATTTGAAAAAGCTCTTAGATCTGGGTCGAATTGGCTATCTGAAAAATGAGGAGATGAACCCTCTCTTGGAAAAGCTCCTTTGAATGATCTATAATTTGCCATAAAAGGATAATATATGATACAAAGTGATTTAAAAAAAGGTGTGGAATAAACCAAACTATTACCACTAAATTTAATATTTTCGCCAGAATAAAAAGCCGGAAATTTTCGAAAATTGTAGCTGGTGTGTTCCAAATATACCCATTTATTCGCAATAAGGCAGAATGTCTTCAAAATAATTGAAAATTCTTGCTGATGTAATTGTCAATAAGCCAACTAACTTGATGATCTGTATTTTCAATAAACTCAGCCATATTAAGCCAGTAAGTTGTTCACAAGTAAATTCAACAAACTTTCGAATAAATGGGTATCTGATTCATGATCTTGGACCAAACCAGTACTTTGTTTGGGAGGGATAGGTTTACCTTTTATAAGTGTGATACCCATAAAAATAAAATTCAAAAGTTTACCCGTTATTTTTAGAGCCCGTTGACAATGCTTGAACTTGCTTTTGAAGTTGTTCCATCATCTCCATCATCTTATTGTTAAATTTCTGTTGTTCAATCACATGTTTTTTCATCATTTGTTTTTCCTGTTAAATTAAATATATGTATTTAAATAGAAAAATGGTTTAACTCTATGTAACAAAAATAATCTAACAGGACTTAATAAAATATCAAATACCATTTAGTTTACAACTATAGAAAAAACTCAGATGACATCAAATATCAACTCAAACCTAGTTTCTAGCAAGGACATAGTCATGAGAGCTGAGTCCCCATGATTAAAAATATAGATTAAAAAAATTCATCCGAAACGACAAAGTAACGCCAAAACTTTGGCACACACCTTACATACCCCCCCCCCCCGAAATCGACACCATGTCTACGCCCTTGGTTTCTAGTACCACTAAATAAGACTTAAAACTTATTGAAACAGAATAAAACAAAAAATAAAATACTGGAGAGGATGATGAGGACGAAGACGAAGAGTCAGCACTTCTGTTTTTACGTGATTTATCATTGCCAAATTGAATAACACCTCCCTTATTAATAATCACTATGCCCATTTTTTGTCGTTTATATTTTTTTTCAGAAGTCTTCCTGTTGTTGTCATTCGTAGAACAACTAAAAATAAACAAAAAATTAGAATATTCTGAAAATCATTTCAATGCCCCTTTTAGAATATAGATACAAACCTCAAAAAATCAGCCGTATTAATCTCATCCTGGATATCTTCAAAAGAATCCAATTCGAGCTTTCGCTTTCTTTCATTAGAGGCCATTATCTCCCTTGCAATTTGTTCTTCTCTAAATGAAAAAAATAAAATTAGCTTTTCAAATTATAAAAAATTAGAAAAGTTCATTTTCAATGATTGAAAATTTCATATAAAAATATTTTTTAAAAGAAACTTCAATCTGTTCTGCCGATAAAATTCATTCATCATCTCTATATAATTACGTAGTGTAGAATCTTCATTCTCACAAAACTTTTCTTTTCGATAAAGTGAACTAGAAAGTGTTTGTAAGATAATATTTTAGAAATTAAAAAAGAAACCTGAGAGAATTTTGTGAACCGTCAAATGCACCTCTACTAAAGAAAAAAATGATTTTTTTGGCTCCTTTTAATTTAAAAAATAAAAACCTGAAAGAATTATTGTTGAGGCGAGAGTTGAGTGCTCTCAAATGATTGTCTCGTATTCTCTTTCCCCAGCTGGTGGCTGAACAGCTGTCCCATGAATTATCTTCAAGTCCATTCTTAACAGTGCTGCTAATAGAATTGTCTAGTAATTCACTTCCAGAAGCTTCATATCCGGTATTGTTATCAGACCTTCTTGTTCGATAAGCATTGTTTTTAGTTTTATAAAAACGGCTAGTCTGCGCCATATTTTATGGAATTACAATTAAAATCGCTAGACGCAAGTTATTAATCCCCTGAAAAAATAATTAGAAAATGTTTAATAATAAGTAAATTTCGAATAAAATTTAGATAATAACGATTCGAAAGTTTACAAGCTATGTATTTTTAGTAAAATATTTAAGAGGAAAAATTTTTTATAATTACGAGTAGTAATTATACGCTTATTTTTTTAAACAAGTATGGGTTTTATAGGGAAGAGAAAGGGCGGAGATGATACAAAAACATATTAGAAATTATGTGCCTAGGGAAAATGTGTAAATTTGTAAATTTATTAGAAGAAATGTATGAGAAAGTAAATATATCAAGTCAATAATTTGAAATGAGCAAAATATTCAAAAATATGAAGATTTTAAATGTTAGACAACCGAAAAAATTTGCTTAGGGCCTTGTTGTAGGGGCTCATTTAAAAAAGGAGGATGGGATGTAGTACAATCCTTGCTCTATTCCTAAAGTTAAAATGGTATATCACTGGCTATCAGAAGTACATAACAAAAATAACGAAAAAATATCAATGACCATGAGATCTACTTAAAAATTTTAAAAACTTTTAAAAACTATTTTTCATTTATTTCTTCTTCTTCTTCATTATTAATATTATTCATTTTTAAATTTATTCCACTTGCTTTTTCATTTTGTAATAACCACATTTCTGCATATAAGCCTTTATTTTCAAGCAATTGTTCATGACTACAAAATTTTTAAATTAAAATTTTTTGAAAATTTCAACAAACCTTCCAGTCTCGACAATTTTTCCTTCTTTTAATACCAATATTTTGTCTGCATGAATAACTGTAGACAATCTATGTGCAACCTGGGAAGAGAAATTTTTTTTCAAAATTTTTGCTTTATCTTACAATTAAACATGTTCTTCTATTACACAATTCAAATAAATTTTGTTGTATTGATCTTTCAGTTTTTGAATCTAATGCAGAAGTTGCCTATATAAAAAAATAAATATTAAAAAATTTCAAAAAAAAAGCAAACCTCATCCAATAAAATATATTCTGGCCTTTTAAGTACTGCTCGAGCAATAGCAACTCTTTGTTTTTCACCTCCACTTAATTTTAATCCACGTTCACCAACCAAACATTCATAACCTTTTTTTAAATTAAAAAAATCTTTTTTCAAAAAAAAAAATACAAACCATCAGGATGTGAAGTAATAAAATTATGAATAGCTGCAGCTTTAGCAGCTTCTTCAATTTCTTCATCTGTTGCTGTTGGCCTTCCATAACGAATATTATAACGAATTGTATCATTAAACAAAACAGTATCCTGCGGAACAATTGCAATTCTGCTACGAAGTGAAAACATTTTTAACATTCGAATATCTGTCCCATTAAATTTTATTTGACCATTAGTAACATCATAAAGACGAAAAAGAAGACGAACAATTGTTGTTTTACCACTACCTGATGGTCCAACCTTTAAAAAAATTTTTTTTCAAAAATTCTCAAAAAAATACCAAAGCAATAGTTTGCCCAGGATCAACAGAAAAAGAAAGATTTGAAAGTACTGGATGTCCAGTTTTATAAGCAAAAGAAACATTACAAAATTCTATACGCCCAGGAAATGCTTCCAATTCTTTTGCTCCAATTGCATCTTTAATCTGAATAAAAAATTTTTTAAGAAAATTTTTTTAATTTACAAAAACCTCAATATCTTGTTTTAATAATTCTCTCATATTTTCCCTTTAAAAAATAATTTTAAAAAACTAAAAAAAATAAAAATACATGTCAATAAATGAACGTTGTATTGTTCTATAAATTGTTCCAAAAAAATTTAAAGGACCAAAAAGTTGAAGTAAATAAGTTGTAAACAAAACATAATCACCAGCACTTAACATTTTTCCTTCTATATTATGAGATACAATAAAATAAGCAGCTAAAAGACATCCACTTGTTAAACCAAACCCAATAATAAAATTTTGACAAAAATTTAGTGCAGAAAGTGAAGCATTTGCTTTATACTCAGCTTTTTGAAAACTAAAAAATTTTTGTAAGGTCAATGTGTTATCGAACCATCATTCCAAGCAAGGACGTCAAGTGTAATCCAAAACTCGATATTACTTTTGTCCTTCTAAATCCCTCTAACTGACCCAACCCGAAACCCGGAATTTTTTTGACCCGAAACCCGATCCAGAAAAAATTTCGAAAACCCACAAAAGGAGAAAAGACCCGCCTTTTTTCTACATCCCCGGTCACAATTAATTTATAAAAATATTTTTTCCTTACATTTGATAAGCTTTCTTGTAACGTTGTGTTTCCAATTCTTCTGCATTATAATGTTTAATTGTTTCATAATTAATTAGAGAATCAACACCAATCGCCCCAGCCATTTTATCACTTTCATTCATTGCTCTTCTATGACTTATTCTCCATTCAGAAATTACAACAGTAGCAACTTTGGAAAAAATTTTAAAAATTAAAAAAAAATTTTCCTTACCCAAATAAATTATCATTGTAAAAAGAACAAGAAAACCAAAATAAATGTTAAAATTTGTAAAGAAAAATATTGACGCTAAAATAATATCTAATAGAGAAGGAAGTACATTGAAAAGAACATCTTTAAAAAATTTAAAAAATTATTTTAGTCTAAAAATAAAAAACAAACAATTTAATAAAGTATTCATTGAATCAACACCTTTTTCCATTATACGAAGAACTTCACCAGTTCTTCTAAAAAAATTTTTTTTTAATTTAATTTAAAAAAAAGAAAATTTATTTTTTACCTAGAAAGATGCCAACTTAATGAAAGTGAATGTAAATGGCGTAACAAATCGACCTAAATAAAATCAGATAAAAACCAGTGATGTCACGGGTTATCTGAAACCTTATATCAGGACACTTATTGACACGGAACCCGATCAAAGAAATTTTCAAAAACCCGACCCGACATTCTTTTTTTCTAAACCCGTGACATCTCTATCAAATAAAATGGGAAAAACCTCAATTTCTAAAGTAGTATATTGTTGAATTCGTAACCATAAAAAGGAACGTATTGTGTTTAACAACCCTCCTTGTGCTTTAAAAAAATTGTAAATTATGAAAAAATATTTAAAATTTAAACCTCCACTTCCTTGTAGAAATTTAAAAATACTAGCAATTAAAATTAATTGCCAACAAAAATAAGGTTCTTTTGATGATAAAACATCAACAATCCATTTACTATATAGTGGAATTAATACGTTAATTGCTCTTCCAATTGCTAGAATAAATAAACAAGTAAAAACAGTTAATTGTAGTTGAAGATTTTTTCTTGGCCAAATATATGGCCAAATGTCAATAATCCAATAAATTCCATTTACCCAAGCCTTTGAATTAAAAAATTTTATTTAATTAAACGGGCACTTGTGGATTGGGAGTTGGAATGATTTTCCCCTTTATATTTTTTATCTGACTATTATGAGCCCGTAAAAATTCCAAAAACGGTTTGAGATAACCCAGAAGTATTTGGAAAAAATATTCTATTATATTCTAAAATTACAAACCGATTCGTCTTTTCTTTTTAACAACCTTCCAGTAATACATGAGAAAAAAATGAAAAATGTGTTTATAACTCCAATCACATAAATTGCAAAATATGACTCGTATACACTAAAAACATTCAAAAATTTAAAAAATAGTCAAAGAACAAACCCATTAGGAAAACATATTCGCCAAAATATAAAAGGTATCAAACAGATTAAAGCAATTATTGAATAAGAAATATTTAATAAAATAGGTAAATCATATTTAAAGCGATTAATCCATAATCGAAAACATGTAATTGACCAAAATACTGAATTTAATATAAACAATAATATTGACTGTAATGACAACCAATTTTTTAGAAAAAATAAGCCAAACAATGGAAATAGAGCATTGATTAAATGACCAGATAATACCTAAAAATATTTAATTTAAAAATCACGGTCAGAATCCAGCAAAACCAATCTCATAATTTGGCCCAAACCGAGGATGTCACGGGCTATCCGAAACCCTATACCCGAGAAATTTTCCGAAACCTGACCCGAACTTTTTCCCTCTTAATCCACCGAACTTTTTTCGACCCGAACTCCTATCTTAGGAAAAAGTTGGAAACCTAACCCGATTATTCTCAGCCGGTGGCAGCCGTGATTTTGTTTTTTCAGCAGTGCCCAACCTTAAAATTAAGCCAAAATCTTACACAACTATTCTAAAAAATATTTAAATCACAAACCAAATAAAAAATTGGTTTAAGATAACCAGAACGTAAAATTTGTTGACCAGGCGAAACTTCCTTCCAAAATAATATTGACGTAGAATTTGTAATAATTAGAATCAACAATATAATCAAATAAAATATCAAAATTGCACACAAATCAGGCGGCCAAAAACTTTTTGGAAAACAAAAATCCATTTTGTACAAAATTTAAGTACAAATTTATTTTTAAATTTAATCTAAAAAGAAACTAGAAGAAATCATTAAATAAAAAAAACAAAAAAATAAAAAAATATGTATATACCAAAGAAAATGGTTTCCATAGATTCATTGATAATAATAAAATTATTAACAAAAATAAAGTCCGTAAAAACATCTGTAAAATAACAACAACATACATATGTATATAATTTACCATAAGAAGGAATTTTTAGAAAAAATATATAAGAAAAAAAAAACAACTAAAAAAATAATAAATAATTCCACGTAAATTAACAACATTTTTAAAGAATATTTCTTTCAAATATATAAAATTTTTTATATTAATAAAAAATCAACAAGGGAATCAAAAGCAAAAAGAAACTTTCTTTTTGTAAAAATATTTTTAAAAAAATTAAATTATATAAAATCTTCTCTTTTTATTTAAGCAAATTTAAATGTCCCCGGAACTGGTTGATTTGCATCAAATGAATAACCACCAGATTGAGCAAGTTGTTTTGATTCAACCAAATTTTCTTCTCTTATACAAACATCTGTTAAAGCTTTTAATTCAGCAATTCTTTTTTCACCCAATTTTTGTTGATCACAAAGAGCATCGAACAATAATGGATTATTTTGTTTCAAAACTTAAAAAAATTTTTTGTAATAAAAAATTTTTTTTAAATTAAAGAACCTTCAAATGTATGTTTAAAAAGGACAAAAACATTTAATCCTTGTTTATCATCTTGATCATCAATTAAAGTTGTAAAAGCCTCCAAATCATTTTCTTCCTTTATAAAGATGAATTATATATTTTTGGGTATCCCCCTAGTTTGAGTTTCAGAATTTTCCTTAAGACAGATGGTTAATTTTCCCGTACTAAATTCCACACCATTTCCATGTAATCTATTAAAAGGAGAGAATTAATAAAAGGCAGAAAGTCTGACCATTATGTACATCTTAAATGAAACTCTAGAACTCAACCAAGAGGGTATAAAAAAAGTACCTTATTTAATCAAAAAAGTACATTATTTAATCAAAAAAGAAAACCTGAAAATGATGATAATCTTCATCATCTGTTACACTTGAAGTAGTTTCATAACCTTCAAATAATTCATCTTCAACACTTTGTTCTTCTCCCATACTTTTACTATTTGTACTTTGTCTTTTACGTCTTTTTTTATTCTGATTATTATTTTCATTATCTACAGCTTCCAAATATTCCATGTTATCTTTAAAAACAATTTTTAAATTAAAAAAATTAAAAAAATTTCCAAACGTTCATCAACATCATCATCAGAATCTTTAAGTTCACCATTCATTCTTTCATTATTATCATCACTTGATTCTTCATCTTCATCATCTGAATCTTCTTTAATTTTATCGGCCAAACCTTTAATACAACGTTGCAAATCTTTGAAAAGATCAATTAACCAATCCATCATCTAATAAATTTAATCATTAAAATAATTTAAAAAATAAATAAACCTTTGTTGCTTCTTGTTGAAACATTGTAGGAATTAAACCACTCGATAAAAGACGACATAAAAACCATATTAACATTTTACGAAAATGTATTCCCTCAAAATTGTCTCTATTTTCATATAATTCTTCCAAAAACCATTCAAAAGTAGTTTTTTGTGTTGAATTAATTTGAAATTGTTCAAAAATACTTGTAGACAAATTAGAATCATTATAGAACCCGGCAACCAAAACCTAAAAATAATTTGAAAAAATTAAAAACTAATTTAAAAAACCATTAAAAGTTGTGGTTTATATTGATCTAAGGTAGTCTCTTCTTTTATTGAAATTTGAAGTTGAGTTAATACCAAACGAAGAATATGTGGCAAACAAGAATTTGGATGACCTTGACTTTGTAAAACAAAGACCTCAAGCATTTTCGCTGCATGCGCTTTTCCAATTTCGTCACTATCATTGTCACAAATAGTTTTTTCACACATTGATAACAACATTTGAATTTTTTCTTGTGATGACAAAAAAACTTCAGAGCCAACTGTTAGAAAAGCATGTAAAACTGGCATACAATCTAAATTTAAAAAAAATTATAAATGAATTAAATATATTACCAGCAAAAAAACTTGTATTACCAGCAAAAAATGTTGCTCCTTCTTCATTAAAAGTTTTAAATACCAAATCATAAATTTGCCACATTTCAGGTGAAATTCTAACCGCAATTAATGTATGGATTAAAGATAAAGCTTCCTCGAAAAAATCTAAAATAAATAAAACAAATAAAAAATAATAAGAATAAAAGCAAAATTACTTTCAGAATAACAATCAAAAATTGTCAAAATACAATTCCTCACGACTGGTTCAACTTTTGAAATAATTTCTGGATGATCTTCTAAAAGTCCCAAGATTGTTTCTAATGTACTCAAAATTCCCATAGCCCCAACTGTATGATCTTCAAAAATTTGTTCTTCATCGTCAGTATTTTTAACCATTTTGTTAAAGATATCAACCTTAAAAATTTATTTTAAACAAAGAAAAGAAAAATTTTTGTAGGGTCAAAGGTTCGATACCGCTTGGCGGTCAAGAATTTTTAATTGGTTTTGAAATAAAAAAATTTAAAATTTTTACCAATTCAACAGTTATTTCATAAGAAACAGGAATTATTTCTTCTTCAAAATTATCAACTAAACTATCAACAATTGTAGGTAAATCATCCAAATGTGTTTCAGAAATAAGCCTCAACACAATTATTAAAACATCACGGATATGTGGACGAATAAATTGAATTACTTAAAAAAATTTTAAGAAAACATTTTAATTTAAAAAATACATATGTTTATGTCAAACCTTTTTGATCTTGGTCATTAATTAAAGATTGAAGAGCTAAAGCAGCTTCAACTTTTACAGGCACTTCTTGGTCTTCTTTTATTGCCTTTATCAACGCATTAACAACTCTTTCCAATATAGTTGAATTCTTAAAAATCGTCTCTGAAGCAAAATGAATTACATAACAAGCTCTTAATCGAACAAAACGCGACTGAAAAAAAAATAATTTGATGAGACTAAATGGCGACAATTGTAAGGTGTTCCCAACAAAAATCCGTGTCAATTTGTGTGTCAATGAACAAAACTCAAAACTAAAATTTTATCCCACAGAAAAACTAAACATTTCTTTCATAATCAACTTCTGAAAAACTCGACATGGATGTCGTTGTGAGAATATAAAAAAGGTCAGGAATAAAAATAGAAAATTTTAATTTTGGTTTACCGGATTCTCGATCCTTGGAGTCACTGAGGCATCAATTAATTTTTCAACATCCTTTTTGTATTTCTAAAAAAATTCATTTATTTTAATAAATTAATTTTACAGACATTTAATTTATTCAATTGAGTAGAAATAACAGAAATCATATGCAAAGCACCATCGATTTGTTTTTCATTTGATGTTGGTGTCAAATTTTGCATAATAAATTCAAGTACATTTTGCATTATACCTTGTCTTTTTGAAATTACTTGAAGTAATGTAGAAGCACCGGAAGATGGTTGATGAAGATCCTTTTATTTTTTATCGTTACTTTTTTTAAAAAAAAATTAAACCTCATAAACATCATATTTATAACGTAAGAATTCTTCACAATCTTCAGCCCATAACTCTTCATCTCCTTTTGAATAACATAGCAAAGGAAATATTACATTTTTGAGCAGCAACTTTAAAAAAATAAAATGACTTTGAATAAAAAGCAAAAAAAGAGCAAAAACTTAATAGCTAATCATACTCTATTGTTCATTTTAACTACCGGTTGGAAATTTAAAAAAAACCATGATCTTAACCTTAAGTTGAAGACCTTGACCTTGAATCAAAGAAAATCAGGATCAAAATCCGCCCCGATCTCCAGTTTCCGTCCCATTTAAACTAACCCTAGCCTGAAATATAAAAGAAATAACCTCAAACTTTGGTTTAACAACAAGCCAAACTTGTGCTTGAATCAACGCATCAGACAAATGGACTAAAACAAGATATAGCACATGTTCTGATATATATTTGCCATTAATATAATCATTTAAAACATTAGCCATCTAAAAATTACTTTTAACAAAGAAGAATAATGTAAAATAAATACCAAAGATTCAACAATTGGCAACAAATATGAACGTGAATATTCTTCAGCAAATGATAAATATGCTTTATCAACATTGCCTTTATTGCCATACCTTAATTTAAAAAATGATTTAAAAAAACAATAAAATAAAAACCTCTCAAAAACTCTCTGAACAATTTTCATTGCCCATTTTTTACATTTCCACCAAATTGTCCCATCACGTTCATCTTCTGGAACAAGTTCACATTCAGCAGGAGTTGGCTTTAGAATAATGTCAATAAACAGTTTGAGCCATTGAGAGAATTCATTAATTGAAAGGATTTGAGTATTTAATGAAAACTAAAAAATTGAAAAGATTTCTTAGAAAATTATAAAAAAAACCTGAACAAAACTATAAAATATTTTAAGTATTTGTTTTTGTAAAAGACAAGATGAAGATGAGTGATTTTCAATAAGTGTCGAAAATCTTTCGCGTATTATTGGAAGAATTTTGGACATAAATTCAACGAGTGGAGTTCGTTCTTTTTGCCTCTTGTATCTGAAACATAAAAAATATTTAAACAAAAAATGTCAACAAAAATTGTATGACAAACCTTTTCGAGGAGATAAAAACACTCCTTGGAATAGCCCAAGCTTGGGTCCGTTGGGCGCGACGACCCGTCAAGGACCTAAACAAGGACCCTATTGTTCTCCCTTCAAAATTAGTTAAAAACATACTCAAAGATTTTGCAGAGCCTGTGAAGAATAAGCAAAGCACCATTAAGTTCTTCACTTTTATCAGAACTTACAAGAGGATAAAGTTCAAGAGTAAAAGATGGCCATTTATCAGGAAAGTCATGACGCATAATATTTTGAATCATTGTGCACAAATGAATTCTGAAAAATTAAAAATCAAAAACAATTAAAGAGAAAAGACTTGATTGGTTCCGGTGCAATAATAATAGTCTGAATTATATGTTGCTTTATAAATAATTTGTCCTGTTCACTAAATTCCCATTGACTTCCAACTTTATCCTTGTCAACAGACCAATGCTCATAAAGTATATTTTTCATATAAATGACAGCAGCTTGTCGAACAGCGCAATCCAAGTGTTCATCTTTTATAATTTGAAGAAGCGCTTGGGGAAATCCAATCAGTGAAGCAACATAAAAATCGGAAAGTATAAGTAAAAACACTAAAAATTAAGTACCGTTTTAAGATATTCAGAAGCTCCAGATTGTCCTTCAGGTATTGTTGTTGATTTTAATGCTTCAATTATATGATTAAGTTCCATAGAATTAATTAAAATCTAAAATTGAAAAAAAGATCAGTTTTGTTCTAAATGAATAAAAACACTATTACACATAATAGAAACTATTAAAAAAATAGAGAAGATTCATCAATAACCGTTTTTATCAATTTAGTGAGAAAATGATAAAAATTCCTCGGAAATAATAAGAAATTAGAACATTTTTACTGGAATCGAAAAACGTACTCTAAAATACATTTTCTTTCTTTCTCTAATCGATGAAATAGTGTGTGAGTAATTGTCATTTTTGAATAAAAACATTATGCCAAAAATTATAATTCGTGAGATTACGAACAGATGAAAACTCGGGATTTCAGGGCTACGCAATCACACGCCCGTTGCTGATGCAACTAGCACCATACTACTCGAAAATTCCAAACCTGTTGAAAATTTGATTTGCTGATTTTGGCCAAATTTTGTTTTCCACCTTGGGTTGTTCCATCAAACACTCATGATGACCATATCTAAAAGATCTGTAAACAAAAAACACGAAGTGAAAAATAATCAATGATGAGAAATGAAAGATAAAGAAGGGGTGGATTCGCAAGATCGCATTTTTAGCGTGCATTTTTCAAAATTTTTATTTTTTTTTCTAAACTTACTAGATCTAGATGTGAAGAGCATGGCCACCATTTTTTGTTGAAGAGCATGGCCACCATTTTTGTTGAAGAGCATTGCCACCATAATTCCACCAGGCTCCATCACTAAAAACTCACCCCCTCGAAAAATTATTTTTTAATTTTTTTAAATATTAAAAAAATAAAAAAATTAAACCACACCACCACCCAAACAATGCTTACATGCAACCATCATCCTTCGACCATGAGCACCATGTTGAGCATCATCTAAAAAAGAAAAAATGAAACAATTCTTATTTAAAAAAACAATACGAGACTAAGCAGTTGAGACAGGCCACCAGAGCACCACCAGCTGAAAAACTCACCACTCAAAAAAATTTTTTTAATTTTAAATAAAAAAAAAACTTTAAAAAAATAAAACCACACCAATACCCATACCCAAACAGTGCTTCCTTGCCCATCATCGTCCTTTGACCATGTTGCTGAAATATTAAAAAAATTATTTTCAATAGAAAAACTAAAAAATAAAAGTAAAAGAAACAACTCGACGTACAACATGAAGAAGATCATGGCCATGCTGCAAAAGAAAAAAAATTTTTTTTGAAAATTAATTTTTATTTTAAAGTTTTTTTTTAATTTTGGCGTCGCGCGCTGGGATAGGATAGAGAAAATAGAATAGAATATGAGAAAAACACGAAAAAAACACGAAATAATGAAAAAACACGAAAAAACATGGTGCACCACGCATAATAAAAAAATAATCATAAAAAAATAAAAAGTTCAAATAACAGTTTGCCATATTTTAGCATTTTGACAAAAATATTTTACGCAAAAATTCAAAAATTTATTCTAAAAAAGTCAAGTGAGAACCTAACGAAATATCGAATATCTAAATACGTATGAAATGTCTAAATATCAAATTATGGTTTATTATTATTAGAATCAGTCAGTAGCTTGTAAAGAACATTTCTGTGTGTCATCTGATGTCCCAATCCATGACGTGTGTAACCATCTGCTCCATGAGCCCTATCATAATAAACGGTGTCAATCATTTGGCGAGCTAAAAACATATTACAAATTATATAAATTTAAAAAATATTAATTTCAACCTTCATCAAGTACTTCTTTATAAGAATTAAATGTGAATGTGCTCTGTTGATTTTCTGTTTCACTAATTTCATGCAATGCTTCCACTAACGTATTAAGGCGATGAATCAACATCCCAATTGTTTGTACATGAAAAAAGAAAATTTTAATTTATTAAAAAATTTTTGAAAAGAATACTATAAGAATTCCCATCAAAAAGAAAATTATTCCAATTCCAAGCGGATCAACTTTTAGCGCTTCGGTAGTATCTTCAAATTTTCCTGTTGTTTCATTCATTTTTGTCCATTTGAAGCCCTCTAAAAAATTTAAATTTTTATACGAATTTTAAATATAAAAAACCGTATGGTATGAATTTTACAGATAAAACATCTTTATGACGTTGAAGCAAAAAGACAGCCAAGACAAGCAAACCATTCATCAAAATGATCGAGAAGGCAATTCTGTTCCTCAAAGAAACTAAACCAGCAGCAATTTGAGCTTGATCTTGGGCGGTTGATGCTATCGGCTTAATTGAGGATTACTTAAAATTTCATATTAAATTTTAAAGAAACCTTTAAATATCTGTCAATAAGTTCGTCCCAAAATGTTTCCTCACCAGCACGCAACTTCCCTCGATCGCAACATTGAAGATATTCACAATCCATCCAAAGGGAACGTTTGCAAGGATCGGAAATAACAGAATGTCGCTGCAAAGTTTGTAACCGTCGAACGGCAACAGCCTAGAAATATTTTGTTAAAATAGTGTAAAAACAAAAAATATAAAAAACCTCATAACCACTCCTTATGGGCAATTCTGGCTCATTTACCTCTCTGAGTACTACATCAACCATATCCATCGGACGTCCAAACCTTCTATTGTCTGGTGTACATTCCACTGATGTATTTGAGTCCTTTTAAAAATAAAAACTGAAAAAATAAATACAACTTTTTAACCTTTATTGTAAGCAATAAACGTTCAGTTCGTTCAATTTTCCTTTCCAAAGTTCGTATCCTAGCGCTTGATTCTTCTGAACCGCGATATCGAATAAGTAATCTTGTAAGGAAAGAATTTTCATCGTTTAAATTTGCAACTCTTCTCAGAACTCTTTCTGCAATATTTTCTTTATAAGTTGTTTGTCCAGTAGCTTTGGCAACAGCTTCTCTTGTACCCCAATTGATCACATTTAAATTGATTAAAGAATAAAGAGAAAGAAAAACATAAGTTGAAGGAATCATCAAAAAGAAAATTGCTCCAAATATAATATTTGAAAATTCTTTTGGGTGAATGCATGAAGCAAATGAGAAAATAATAACCATTCCAAGGACAAACATTGATGTTGGTGAAAATACTGTTTCTAGTACAATTTGATTGGTTGTAGCAATGAGAACAGCCAGCATTATGAAAGCATAAACGACAGAAGCAATTTTAGCAAATATTAATTGAATGCTTGAATCCAAAGCAAAACAACAACAAATAAATGCACAGACTGGAATAGCATTGTAGACAAGCACACGAGTTGAATCGACAGCAAAAGCGGCAACCTTTATTTATAAGTTTAAAGAATTATAATTCAAAAATATTTAAAAATATAAACCTGAGCATACACAAGCATTGTAAATATTATAGCAGGACCAAGCAACGAAAATGCAATAACAATCATTTGATATATAATATAAAGCCTTGAAATGCTTGCATTATTTTTTGAAGCTAACTATAAAACAGAAGTTTATACTTATAAAATGAAAAAACAAAAAAACCTTATAATCAGCCAACAAGTCCAAAGTATTAGCAATTGAAGATGGCGTCCACCTTCGCCGTTGATTAAAGAATTCATCAAAACCTTCAGGTGCATAAGTTTCTGCATCAGAAGCAGCAGCGTATTCAATTCGATAACCCTTGAAATGTAAAATCAGTTTATTTCAGTAAAGTAGAAAAACCTGTTTAAGCATTAATGTTGAAAGCCATCGATCTTCCCCTTGGTCATATTGGACAAAATGTCTTGGTTCAGAAGCCGTTTTTGTATATTTATTCATAATATTGTCGTCCATTAATGCCGATGCTCTAAAAAGTGAGAAACATCCTGGCGCGCATAAAACACATCCAAAGACATGTTCTGCTGCTTTTTGAAACCAATGAGCAATTGCATATTCAAACTTTTGGTACCAAACCATTACACCTTAAATTAGAAAACTTTATCAAATTGAAGAAATGAAAATAAATTACCAGTTCCGATTGGATGAATACGTCCACAAGCACAACCAACATCACTTTTTAGATTCATAAGGTTAATCAAACGAAGAACAGCACAAGGTTCAAACTTTGAATCACCATCAATTGCTAGAATGTAAGTATTGTCAGCCTTAAGAAAAGAATGTTTGAGAACATTTTAAATATTAAAAGTTTACTTGTAATTGACGATCTTCAACACTAAGATGAGAATCAACAATTCGGTGTCCAAGCAAATAGTACATATACATAACCTAAAATGCTAATTAGACAAACAATGATTATAAAAAAACCTGTGACCACCGCTTTTTATGTCGAATTAAACGCTTATCTTTAAGATGAACAAAGAGAAGAGCGCCTCCACTCAATGCCATAACAATACGTCCACCATACGGAGTATTGACAAGAACACGTGTAAACAAGTCTGTTTCAGCATTTTCTGATCTTGAATAAAAATAAATTTAGAAAAATAATTAAATAACAAAAAAAACCTAGTCAACTCAATTAAAACATCAAATAATAATTTGAAGTAATCATTGGGTACTCTTCCGCATTCTCTGTCATCAACCCAAGCATCGTCAAAGAAAATATGAACTTAAAATATTAACAAAAATTGTTCTTAAATAAAAAAAAGTTTAACTTTCTAATCGAAATTTGATTCCATCCTCGCTTTGTCGGACAGACTGTTCAACATCAAGTCTTTAGAAAATAAATCAGAAAAACAAACAAAAAAATTAAACAAACTTTAGAATAGATCGAAGCATTTGTGTCATTTCATTTTTTGTTTCATGCCACATTGTTGCACAAACATATAAGGTAATTATTCTGTCCATGTGACCATTTATAATTCGGAGAGGACTTTCCTCAGGCTCAACATCTTCATCAGAGTCGTAGTCAACATCCTAAATGAAAAAATATATTACTGTGTAAGAAAAATTTAGAGGAAAAAACCTTCTTTGCAATTGAATAGCGAAAGACAACAAGTGACTGGCAAATATCCAATCCACTCATCATTGGTGTCATTGACTCAATTCTAAATTTTTTAAAAATTAAAAAAATGTTAAAAAAACATTTCATCAGTTTTGTCATATTTCTTCCCATTTGTAAATTTTAAACTCCAAATAATATAAGAAAACAACCAAATCCATGTTATATAATAATCCTTTACAGATCCAGTAGGATTAACACCTAAAATTGAAAGCTAAAAAATACAAAAATCTATCAAAAACCTTTAATACAAAACAAATTAAGATCAAAATATTTTAAGATAACGTTGATCCGACAAATTGGAAGTACATGACATAATCCATAAAAATTCATTAAAAGCAATGGAGTTGATAAAAACACTGGATGAATACACGTAAACAAATTTAGACGCATTGCCGCCAAAAAACGAAAGCAAATACGAAGGTAAAAATTGAGTGCCAATGAGATAAACGCAAAAATAAAAATCTTTCTAAAATGTTAAAAAATTAATGTAAAAACTTTTAAGAAATACGCTTGATCTCCAAATACTCCTTCTTTGCTTTTGAATAACATTAAAATTAATGTTCCTACAGGAATATTATGATGCCTCAATGAAAAATAAAGAACTGATGACGTGCACAAAAAGCGAAGAAATGAAGCAACCATTCTTGTTTCTGGATTAAGTTTTCTCATGCCATATTTAATCTTAATTTAAAAAAACATAAAAAAAATTTTTAAACGAATAAAAAAACCTCATAAAGTTCTTGAAAAAGACCCTCCTTTTGTTTAGTGTCCACCCAACTCTCCCAAAAACCAAGAGAGCAAAGAGTAAAAGAAATGGTAAGTAACACACCAAATTTAAACTTTGGATGGCCATCAAAAAGCGCCCATAAATAGCCAGCACTAAATAGAAAGGCAAAAAGAAAAGCAGATGGTAGACTTGCGGTAATGCATGCAAAACGCCATCGGATTGAACGGTTCAGGTCAAAAGAGCGATGAAAATTTTGGAGAGCATTTTTGATGTAGTAAAAGCAGTGAAAGGCACAGGTGAACATTATACAACGCGAAACGTCCAATAATGGAAATATATTCAAAACGGCGAGTGAAAGTCCAGTAGCTCGGAAGGATTCGAGAAGAATAAACTGAAAAAAATGTATATAAAAATAGAGATTAGGCAAAATTTCTAGAGGGAAGAACCTCTCCAAAAATGATTTTTGAAGTCCCTACTCATAAAAACAAAAGAAATACAAACCATTCCTATTAATGAACGATCAGCTTTTGTTGTAAGTCTAATTTTGAATAAATCCTGTATAAAGGCGCAGACATCTGGAATCGTTTGAATAAGCCATAGAGCAGCACAAATTGAACTTAATCGGTCAAAATCTTGGTCAGTTGAGGGGCCTAAGATTTAATTAAAAAGAAAATTTAAAATCAAAAAACTTTTGCAATGTCCATAGAATTTTGTGTCAGCCATAATATAGTTAAGCCCAATGTTAGTTGAAAGGAGGATAATTACAGATTTGGAGACGAGCACCGCCACAAGCGAAGAACAATGAGAAATTACAAAAATGATCAACTAAATAGTAAAAGTAATAAAAAACTAGAATAACAAAACCTTTAACCATTGTAACCAACGAATGTAATGAGCGTGAGATTTTTGCGGCGTTCGTTTAAGTCGAGGATGAGTTCTAAAAGCATCCCACTGATGGTGATCGCGGTAGAAGAGCATTAAAAGTCTAAATACTTGAAAAAAAATGAAAATTGAAATATCAAAAAAGATAAATATAAGAATAGAAAAACTTCAAAATTAATGGGACAAAGGAAAATAAAAAAATTTATTCCTAGAAAAGATTTGAGAATGTCAAAAAACATCAAATTGAAGACATCAAATTGGTATAGAGTGCTTCTGAAACCGCGTGTTGAGAGACTGGGTGTTTGTTGACAGCAAGATTCACATTCGCGTCACCGCTGATTCCCAACTTTGCTGAAAATATGGAAATAATATAGAATTAAAATAAAGTTGAACAATTACATTCAAGTACTCCAAGTATGGGAAAATAAGCATGAACAGTGCTGACATCACTAATCCAAAGGGAGATTGTGTAGCCACGAAAACGCATTGCAAATGACAACCCTAAAATTTTAGAATTATTTTTGATAAAGAAAATTTAAAAAAATACCACAAATCTTGTTGTTATGCTCGTCAAATTGGCCAGCGAATAATAACTCTAAGAGATCAAACCAAAGTTTATCCAAACGAGTGTATTGATATTGACGTCCAAACACAATTTCAATGGAACCTCCACCTTGATTATGAGGGTCCTCCCACATCGGTTTAATGCCTTCTTTGAAAACGTAATAACAAATTTCAACTGAAAGTCGTTTGAAGAAGAATAAGATTACTCTAACTTACCCAAAGGAAGTTGACTAGGTGGCAAGATACGATACTTGAGTGCAATAAAATCTTCAATTGAGCCGATAATACATTGCTGTTCCATGCAGTCGGACCATGATCTGTTTCGATCCGCTTAAAAACAGAATTCAGTTTAGGCTAAAAAAGGCTTTAAAATACCAATATGTAACCAAAAACTCCATCTTGGAGATAAAAAATGGAGTTCTTCAGTCGGCGATAACTGTCCAGAACTTGATGAAGTTTCAAATTCGGAATCGTCACTTCCAGACTTGTTCATAATTTTGTTTAAAAATGTTTTCTAAGAAATAAAATTTATTAAGCACACTAGAAATAGGAAAAAATTGTGCGCTAACAAAAGAAAGATTAAGATCAATCAACAATTAATTGCATCGATCAACTTTCTTTTAAAAAGGTTTAATGTGGTTAAGGCTAACAAGTGTAAATAAAAACAAACATCCGCTGAGAGAGTTAATAAAAGTAAATTAGAATGCCTTTTGAATAACGCAATGAATTATGCATTAAAATTAAAAATAACAAAGGAAATAATAAAAAATGCACTTAAAAATGAACAACTTAAAGAAAAAAATTTCCAAAAAAAATTTGACTCTTTAAATTCCGCAATTTTTTAAGAATTTGGCATAATGTCATTTTTAAAAATTTTAATTTCATATTGTCAACAAGGCAAATTCTACATGATTGATCGAAAAAATCAAATAATTTTTTGTTTTTTGCGATTGACACGATAAGTAATTAATTGACAGCTGCTTACCAGACAACTTTTTTGCACTTTTATTCTTTGATTTTTATTATTTTAAAAGTTGTTCTTTTCGTTTTCATTACGTTCTAGACAATTTTAAATTTTTACTTAGATAATTTTTACTCTCAAAATTTTTTTTTCGAACAAACTTTTAATTTATTTTTATTTTAGGCCATTGGCCACATTACAATATGTTAATTTACATTTCTCGGCACAATTATTCAATATTAAGAAGGACTCGAGGAGATTTTTACAAAAAATGCCTGCTTCAGAATCGATGTTTTTGTGAACAAAAGCAATCTGACAAATTACCTCACAAAGGAATGGTTGTTTCTGCTCTAAAAGAAATTAATTCAGGTTCCTTTTTTCTTTAAAAATTTTTTTTTAATTTTCAAAAAAATTTTAGAGGAACATCGAGTTTCGTTGACTCCTTTAGCTGCAAATACCTTACTTAAACGAGGAATTAATGTTAAGGTTGAAAAAGGAGCAGGCTTGTTGGCTTCAATTTCTGACGAAGAATTTACAAAGATAGGCGCCAAAATTGTGGATAAACAAGAGGCTGTTTCTGCTGATGTTTTGCTTAAAGTTTGTCTTTTATGAATATTTCTTAATTTTTTTTATTCTTATAGGTTCGCTGCCCTGAGGCCTCAGAAGTTTCTTCATTTCGTAGTCACTCAACTCTCATTTCTTTCATTTTTCCTGAAAACAACAAAGACGTTGTTGATCTGCTTGCTCAACGTAAAATGAATGTTTTTGCTATGGATAAAGTTCCTAGGATTTCGAGGGCTCAGGTTTCTTTTAATTTTTTTGGCTTAAAATTCGAATAATAGGGATTTGATGCACTCAGTTCTATGGCTAACATTGCTGGATACAAAGCAGTAATCGAGGCGGCAAACAATTATGGAAAATTTTTCTCTGGCCAAATTACTGCTGCTGGAAAGATTCCTCCGGCTAAAGTGCTTGTTGTTGGAGGAGGCGTTGCTGGATTAAGTAAAAAAATTTTTAGTTTAATTTTTATAAATTTTTAAGGCGCAATTGCAACAGCCAAAAACTTGGGTGCCATTGTTAGAGGATTTGACACTAGAGCAGCTGTTAAGGAACAAGTTCAGTCACTTGGAGCTGAATTTTTAGAGGTTTTTTAAAATTATTTTAGGCAATCATAGTTTTTGTTTAAAGATAAAATTAAAAGAGTCTGGTGAAGGTGTTGGAGGTTATGCTAAAGAAATGAGTCCAGAATTTATTGCTGCTGAAATGGAACTTTTTAGACAACAATGTAAAGATGTGGACGTTATAATTAGTACGGCAGCAATTCCTGGAAGGAAAGCTCCCGTTCTTTTTACTAAAGTATCCATATTTATTTTAGTATAGAATTTAACGATAATGGCGCATATAAGGGCGTATCCTCCCTTTGAACACGGAAAAAGAATTTGCGAGGCCTCTCTCACCTGAAATCCACCCTCTGGATACGCCCTTGCTGTCTATCTATCAAATTTTAAAAAATTTCAGGAGATGATTTCTTTGATGAAACCCGGTTCTGTTGTTGTTGATCTAGCGGCGGAGTCAGGCGGTAATTTTGAAACAACCCGACCCGGGGAGGTTTATACCAACGAGAATGGTGTTCTTCATATTGGATACAAACAAATGCCTAATCGCCTCCCCGGACAGAGTTCAGCTTTGTATGCTAATAATATAACCAAATTTTTGTTGGCAATTGGTGACCAAAAAGAGAACTTTTTTATTGATTTAAATGTAATTTTTAGTTTTTCTTTACTTTTTATTTTTATCTTTTTAAAGGATGAAGTTGTTAGAGGTTCAATAATTTTACATAATGGTCAACTTTTATGGCCTCCACCTGTTATTGCTCAACCATCTCCTACACCTCCTCCAAAATCATCAATTGAACTGGAGACAGTTAAACCTGTTGAGGAGAGCGATTTTACTAAAAGTTTGAAAAAGGCTTCTCTTTATGCTGGAGGTTTTTTTTAGCTTTTAAAGAAATATCTTCCAATTTTTAAAATTATGTAGCAATTGGATCAGCTAATTTACTTGGATATGTCAGTCCAAATATGGGATTTACTCAAACAATAACTACATTTTCATTAGCTGGAATTGTTGGTTATCACACTGTTTGGGGTGTTACTCCAGCATTACACAGTCCATTAATGTCTGTAACTAATGCAGTTTCTGGAATTACTGCTGCTGGGGCATTACATCTTATGGGAGGTGGACTTGTTCCTCAAAATTCAGCACAAGCATTAGCTTTGGGTGCAGCATTTGTTTCTTCGATAAATATTGGTGGTGGCTTTACTATTACAAAGAGAATGTTGGATATGTTTAAACGACCAAGTAATTATTTTAGAGAAGGGGAATTCTTCAAAAAAATTTTTTCCTCTTACTTTAGCTGACCCACCAGAATACAATTATCTTTTTGGTATACCTGCTGTTGTCCTTCTTGGTTCTTATTCACACGGAATGCTTTATGGCTTTGAACAAATCCACGGAATTGCAGCACTTACCTCCTCTCTATGCTGTGTTGGTGCAATTTCTGGTTTATCTTCACAAAATTCGGCTCGAATTGGTAATTCTCTTGGAATTATTGGTGTAACAGGTGCTGTATGCACAACTCTCGGACATTTACATCCCGATCCCCAAACTCTTGTTCAAATGTGTGCTGCAATATCTTCAGGTTCTTTAATTGGTGCAATCATTGCTGGAAGAATAAAAGTATTTTCTTGAGTTAATCTGACAATCTTAAAAAAATTTTCCCGTAGGTGACAGATTTACCTCAACTTGTTGCACTCTTCCACAGTTTTGTTGGAATTGCTGCAACTTCTACATGTGTCGCTAATTATTTGACTGAATATTCTAGCTTTTTGGCTAACCCGGAGGGTGCTGCTGCTATCAAAACTTGTCTTTTCTTGGGAGCATATATTGGAGGAGTAACATTTACAGGCTCCTTAATGGCTTATGGAAAACTTCAAGGTTTATTTTCTGAATAGATTTTTTAATAGTTTATTTTGCATTAAGGTCTTCTTGCTAGTGCCCCAACATTGTTGCCTGCAAGAAATGTCCTAAATTCTGCTCTTTTACTTGGAAATTTGGCAGCTATGGGTGTCTATTTAGGTACAAATGATTTGACTTTGGGTCTTTCAATGCTTGGAACAACCTCTCTACTTTCTTCTATTATGGGTGTTACATTGACAATGGCTATTGGAGGTTTTATAAAATATTTTAAAAATTTATTATTTAAATTTTTAGGTGCTGATATGCCTGTTGTAATAACTGTACTTAATTCTTATAGTGGCTGGGCACTTTGTGCTGAAGGCTTAATGCTTAATAACAATTTATTAACGATTGTTGGTGCATTAATTGGAAGTTCTGGCGCAATTCTTTCACATATTATGTGCAAAGTATTTTTAATTTCTTAATTTTATTTTATTTTTTAATCATGTTTATTGTTAGGCAATGAATCGTTCTCTAATTAATGTTATTTTGGGAGGAGTTGGAACAAAGTCACAAAAATCAGGCCCTGCTCAACAAATTACTGGGACTGCTCAATTTACTGATGTTGACCAGGTTAATCAACCTTTAAAAATAATTTGAAAATTTTTATCATTTAGGCAGCAGAGATGATAAAAGATGCAAAGAAAATTATTATTGTCCCTGGATATGGACTTTGTGCAGGTTTTTTAATTTTTTTCAAATATTAATTTTTTTCAATATAATTCTTACTTTTTAATTACCCAAGTTGAGATTTCAGATAAAAAATCAATACGCCGAAATGGCACCCGCAAAATCTGAATTACAACAAGTAATGGACAAATTGGCTGCCTTAGAATCAAAAATCGATAATAACAACATAAAATTTTCCTCTTTCTCTAATGAAATTCTTCAAATCAAAAATGCTTTAACAACAATTGAATCAAAAATTCAAACAGTTGAAACAACAATTGAAACAAATTTTAAAAACAATGAATCATCAGCAAGCGAACAAGAACGCAATCGTTCTATTGTTATTATTGGACTACAAGAATCTAAATCAACAACGCCATCAATTCGTGTTGCTGAAGACAAGTCTGCAATCGAAGATGTACTCAACTTGTTGGGGGTTGAGAGCCCATTCGTTTCGTACAGAATGGGTAAGCATGACCCAACTGCTAAAGGTTGTCGTTTAATAAAAATTGTTTTTGGCGCTTCAAAGTTTCAGCGAATTTCACTTGCTGAATGGAAACGACACAGAGTGGAAATGAAAAAAGAATCAAAATGGTCTCGTTTGTTGATCAGGCCAAGTCTTACTAGAGAACAATTGGAAGCTGAAAGAATTGAACGTGCTAAGAAACGAGATGAATACAATAAAAGAACGAGTGCAAATGTGACTGAAAGAACAAAAAACCATTAAGAGGTCGTCCAAGATTCAAGGTTTTAAAAAACTCTTTAAATATTTCCCCTTTTTATAAATGTCTATATTTTAATAGTAGGAGCTTGGTTAACAAATTAGATGCTTTAAGATTACTTTTACTTTCCAAGTCCTTTAAAATAATTTGTATTTCCGAATCGTGGTTGAACAAAAAGATCGATAATTCCCAAATTTTACATACTTCACCTTATTCCATTGTCAGATGCGATAGAAGTTCTAGGGGCGGTGGTGCTTGTATTTTAGTAGATAATATAATTCCCTTCTCTCCCGTTAAAATTCCTAAAAATAAAAATTCCGACATTGTTGCCATAGACATTTACTCCCCCAAATTTGACAAATTTCGAATAATAACCGTATACCGTCCTACCACAAACGAAAATTTTAAAGACTTCCATGAACTTCTTGATACATTAAGTTATTTAATATCTATTAATCATAACTACATAATCGTAGGTGACTTTAATTTCCCTAATCTAATCTGGAAGACCAACATACCACTCGCTCTCAACCACAAATCACCTTCTGAAAAATTATTTATCGAATTTATAGAAAGCTATAATCTATTTCAAGAAATCTCTTCCCCAACCAGACAAGATAACTATCTCGATTTACTTTTTTCCTCTTCCGCCTTTCGCGTTGTAAAAAATATTACCATTAATGCCCCCTTTAAAAATTCTGACCATAACACCATTGAATTTAACTTAAATTTTAAATATTTTCCCAAAAAACCAGAATTTATACTTGACTTTCATAATGCCGATTACAATCAAATTAACAATATCCTAATTGGTTTAAACTGGAATACCTTGTTTTTAAATTGCACTGATGTAGACTCCCAATATACCCTATTTTTAGAAATCATTCACCAAACAATCCGAAATTTCATACCGTTAAAAAAGATCAATAAAGACCTTACTAGATTCCCAAAACATATTCAAAAAATTATCTCATATAAAAATCTTTTATGGAAAAATATTAATAAACCTGCTATACGTGAAAAATATATTCTCACACAACAAAAAATTGATAAAGAAATTTCTCGTTTCTTTAAAAATAGAGAAATCTCAAAATTCAATGATTCACGATCTAGATTTCAGTATATAGGGGCTTTCCTTAAATCCAAAAAATCCAAAATTCCAATATTCAACATTAATGATAGACTTACCATTTCAGACAAAGATAAAGCCGAATGTCTTGCAATACAATTCAAGTCTGTCTTTAACTCTTCTAACTTTGATTCCTCTGATATAAACAATCCAAACAAAAACACATTATCCTTTATTGATATCAATCCAGAGGAAATCTATAGCACTATAAACAAACTCGACAATGTTAATAACATATCACCGGACGGCATTCCCAACATTTTCTTAAAAAACACCGCAGTCTCATTAACCACTCCATTAACAATTATGTTTAACATGTCAATCATGACAAGTAAAATTCCATCTATATGGAAAAAGTCAATAATCCGACCTATTCCTAAAAATAATAATCCTAACGAACCTAAAGATTTTCGACCTATCTCTCTCTTATGTTCAACCTCTAAAATTTTGGAACGAATTATTTCAAATAAATTAACTTCATTTCTTGAATCGAATAATTACCTTCCTGCTTGCCAACATGGGTTTCGTAAAAACCACTCAGTTATAACTCAACTCCTAGAAACCTATAATGACTACACATTAGCTATCGAAAATAAAAAATGTGTTGACGTTATATTCTTCGACCTGGCAAAAGCGTTTGATACTGTCCCCCACGATCGCCTTCTGAAAAAACTATATCATCTAGGTATCACTGGCGCATTACTAAATTGGATTGACGATTATTTAATAGACCGAACTCTTTCTGTTCTTGTCGAATCTGAAAATTCTAATGAATATCATATAACAAGTGGAGTTCCTCAAGGATCAATCCTCGGCCCTATTTTATTCATCTCATATATATTTGATATAATAGATTTCTGTAAGACAGATAATGTTACACCCAAATTATTTGCTGACGATTTAAAGGCCTATACCTGCTTTGATTTTCCAAATAAAAACCACTATTCTCCACTCCAAACATTTATCCAAAAATTCTCAAAATACTGCGAAATAAATGGCCTTAAAATCGCTATCAGCAAATGTAGCTCACTCCACATAGGAACTAAAAATCCCTTCCACCAATACTCTCTACAAAACATAAATATACCAATCATTCCACCCAACGAACCTATTCGTGATCTAGGCATTTATTTTACATCAAACTTAAAATGGGATTCTCACATTAAAATAATAACAAATAAAGCAACTGGAATTTATTATACTCTTATAAGATCTCTTAAAACTAATAACACTCAATTCCTAACTACTTTATTCAAAATATACGTCTTACCTATCCTCGAATTCGGATCTCCTATAATTAACCCTTATTTAAATAAAGATATAAACTCTTTAGAAAATGTTCAACATAAATTCTTAAAAATATTATACTTACGCTCTATGAAACACAATAACAGCCCAACATTACCTAATTATAAAGAACTCCTTGACCTGTTTAAACTTGAATCTCTATCGCACAGACGTTTAAAATCAAATCTTATCCTTTTCCATAATATTATCTCAGGCAAAATTAAATTAAAACATGATAATTCATTCAGCATTCTCCCTACCACTACTAGAGGTAACCCGCATAATTTATTTATACCCTTTTGTTCAAGCACCATTCGGAAAAACTCATTCTTTATAGACATCCCAAACATTTACAGAAAACTCCCAACAGAATTACAAAAATCGTCAATCGAATTGTTTCCAAAGCTCCTAAACAATATTAACTTAAACAATGTTTTATCAAAGCCACTTTCCATTCAATTGCCTCCAGACCTTATATAAAACAATTGATACATTTTTATTTATTTTATCTGAATGTCACGTTTTTATGCGTATAAATTGAATTGAATTGAATTGAATTTTAGATTTCTGTTTAAAATTTAAGCACAAGCCCAATATCCTATTGCTGAATTGGCAAAAGTATTGGATTCACGAGGGACTAAGATTCGTTTTGCTATTCATCCAGTAGCTGGCAGAATGCCTGGACAATTGAATGTTTTATTGGCAGAAGCTGGTGTTCCATATGACATTGTCGAAGAAATGGATGAAATTAATGATGACTTTTCTGATACTGATTTGGTTTTAGTTATTGGAGCAAATGACACTGTGAGTGTTTGAAAGGCATTAATTTTATAGAAAAACTTTTTTAAAGGTAAATCGAGCAGCTGAAGAAGATCCAAGCTCTTCAATTGCTGGAATGCCTGTACTTAAAGTATGGAAAAGTAATCAAGTTATTGTAATGAAGAGAACGATGGGTGTTGGTTATGCAGCTGTAGATAATCCTATTTTCTTTGATCAAAACACACATATGCTTCTTGGTGATGCTAAAGCTGTTTGTGACAAATTGCTTGCAAAAGTAAAGGAAGATGGAGTTTAATAGGTTTCTTAACTATTTTTCTTGCCATTTTTTAAAAATATTTTGTCTCTCATTTTTAGTTTTGCTCAATATTTGTGATTTTCTCATATTTTTTAAGATTCTCTAATTTGTAGAACACCAGTTTTTATTTTTAAAAAATCTTTGAGGAAACCAAACAATCATGACTCTTCTCCAAAACATGGTTTATTTGACCTTAATCTTCTCAAGTCTCAATTTTTTTAATTTTATTGCATTTCTCTTAAAATTGCTTTGTTTGCCATGTTTTTATCATGTGTTTATCTTCTAATACCTTCAAATATTTTAGGTTTGTAATTTTGTAATATTTTTTAAATCTTTCCTGGACATTAAAATGCGTGTACTTATGTGTATAATTATTAGTAAACGACTTAATAAAGAACAAAAAATTTATTTTTATTTTTACACTTTTTTAAACTTAAAGTGGTGGGAAATAAATTTTAATGTTTTTTTTTCATTTTAAACATCTCTAGGAAGAAAACTAAAAAAATATAATTGTGTGAAGAATTATTAGCCCTTAACATTAGTGGTACTTTTCCTTCTATTTTTCTTTATTTCTATTTTCATTCTGACGACACACTAGGCCCTAATACTTTTTTTGTCCTTTTCATTTACCTCAGATGTTGAGGGGGTTTTTTTCTCCTCTTCCCTATCCTAGGATTCTCAATGCACCCTTTCCCCTCACATAGTATATACACTCATGCATATACTATTTGGCCCAACTCTTCTCCTCTTTTCCCAAGCTTTACCCACTAAATTTTTTCCTCCCTTTTTTCAAATACTTTATCGATCTATTCGTTGTCCAGATAGACTCATTCTCGACTGGCTGGACATTTTTTTGGGGAAATTGGGAAGGAAAAAGGAAGAAGATATTGCATCTCGAGAACTGGCCAAGTCATCCATCCTTCCTTTTCTTTCCCTTTCATGTCCATTATGCCAGTTCCCATCATTTTGTCTTTTTTATTGACGTCAGTCCATCTTCTTTCTCATTCTATTTTTATTTGGCCAAATTGTAAAAGAGATAAACAGCAGACCAAACGAGCGATATTTTGTAGACCATAAATAGATAGAGCGCAATTATCGTAAATAATTACGTCAAAAAACTTTGAAGAATGCCGTTTCTGGCGACATTATTAAAATAATATTAGAGGGGGAAGTCTACCCATTAATTAACACGATTCTTTTTCTACACTTTTCATCATTTTATTTTTTCTTTGAGAAAATAATAACGCTACCCTTTTTTTGTTTTAAAGGCAGGATTTGTCAAATATTAACATTTTTACACTTATTTTCTTTTTCAATTTAACAATAAATGGACCGTAGCGATTTACAGAGAACCGGTAAAAGATAAATTTCTGGAAAATTAAAAAAATTTTCAGTCGAAAGTCTACGCCACCAATTACGTATCCAACGGGTGCCAATTTCTAGATCTGGTGGTGAATTGAAGCAATATATTGAACAACACCAGCCTAACGACCCGCTTGTCAATCCAGTGGAAAAAGCGCGGTATTATTTAAAAATTTTTTCCCACCATAAAATTCTAGGCGTGGGGCAAAACACTGTCCGGACGTTAAACTAAAGACCGTCCACTTTTTCAGATAATAAATTCTATGCCGATACTTTGGTATCTGAATCCTTAAATATGTCGGACGGTGTTTTGTCCTGACACGGAAAATTCTAGACCCGCTCACAATTTTATTTAAAATTATAAAAACCTGTAAAACTATTATCTTGAATATTTTATTTTAGAAATCCATGGGCAGAAAAATCCAAATGTGAGGTTCTCTGATTGTTCAGAAATCAAAAAAGATGCTCTCTCGTTTTTTTCACGCTTTTCACCTGCCTCATTCTTAAACATTTTTATATATTTTACATTTTCTTAAATTGACCTTAAAATAAAAAGCTTAAATAAATTTTATTTCAAAAATATAAAGGTTCAAAAAGAGATCGTAAGAGGTTTAAAAAATAAATTAAAGGCATTGAGGAATACTTAAAAAATACTCTTGTAAATTTGTAAAATCGAGAAAAGTTCCATCTCCACTTATAATTCGTCTATTATGCTGTAAAAGCTCCAAACATGGCTGAGACATTTTAAAGACAAACAAAGGGCAAATAGCTTAAAATTGAAAAATAAAAAATTTTTGAGATGACATTTTGTCCCAAAATCGAAGAAATTTTTTTGAGATGACAATTTATCCCAAAATTAGAAAATTTTATGAAATGACAGTTTGTCCCCAAAATTTTGTAAATTTAAAATAAATCTTACATCCACTAATGAACACAAAACACAAGTTAAAAGAACAATTCCAATCTGCCAGTCAAGATGATTTTTTGTTGGCACGCCACAGCCTTGAATATTGACAGAATTGTTGAATGCCCTGCTTCCTGGTAAGTATTGAATACACAAAGGATCTATAGGTTGAAGGGCCCAAGCGCGGCCTTCTTGTGATTGTCGGCAGCAGGATCGGGGAACTTTAAATTTGAGTTTGAAAAAATAAAATTTAAAGAAAACCGTAAGAACGAGTTCCCCTCTCTGTATTTGTCAAGTACCAAAAGGAGTCAGAATATTCGCTAAAGTTGTAACCACCACAGCAATGATGCTAAAATAAAATTTTATTATTGAAAAATCAGTTAAAATTTACATAAAATTGGACAGAATCCATAACAGGCAATACCCAGCGGTCTCTATTGTACCTTCAAAAAAATTTCTTCTTAAATTAAAAAAATAAAAGCTAACCGATTTTTGGAAATATTAGACAAATAATTGCTCATATTTTCATCAGAAAACTAAAAAAGGGGGGTCATTAATGAAAAATTAAAAATTGCCGTAAATATTCCAGTAGAAGCCCACGGGCGTTTATTTTTCTATTGCCCCATTGAGTGGATTTGTAAAAGAGCATGGGTCTCTATAAGAGTTGGGCTTCTATTAGAATATTTACGATAAAATAAACCTTTGTTTGGTGTAAAATGCACAGAATGACAACGCCAAGTTTCGCAAGCAGTGCAATTAACAGAAGAAGAATAAACTAAAATTTTAGTAATTCAAAAAATTTTAAAGAATACAGACCGATCCAAGCAAAAATCGCTCCAATTTCGCAGTACCAACACACCCTACCGACCCTACAAAAAGCATCAACAAAGCAGTTCCAGCCATTAAATAAATTCCAAATTTGAGCAAAGGAGCATTCTCCGAAAAGTGTAGCAATTCCAACTGAAAATTCTGTGCTGGATCAAGCAATAACCAAAGCGAAATTGAAAGAAGTACAAAACCGCTAGCCTGGGGGGAAATTAAAATTGAATAGATTTTATGGCTCTAGTTTAGGATATGCGTCCTATGAGCGTTTAAGCGTCCCATCAGATATTGGGCTGAAAGTTGTTGACCATCAGAGATTGGCCAACATATACTCTGATGGAGGCATACTTTGATACGACACATAAAAGCTTATGGGTTACATGTTCTAAATTAGAGCCAATTTTATTTTTTAAATTTACCCATAGAAGAAAATTTGAAAAATACAAAGAAGATTGTAAACAACTCGAAACTGGAGGAACAACACGCATTCTTTTTGATAAACTTTTTTGGTTAACAAACGGAAAAATTAATTTCTAAAAAAAGAATTAAAAAATTAATAAGAAAAAGAAAAACAAACTATGAATAAATGATTGAAAGAGTGCAGTAAAATGAGATAAAATGTCCCTCTCCTCCCTTTCCTTCAAATATTTAGCGCTTTGCAAAAAATAAGCAAATGTCGGTCGTCCCATTTGAACTGTCCAGTCATTCTTTTTCGTTTGTATACATATTTTTGTATTTGTGTTGAGAAAAGCAGAAAGGGGTCAACCAACAAAATGAAATTATTTAGGGGGTTGAACGGCACAAAGCAAGCCGAATGAGCTTAAAAATAAAATATAAAAATCAATAAGGGGGAATTTGTTAAATTTTTGGCTAGTTTGAAATCTTAGACCAAAAATATTTAAGGTTTTGATTCAATACAAAGACTGGAATTAGCGACTTAACTCGCGAGACTCGAGTTTTACAAAGGTCTTTTTTAAATGTTTCGCCAACTTTAATTGTTAAAATCAGAACGCCAATAAATTTAATTTATACCAATTGAGTCTCAGATTATCGCTCAAGAATGGTTAATTTGTTTATCCGACTTTACAGGTAAAATGTATAGAGCATGCAGAAGTATGAGTGTTTTTAGGGATAGTTGAGAAATGGCGAGAGAGTGTGGCGAAAGAGTGGCGAGAGAGCGTAATTTGCTATTTTCGGACTGGGAGGGTTCCGTGCCGCGAGTTCCGTGCCGCGGTTTCCGTGCCGCGGATTCCGTGACTTCCCAGTTCCGTGACCTCCCAGTTCCGTGACCGCCCAGTTCCGTGACTTCCCCCCAATAATATAATTATGTTTTTAATAAAATATTTAACCAAAACTTGGTTGTGGCGTGCTGGATATCCATCCCACGGCTGTTCCGATGCTTTACAAGGTTCCAAACTTAACAAGATCAGGAATTTTTGTTTTATTTTTCAGGTTTTAATTTTTTTAATCTTTAGTTGATATTTCTAATTTTTTTAAATTTTCTTTTTTATGTTTAGTAAAATCTTGTTTAATGTGTGCAGAACTCTTTTATTTATCTTTTTTTGATAAATTTTTGCTTTTTTAACTCGTTTTTTTATTAAAATTTTGTTCCCTGAAGAAAAAAAGTCAAGACCGATACCCCCTAAGCCCGAGAAAGTCCAAGAAAAGCCTAGAGTAAAAACTCGGCTACCTTTTTTCATGTTTTTTAGATCGTAGAAAGTAGGAAAAACTAAAAAAATTACGACAAACCCTTGCTTCTTATTTAAATAATTAGTAAGGAAACGTCCCTTTTACAACGGTCACGGAACTGGGAGGTCACGGAACTGGGAAGTCACGGAATCCGCGGCACGGAAACCGCGGCACGGAACTCGCGGCACGGAAAGGTACCCCACCGGCTATTTTAACATGAAGTTCATTCGCTTTTTTTTACTTTTTTGTTTGCTTTTAAAATTTTTTTTGAAATTTTAGTCTTCGAGTTGAATGAATGAAAGGCAATAATTCAAAGATTGCCTCTTCTTGGCCAATTATTGTTAATGAAAATGCGCTCAATGAAGCAACACAACAACAAACGCCAATGGGCCATTCACATCCTTGTTTATTTTTGGATGGAACAAAATCGAATGAAGACAGTGGAAAGAGGTTTTTAATAATTTTTGTTAGTAGGATAGAGACCTTGAAAAACGTCGAGGTCTTTAAGGAAAATTTTTGAATTATCAACTACGAAGAATTTTAGGGGGTTTGGATTCCTGGCCTAATTTTCAATTTTTCTAGACCTGACAATCTTCCCCAACAAACTCCCAAAAAAACAACAGAAGTTCCCTTCAAAAATAATTTGTATAAATCAGAAAGTGATCGAACAGAAAAAATATCTACTAATCAACAATTAGAAAATGAAAATAAATTTTTGAATGGAATACAGCAACAAAATATTGATCAAAATTCAACAAATTTGATTCAACAAAAACAACAAATTGGTTTCTTTTTGAAATTTTATTTTTAAATTGAAAAAAATATTTTTTAGAAAAATTACAACGTAAATGTAATCGTTTGGAACAATTAGAATCTTCATACAGAAAAATAGAAAAAGATTATGAAGAAATGATGGAATGTGAAGAATTAAGTTTAATAACCTTTTATAAATTAGAGCATCAATTGAGGTTATTAGACATTGAAAATGAACAATTAAAAATTGAAAATTTAACTGAAAATAATTCAAAAACTGTGGAATTTGGTCAATTGAGGATTTTGGAAGAAAAAATTGAAAATTTGGAGACTTCACTTTTACAAAGTCAAGAAAAAGCAAAATTGGCAAAAGAAAGAACAACTTCAATAATTCATTCACAGCAACAATCAACTTCAAATAATTCAAATATTTTTGGTTCAATTTTGGCGGCCAGTCGTTTAATTGGCGGGGAAATACAAAAAGTTGGGAAAATGAAAGCTCAAGAATTTTTGCCTGTTGGGACAGAAGAATTATTTAATAAATTAAATAAAGAATTGGATAATTTGTTAATTGGGACACCAGAAAAAGGGCAAAATGAAAATAATGAGAAAACAGCGACAACGTCTTCCAAGTTTGTTGATTTATTGGATATTCGACGATTTAATGTTTTTTCGACTGGTAAGAGAGAAAGAATTTTTGAAAATTAAAAAAAAATTTTTTTAAGATTTTGATCAATGGTCAATGTCTGCAACTACTCGGGATCAGAACAAGGAAATGGTTGTTTTATCTTTTTTCTTTAATTAGGGAACCTGTAATCCCAAAAACTTTTGAAATACCCATCGCTTTACAGCGTCATTTCCACATTTTTGATTTTGGCGGCTTTTTGGGGGGTTGAGAGCGCACTTTGAATATTATAGACATTAATTGAGAAAATAATAGAGAATTAAACAAATTTATTTTAAATTTTTTGGCATTACCTTAGCCCTCCCCCTTTTTTTGTTATTTCATTCAGAATCCTAACCCCCATAAATTTACTTGACAAAATTATATTTTGAAAGCTCTAGTCTCTACCAACAAACATGAGCGACGAAAATCGAGAACAATTGCTTTCGTTATTGGGTGATGAAGAAAGAGGATTTGATGAAAATAATTTTTGTGAAAGCAAAGGAGAAGTTCGAGTTTTGAGACAAAAAATTTTGCAAAAAAGAAAAATAAAAAGTCAGCCAAGGTTTTTTTTTAATTTTTTAGAATTTTAAAAATTAATTAATTAGGTCTTTGATGGATAAAAGAGCAGCAGACAATTTTAAGTTTGACTTGACAGAAGAAGAAAAGGATAAAATAAAAGAGCCGATAAGTGAAGAAAGGGAACAAAAAATAATGAAAAGTATTTTTTAAATTAAATTTTAAATTTAAAAATTTTTTTAGTCTTAAATAAAATAATTAACAATGAAGAAGAAGAGGAAAGTTATGGGAAGCAAGAAGAACTGGAAAATGATCAAGAGGAAGAAAATGTTGACTTGGAAGATGAAGAAATCGAAGAAAAATCAACTTCAATTGAAATTAATTTGATAAATTTAAATTCAAAAAAGGAAGAAAATAAAAAATATATTTATGAAGAAAAAGTTTTTGATGAAGAAAATTATGGAGAAGAAGAAAATTCTGTGTTTGAATGGACAATTGAAGATGATAATGGAGAGGTTTTTTTAAATTTTATTTTTTATTTTTTTAAAGTTTAATAGAAGCCTAAAATAAGGACTTTTTTACCATTTCAGAATTTTACTTTAAAATACTTTGAGTCTCTTCCTCTTCGAGAACCTCGCAAAATGATTTTCTCCCCAAACAGAGAATGCATCTCTTTCCAGAGAAATAGCAATTTTGGTGTAGTGGGAAAGTGCTTATATTCTTATTGGTAGAAGGTTTAAATGGTTAGAGGTTCGAATCCCGTCGACGGAAAATAATTTTATTTTTGCCCAAAAATTAAAAAAATTTTTTTTAAATCTTTTCCCTGCTCTCCTATAATTTTTAATTTAATTATAGATTGGTGTAATTCCAAGTATAGAATTGTCTGAAATGTTGGAAGACATTTCTATGCTTCCTCCTCTTCCTCAAGAATCTTCTTTAAAAGTCTCTTCAACATCAAGTACATTATCTAGCACAAAATTAACAACAACATTTTCTCACTCAAATAATTTTTATAAAATTATTAATAAAATTTCAAATTCAAAATTTTGGATATTATTAAAAATTCCTTGCAAAATTAATTATTTTGATTATTGCCAACATTTTTTAATTATTTGTTCAAAAAATAGACGTCCTTATTTTTTGATGATTTCAAGTTTGAAAGCTTTACAAGGCAAAAGATGTTGTTCACCACAATGGAATAAATTGGGAATATATGCTGATGGAGTTTCTATAAATGGTAAGGGAAGTGGGGGGGGGGGGATTTTAATCGGAAAACCGAAATTTGAAAATCAGAATTTAAAAAATCAGAATTTAAAATCAGAATTTAAAAAATCAGAATTTAAAATCAGAATTTAAAAAATCAGAATTTAAAAAATCAGAATTTAAAAAATCAGAATTATTTTTTAGATGACGGCACCCGTTTATGGCGTATTTGGAACGGAGTCGGATTTTCACCAAATTCACAACTAGATTTAATTGGACCTTCTTCAACATTTTCTAAAAATTCGCAATGGTATCAAATGACAAGTAGAAATGAGGGATGTCTTTTACAAGTTGAATTAACAAGTAAACATGCTTGGTATTTAACTGATAGAGGAGTAAGAATTTTTTAATTCTAAAATTTTTCTAAAAAATTATTTTTAAGGTTTTTGTCCAAATGTTTTTACCAGCCTCAGGAATGGGTTATTGGTATAGAACACAAGATGATGATGAATTAGATGTTTTTGTACAAATAACGGCATCGGATGAAGCTGTCTGGGTATTAAATAATTTTGGAATGGTTGCTGCAAGAGTTGGGCTTAGAAGGTGTCCGATGGGTGTTGATTGGGCATAGTAAAATTAAAAAAAAATTTTTAATTTTTAAAAAATTTTTTAAAGCTTGGACAATCAACCAAAAAAATTTGTCTCAATTTCAATTTATAAAAGGATAGGATTTGGACTGGATAATCAAGGCGTTATTTGGTTAATTAATGGTGTGGGACTTGAAAGTCCTTTTGGTGTTGATAATTGGTTTAATTGTTCTCCTTTACAGGTTTAAATATTTATAAAAAATTTTCTAAAAATAATTTAGGTTAATTCAATACCAAAAATGTCACCAATTAATGAATGGCGATTAAGTGTTGGATCAATTGGGATTTTTGTTAATGTTGGAACTGCTTTGGTTTATTTGCCTGAACCTTTTATTGGTTTTTTTTCAATTTAAACATTTTTTTTTATTTTTTTAAAAAATTCAGAAAGGGACGCTGATAAAGAAATTCTACTTTCAAAATCACGAGAAATGCCTGAACGCACACTTTCTGGTGGGTCAGCAACTTCTTGGTGTGAACTGGGTAAATAAAAAATTGCTCAATAATTTTTTGTTATTCTTTAATTTTTCCTTGCCTTAACTTTTTCATTTTTTTAATTCCAAGTTAATTTTATTTATAATTCTTGTAAATAATCATCTATTAAAAATAATCCTTAAAATCATTCCAAAATAGAAAAATATATAAAATAGAATTTTATTTGAGCCTTTAAATAGTGGGTAATTAATGCATAGATTATTTGGTGGTACAATGTTAAGGCACGATTAAGAAAAGATTTTTTAAGTTTTGAGCTGATGGCCACAGGAAAAGAATTTGGGGACAGAAAGGACTAACATAAGAATTAAGTAGAAAATTTTCAGTGAAAAAATTAAGTAGGCAACTTGTGAAGTTTTCTAGAAAAATTATATAAATAATAAACCTCTTCCTAAAAGTATGTTTCTCATCTATCAATAAGATTTTGATTACCCAAAGAGCTCCTTCTAAAAACCAATTGTTTATGACCTGTCAATGTATCCGAATCTCCTTCCTCTTCTTTAACTTCTACAACATTCACCGCTTTACCGTTTCTTTGTTGCTGTTGTTGTTGGATGTAAGCAGGCATAGGAGGAATTGGTGGAGGCTCTTGACCAGGCTCTTCAATGCTTGCCATTTGATGCACTTAAAAATTTAATTTAGAAAAACCTGGAAAAAAAAAGAAACTTTGTCTTAATTGTTGATGACCCTGATAGGGCGGTGGTGGCTGTGTTTCTCTACGTTGCTGTGCCGCTTCTTGATAGTTTGGGGGAGGTGGTGGGGCAGCCAATTCAGTGACAACATTTCCCTTTCGAGTTTCCACGGAGTGGTCTCGCAACAATCGACGGCAACCACCTTCACGTCGGTTGGACACACCTTGAAAAAGTCGAATAATAAAAGATCGAAATTTTCGAAAAAAAACCTCCGTTCCTCTCAATCCCAGCCATTAAATGAAATCCTCCAGAAGAAACACGATCTCCTGCCAATCTTCGCCTCGTTGCCTCAGGTAATTGCTCCAAATACGCGTTTAATTGACTAGCAGACGCATTAACCAAGTAACGTCTGCAAAAAAATATTTTTATATAATTATCGAAAAATCATTAAATATACTTTTTGCTAGAAGAGCTAGTAGAAGAGGCACTTTGTCGATAAAGGGGAGTGCCCCCATTAGAAGGTTGGTCTTCTGATCCAGGAGAAATATCAGCATGTGCAAGTGGTTGCTCGGAGGAAGAAGAACGTGATTGACTTCGAATTTGTTGACGTTGTGGTGAAGGCAGATCTGCGGGTACACGATTCATTTGAAGATTACTGACAAAAAGTGATACTTTAAAAACAACAAAAAAATATTTAAAAAAACCTTGACTTTTGTATATTTAATGTTGGTGGTCTTTCAATAATTCTATTCCGTTTTTCTGCCAATTTCCGACCAAGTTCCTCCATTCGAGCCATCACATCTTGTGAAGCAATTCTTTCATCATAAAGTGTCGCACCTCGTGCACTAGTAGGCAATTCAGCTGTTGAGCGATGGAAAAATTTTGATCCACGAATTGACGAAAATGGGCTGTTGTGTTCATTCTAAAAATTCTTTTAAAAATTTCAAAAAAATAAAAATAAAAAAACCAATTCTGTTGGATAATAACCACCAATTCCACTACCAGCACCTCCAGAACTAGCTAAAGAACTTTGACTTCCCATAAAATGACGTAAATCTTTTTCAAGCATTCTTACTCGAACATCTAATGATCGACGTTCTTCTGCCCATTGCATTTGTATTCTCATTTTATCATCCAATAATTCTTGTATTCTTCTTTCTTTTTCTGCTTTTTCAATTTCCCAACGAATTGTCATTGCTTCAATTTCTGTTCCTGCACCACAATTTTTAAAATTCTTTTGTTGTTGTTGTTGCTCAATTCCGCCACCAAATCTTCTTTGAATTTGAAGTAAAGAAGTTTCTAATTGTGAAATTCTTTCCTCTTTTTGATTCAATTCTTTTTTTAATTTTAACATTTCGTCTGTTGCTTCAGGTGTATTATTATTAGCACAACCAGCAGCGGCAGTTATTGCACCTCCTTTACGTCCAAGACTTCCTATAGCCTGTGAATTATTTTCTTTGGCTAATTGAAGACGTAATTGGGTCAATTCCATTTCTAATTGTGCTACTTGACGTCCATGTTGTTCTTTTTGACGTTGTTTGTCCTCCAATGCTTCTTGTAATATTCTTAAAAAAGAAAAAATGAGGAAATCAAGACAAGAGGGAAGACGCCAAAACGTGAACGAAAAAATTTTTTCCAGTGGGAAGACGACTGAATGGGAACGGAAAAATTTTCATAGGATTTTACAAATTTTAAAAATTTTTCGGTGGTGTTTCCTACAGAGAAGACTATAAGCAATCCCCTCCTCAATTGTAAAACAGGGGAAAGATGACTAAAACTTGAAAAACCGGCAGACGGAAAAGAAAATCTTTTCAGATTTTAAAAATCTTTAAAATTTTCTGGTGGAGTTTCCTAAATAGAAAACTATTTTCCTACCTCCCTCACCCCATTTCCATATAAAAACAAAAATCTTTAAAAATCATATAAAAACCTTTGTAAATGAGAACATTTATCAACAACAGCAGCAGCATCTATCGCTGCACGTTCCTTAGCTGCCAATCTCTCTTGAGCATTAGCTAAAGCCTTCTCCAAAACTTCAATGTGTGTTCTTTGTTCCTCCAAAGTAGCGCTTTGTGCATCCAATTCCAAGCGTTGTCTTTCTTGTATAACCAACAATTCATTATTTTTTGGAATTAATTCATTCAATAAAAAATGTATTTGTTGGTCATTATTAACTTCCCCTGTCTTTTGTTGTACTCCAAAAATTGCACCAATATTTGCATTTTGTGAACGTAATTGCTCGTTTTCAGCGTCCAATACACGCAATTGATGTTCTAATTTTTGTATTGCTATTTTACTCAATTCTTCACGTCTTTCCTGTTGACAAAGCATTTGCTCATAATCTTTTTCTATTTTTCTGTAAGAAGATTCTAATTGTTCCAAACGATTACATTTACGTTGTAATTTTTCTAAAAAATATTTTTTTCAATTTAAAAATAAAATTTCAAAAAGAAACCAATTTGTTGTTTTTGTTGAATCAAATTTGTTGAATTTTGATCAATATTTTGTTGCTGTATTCCATTCAAAAATTTATTTTCATTTTCTAATTGTTGATTAGTAGATATTTTTTCTGTTCGATCACTTTCTGATTTATACAAATTATTTTTGAAGGGAACTTCTGTTGTTTTTTTGGGAGTTTGTTGGGGAAGATTGTCAGGTCTAGAAAAATTGAAAATTAGGCCAGGAATCCAAACCCCCTAAAATTCTTCGTAGTTGATAATTCAAAAATTTTCCTTAAATAAAGACATCGACGTTTTTCAAGGTCTCCATCCTACTAACAAACATTATTAAAAACCTTTTTCCACTGTCTTCATTCGATTTTGTTCCATCCAGAAATAAACAAGGATGTGAATGGCTCATTGGCGTTTGTTGTTGTTGTGCAGATATTCTTAATAAATTTAATTTCTTAAAAATAATTTAAAAAACAAAACTTTTTCTGCAAATGGCTAGTACTTCTTTCAGCAGTCTTCAAGGAATTTTTATTAGTCTGTTCCATTTGTTGATTCTGTGTCTGCTTAATTACATGTTTGCTATAATTCTCTATCATATTCTGCAACTGATCTTCATCGCAGACTTCCTCTAAAAATATTAAAAGTGTTAAAAACATTTATTTTAAAAGCAAACCGTTTTCTTCCATCGTTTCAATTACTTCCTGTTGTGCTTGTTCATTAGCTTCGTGCAATAAATGAGGCAAAATGCTAGCTTCATTGAGCGCATTTTCATTAACTATAATTGGCCATGAAGAGGCAATATTTGAATTATTTTTGCCTTTCATATCATTTAAGTTGAAACAAAAATATTTAAAATATTAAAAACGTTTTAGAAGGTATTTAAAGCAAAAAAAATTTTTGGAGTAAATAAACAAATTTTCTTTAAATAATTTTATTCAATTTTTAAATAATAAAATACTTCAAAAATCACAAAAAAATTTCGATTCGCCTCCAATAATTAAAAAAATTCTAATTTGCATAATAACGAGGCAGATTAACATCACCTAAATCTCAATATTTAAGCGATATGTGAAATTTTTAAATATAATTTCAAAAAATTCTTATTCAAATATTGAAATTATCAAATTTAAATGATTAATTACTAACCAATATTCAAGATAAGACCAGCATTTCCGGGAACATTTTGATTGTTGTTCATCTCGAAATTGCTTAAACGACGAGTAAGACGTGTAATACCACGCCGCATCTAAAAATATTGGAAATTTTAATTTAACTTTAAATCGAATAAAACTGAAAATTGATTCCCATAAGTTAGGATTGTTATGACTAAACTATAAAGCAGAGCTGTGCTATAGCTATTTATCTCCTTTAGTTAGTGCAAAAGGTTAATTGGCGGCTGGGAACCAGCATCTTCACTATACTGACATTAACCACGCCGCCTACTGCACAGCTTAGAGGTTAAATCTCCCTTAAAAACATTAAACATACAAAATTTAATCGACCATCAATTCTTAAAAATGATTGGTTTTCTGCTTCAAAATTTGTAGTACAAGCACCTCTGTAGTTTTCTAATGTTGTTCTTAGACCTTCAAACTCCGCATCTGAATTATTGGTATGGTTGGTCATCGAAGTATTAAGGATTCCCAATGCTTCAGAAAGATTTTCAAAATTTTTTGAAGTGCTTGTTTTGTGATTATTAAAATCAGTCTGAAGATTGGTTACATCAGTCCGAATATTCAAAACGTTGTTGTTTGTTGTTTCCAGCAATTGAAAAAGAGCCTCAGGAGAATGTTTCTCTGGAGCTGTCATTTCTTTTTAATTATTTATATACCTACAAATATATCTTTTTATTTAGCTGATTAAGAGAAATAAAAATATTCTAAATAAAAGTTTCTTAGCCCCGAAAATTCTTTTAACATCAAAAATCGATATTCTAATCAAAATTCTGTTATATCAGTTTTGACGTTCATTTAAGAGTAAAAATTGTTACAAAATTAAAGTCAAAAAGTATTTAAAGTAAATAAACAATTTACATCTAAACAAATTTTATTTAAAATAATTTTTATTCAATTCGTCAAAAATAAATTATTTTTAAAAAATCAACCGAAATTTTCAATTTTTTTTTTAATTCTAATTTCCTCCGCCCATGTTGACACCAGCATTTCCAGGAATATTTTGATTATTATTCATCTCCAAATTTTCCATACGACCAGAAAGACCGGTAATGCTTTGCCGCATCTAGAAAAAAAATTTCTAATTTTAAATTTTAGTTTCTAAAGTTCTAATAAGCTGAAAATTGTTCCACAAGTCATTAGCGATGATGACTAAACTATTAAACTAAAGTTTATAAAAAATTTAAAACGAACATAATTTAAACGACGATCAAGTCTTAAAATTGTCCTGGTTCCCATTTCAAAATTTGAAGTACAAGCATTCATGTGATTGACTAAAGATGCTCCAATTGCTTCAAAACCCGCTTTTGAGCTATCATTGTGGTTGGTCAATGTCGTTTGAAGTTCTTCAAATTGTCTTGAAATATTTTCAAATTTCGTTGTAGTATCTTTTTTGTTGTTATCAAAATCAGTCCGAAGTTTGGTTACATCAGTCTGAAGATTCAAAACGTTTTTGTTTGTTGTTTCCAGCAATTGATAAAGAGCTTCAGGAGAATATCTTTCTGGATCTGACATTTTCCTCTTAATTTTTAACTATTTAAATATACCTATAAATTTATAAAAATCTTGTGCTTAACCGATTAAAAATATAAAAAATTGTTTGTAGCTAAAAACTACATCTCAGAGAAAAATATCTTTTTATATAAAAAATTTTTAGCCCCAAAATTCATTTAAAATAAAAAAATATTCAAACCGAAAATCTGCTAAAACTTTTTGGATGGGTATGCTGCGTTTTTGCAGTTATTTTTTTCTTCTTTAAACTAAAATTTGATTTTCTGACAGTTGAATGTTTTCTGCTATTGACAGAAAACATTTTTAGATGCCAAAAATTGTTGACAGAAATTTTTTGATGAGTCGTCATATTGGAGACCAACCCCAAATAACAAAAAGATATTAACGCAATTAAATAAGGTGAAAATTTAAAAAAGGCATAAAACCTCTAAAATACAAAAGCAAAAAAGTAATTAAAAAAAACTTTTATTTACTACGGCACAAGTAAAACTACTCGTATCATAATTAAATATTAATGACTGAAACAAATTTGACTAAAATTCATTAAATCAAGCAAAAATCATTTATTTCCTATAATTCAATCTCGACTCAGCATCTATTCAATTGTTTTCAAACGAAGAGTATTTGTTGCACCAGAACCTTTAAAAATTAAAAAAATTTTAAAATGATTTTTATAAAAAAAACCTGTACGCCATCCAGTAATAACCACAACAATATCTCCAGTATGAATGAAACCACGTGATTTTCCTTCATCAATTCCCACTTCAATACGTTTCTCAAGATCAGTCGTCCAATCGGGTTCTCGTTCCATTTTAGGATAATGAAGAGGAAATACTCCTTGATACAAATGTAATTGCCGGGCAACTTGTGCATCACGAGAAACAGCAACAATCGGGACGGGCGGCTTATAACGAGAACAATCGATTGCTGATTTACCAGTTGTTGTCATAACCACAATAGCACTAGCACGACACGAAATAGCTGCAGAAGTGGCAGCAATTGCTATTGTTTGTGTTTTGTCAGTTGGCTTTTTGGTGTCTTTACAAATTTCTTGAAAGAATTTTGCATGGAAGAATGCCGATTCTGCCTCTTTGCAAATCTTTAAAAAAAAAATTAAATAAAATACTAAACAAAGACAAATTACATTATGCATAGTGATAAGAGTTTCAACTGGATATTCCCCTTTAGCAGTCTCACCAGAAAGCATAACACAATCAGCGCCATCCAAAACAGCATTTGCAACATCACTTCCCTCAGCACCTTTAAAATATGAAATAAATTCAATAAAGTTATAAAAATTATTTACGCGTTGGACGAGGCTTCGAAACCTTAAATTTAAAAAATTATTCAACAAAGTGTTACAAAAAAGGTTTACCATGGATTCAAGCATTTGCGTTGCACAAATAACAGGTTTTCCAGCAATATTACATTTTGAGATTAGCATCTTCTGTGCAATAAATACTTTTTCCGCCGGAATTTCAATTCCTAAATCTCCACGAGCAACCATAACGCCATCAGATGCCTCAATTCTTAAAATGTTTTTAATTGGTGATAGTTTAAAAATGTTTAAAAAATACATTTCATCAGCATTGTCAACGCCTTGTTGATTTTCAATTTTTGAAATGATCTTTATATTCTTTCCCTTCTCCCCAAGAACTTCACGGATGGTGCGAATAGCTTCAGCGTCACGAATGAAAGAAGCGAAAATTATATCAACACCCTTAAAAGGAGGAAAGGTTATCTTTAACGACGAAGAAACTAAACCTGTTCCACTCCGAAAAGTAAATCGCTGGTATCCTTCTCAGAAACAGCCGGCAAATCAACTGCGGTCCCTGGAAGATTCACTCCTTTGCGGCTGCCAAGTTTCCCGCCATTCTCGACTTTACAAGAGACTGCGCCGTCACCTTTAAAAGTTTTTAGGTTTTCTAGTCTATAGATCACAAAAACAAACCAGTAATTTCCTCGACAATAAGAGAAATCAATCCATCATCAATAAAAACACGAGAGCCGGGCTTGACGACTTTAACAATATTCTTGTAATCCACAAAGAGGCAAACACCAGTCGAAGACTTTTCAAAAGCCGGATCAGTTGTAAGCCTTATAGAAGCATCCTTTTCGAGTGTAACCTCCGCAGAGCCTCCCTACAAATTTTCGAAGAGATTAAAGGGGTAATGGTTAATAAAACATACCCCAACAAGAAGACCAGTTCGAATCTCCGGTCCTTTAGTATCAAGAGCAATCGCAACAATCTTGGACGGATTGAAGCTGTTGGCTGCTTCACGAACATTTTTGATTGTTCCGGCGTGATACTAAAATTGTAAAAGACAAATCATCATTACAAATAAACCTCGTGATCTCCATGAGAAAAGTTCATGCGAGCAATATTCATACCGTTTTCAATCATTTTCTTCAACATTTCAACAGAGCGACAAGCAGGTCCTACAAATTTGACATTAGAAAATACAAGGAAAAGTCACCAATGGTGCAGATAATTCCAGTTTTGCGCACAGAAAATGGACTTGTAGTAACATTCAAACGAGATAAATGCTCCAAATTTGTGTTTGCAAGAGATTTCTCCATCATTTTTAAGTTCTTTAAATTAAGACTGAAATAAAAAATTATAAAAGTTATCAACAAATTCTCGTAATTTTTAGAAAGAAAATGTATCGAATGACAACAAAAGGTAAACATAACCTTTGCTCATTCTTTTTTTATTTTCTCCATTTTTCTTTATTTTGCCAATTAGGCTAGAAATCTACTTTTTGCCGCAAACTAGTCAGCAAACCGCGTGATTTTAGCGTTCTTGGCAAAATATGATATTGGCGAATATGGAAAATATGGGATATTGGCAAAATATGGGGAGCTTTTTTTATAAATTTTAAGGTTCTGAGACTCAATTAGTTTAAATTTAATTTCGGAGCGGGCCTGTTGAGCGCGGCCGGTTGAGCGTCAGCCAAATCTGATCGGCTATGTCTTTTTTACACTGAACATATCCGTATGAATCTTATATCATTCGAAAGCTCTCGATAAGCGCTATGTTTTCTACAACTGTATTCATCAAATCTGATCGTCTATTAAAAAGTTACAAGTCGAAAAGTGACGCTCATCGACCACGCTCAACCGTCCCGTCCGAAGAAAATTGGCGAAATGTTTTACCTATTAAAGTTAGCGCAATATTTAAAAAAAGATGACATATTTAAGCGGGTATTCGTTCGAATATCGTTTTTTTTTCATTTTTTTTCTACCCTTTAATACTAAAATTTTAACAGAAAAAATGGTAAAATTGAATTTCGTATACCCCCTCCTTTTTCCAGCCTCAAAATGTTTTAAAATGGTCAGTCTGTTATCAGATTATAGAACTCGTCGAGCTGTGTCGAATGACACCAAATTCAACCCCAGGTCTTAATTTTGGACCGAGATACAGACTCACGAAAATTGAAAAATAAAAGGGTGGACCAAGCTCATTTTTTGGGCTAAAAAGCCGATTAAACAAATAATAGCTCATTCGAAAGAGCTTGTCGAGCTGATTCGAATGACATCAAAATCAACGAAATTGAAAAAGATTTGGCAAAGTTATGACATAAGGTAATCCTTTGTGTTGGCGAGTTGTTTGTGCATAACGCTTCTCTTTGCGCAGGGTTTTTGTCTGTATCTCGGCCCAAAGTTAGGACCGGAGGTTAATTTTGGTGTCATTCGACACAGCTTAACGAGTTCTATAATCTGATAACAGACTGACCATTTTTAAATATTTTGAGGCTGGAAAATGGAGGGGGTATACGAAATTCAATTTTACCGAAAAAATCTTTTGAAAAATGCCACCAGCTGGAGTTACTGATACTCCCGTTAAGGATGCTGCTGCTAGTGAAATTAAGCCAGATCCGGATTATGAATTTCGCCGTAAAGCTTTGGATCTAGTTGAAGATTGGCAAAAGCATGACAGCGACAGTCAAGAAGACAAAAAGCACCGAGAAGAAACAATTTTGCCAAAAATCAAAGAACTTGTGATTCATAATTTGAATCACAATGCTGAGATTGAGGCTTGCGATATATTGATGGAAATTGAGAGGATTGATCTTCTGAAAGAAATGGCACAAAAACTGGAACATTTGGACTATGAACGAATTTGCCTTTATATTTTGAGGTTTTTTTCTTTAAAATTTTTTTATGAATCTCTTCGTCTTTTAGCTGTGCTCCTTTCATTCCTGATCCAGAGAACATTACTTTGATTGATATGGCAAGGGATTTGTATATGCACTTTGGGAAGAATATTGAAGCTTTACGATGTGCAATGAGAACCAACAATACCAGTGCTATTGAAAAGATTTTTGGGTCAACAACTGACGGGTATCTTTTTATTTTTTGGGAGCGCGTCGTAAAATGCCAAACGCCGAAATACCAAACTGGAAAATAAGAAACAGTATTCTCTAATCATGTGATAGGTTGTCTCAACAAGGGTGAAGGTTTCTTCATCGCGTGGATGATTATTAACAATCAACATTTTGGTATTTAGTCATCTTTTGCGGGTTTGGTATTTCGGCGTCTGGCATTCCGGCTTCATACTTATTTTTTATTTTATGTTTTAACTTGTAGAGCAATAAAAATGCAAATGTCTTTGATGCTTGGACGACAACAAATCTTTCTAGAAGTCGAAGATCAGCTTCTCTCTCAATTAAATGCGAATTTCTATTTGAACAAACACTTTTTGGCTTTTGCTCGCGAATTGGATTTGATGACACCAAAAACTCCAGATGAGGTTTACAAAACTTATTTGGAGCCAAATCGTCCGTTTGCTACTCAACAAGTTAAAAATATGACTTTGCAAAATTTGGCTTCTTCCTTTGTTAATGGTTTTGTTAACGCGGGTTTTGGAACTGACGCGTTTTTCAAAGATGAGAAGAGCACTAGTGATTGGTTAGCAAAACACAAAGAATGGGGTTAGTTTGTTTGGAAATTATTAAATTAAAAATCTAATTGAAGCCGCTTTTTCTACTGCTGCTACGTTTGGTTTGATTCACCATTGGAATGTGGATTCACTCAACAACTTTGAAATTCATACACAATCAAAGGATATTTATGTGAAGGTTATTGACAAATGATTAAAATTATTTCTTTATATTCTTATCTTTTTTAAGGCTGGCGCTCTATTCGCCACGGGTATCGTCTTTTCGGGCGTCCAAGATCCTGAAGTCGATCCTGCCTTTGCCATCTTGCAAGATTTTCTATTCAATGAACACTTACCTTTACGCGTTGCGTCAATATTTGGACTAGGGTTGGCCTATGCAAATAGTAAACGCCAAACAGTTATTGACCAAGAAGAAAGTGTTGTGCAGAGTTTAAGAAAGGTTTTTTTTTAATTTCTTGAAAAATTTCTATTTTTTGAAAGGTTATCGCGGATGATCAAATTTTGGCTAATCAAGCTGAAGTTAAAGGGTTGGCTGCATTGTCTCTTGGTTTCATTCTTATTGGATCAGGAAGAGAAAATAGTGAAACTGTCTGTGAATTGCTAACTTATTTAATGAGTGGGGTCGATTTGAATGATGTTAATATGAGATTGGTGGCTCTTGGAATTGGGCTTATATTTTTGGGTATTTTTGATTTTCTACTAAAAGATTATTTTTTTATTCTTTAGGGAGACAAAATGAATGCGATGAGACAATACTTGAACCACTTCGTGCACTTTCCGACCCCTTTGGAAAAATTGCTTCAACATTGGTAGATGTTTGTGCTTATGCTGGAACTGGAAATGTATTGAAAGTGCAAGAGATGTTGCATATTTGTTCTGAACATTACGAGAAGGAGGCGCAGAAAGAGGAGGTTTTTGATTTTTTTTAATTCTTGGAATTAAATATTTAATTTCCTTTTTCTTTCAAGTCTAAAACCAAAGTTCCTTCTGGTGCTCCATTGCCTGATATTACAGCACCTGCGGCCTCTGTACCAACTAATTCTGCTAATGGCGATGCAGAGGAAGGAGAAGCTGCTACCTCCACAAAATCGCAAACAAAGAGTGAAGAGGCTCCAGAATGTTTAAGCCAAGCAGTAGCTGTTCTTGGGATTGCGCTTGTGGCAATGGGTGAAGATATTGGATCTCAGATGTGCCTTCGACAGTTTGGACATTTGGTTAATTAAAAATACTTTTAGTTTTTACAAAAACTTTTTTTAGTATCGTTATGGAGAGCCAGTTATTAGACGTGCCGTTCCTTTAGCTCTTGCTCTCTTGAGTCCATCAAATCCTCAATTAACTGTTATTGAAACACTCAGCAAGTATAGCCACGATTCTGATGCAGAAACTGCAAGAAACGCAATCTTTGCCTTAGGATTGGTTGGAGCAGGAACGAATAATGCAAGAGTATTGGCTATGTTAAGACAGTTGGCTAGTTATCATTCACGTGATCAGGTTGTGTTTTTTGAATTTTTTTATAAAAAGAATTTTTAATTTTCAGAAAACAATGATTCTTTTACGCATTGCTCAAGGATTAATTCATTTGGGTAAAGGAACAATGACTTTAAACCCATTCCACTCTGATCGTCAATTGATTTGTCCAACTGTTGTTGGAGCATTGCTTTGCACTTGTTTAGCTTTTATTGATTCTGAACAAAGTATTTTTTAATCTTAAATTTTTAATTTATTCTTATTTTCAGCCGTACTTAATGGTCGACAACACTATTTACTCTTCTCATTGGTTGCTGCCATCCAGCCAAGAATGTTAATAACGGTCGTGCAAGATACAAAGGATGAGAATGAACTGGTTCAAAAATCTGTTAGTTTTAATAATTTTGATTCCAAAAAATTTTTTTTTAATTAAAGGTGCAAGTTCGTGTTGGTCAGGCTGTCGATGTTGTCGCCCAAGCCGGCAAACCGCGTGCAATTACTGGATTCCAGACGCACTCAACACCTGTACTATTAGGCTATGGTGAGAGGGCTGAACTTGCTGATGATGATTGTAAGGGAAATTGTGTTTCATTTGTAAATTTTTTCCTATTTTTCAGATATTCCATTGACACCTGTTTTGGAAGGAATCGTAATTTTGAAGAAAAAGGAGACGGAGGAGGAAAAGAAGATTAAAAAGTGATAACTCCATCTTTGTAGATCAAATTTTTTTGTTTTTGGTCTTGGTAAACGTATCCTAAAAGTCCGCAATTTTTGTCCGCAAGTCTTTTTCAAAAATTAAAATGTTGATTTAAAATATTTCATTTTGTAATTTCATAATATCTAAATTTTAAAATGTCCAACAATTTTTGGCTAAAGGTTTATTTGGTATTTTTATGGGAGAAGGGCTGGTTTTTTTGGATTTCCGTGATTAAAAAAATCAGAAGACTTGCCAGGGTACCACGAATAGGTAAAGGGTCCCTTGTTAAAGTTGTGTCGGCGACAAAATGAGCTGTTTCGGACCGTTGAAGGTCGAAGATTGAATTTTGGCCTTTTGGATACTGTATCCCCCAAATCGAAATTTTTATTAAAAAAATTTTTTTAATTTTTTTAATCAGAATTTTAATTTTAAGAGAAGAAATGGACAAAATATTTACAATATTATTAGCGACAACAACAATAATTTCAATTTACGAAGTTGTAAGTAATGAAAATGCTCAATTAAAAGAAGAAGGAGACGAAATTAAAACACCAAATAATGACAAAGATTCGTTCAGTCAATTTGATGATATTGGAAATGAAGAAGAACCGGCATATAAATATAAGGAAGAGGCTCAGGAAGTAGGGGAGAAGGAAGAAGATGAATTAAGAATTAGAGAACCAACGAGAGAAAAGCCAAAAGGAGGGACGTTTAAACCGCCAATAAATATGCCTCCAGTGAAATTTTCGTTTTGGTTTTTTTTTAATTTTTTAAAAGTTTTTTTAATTTTATTTTAGCGTGTCTTGTGGATATCGACAAGCATATGAACAATTTGCTCAAATTTTGAGAGAAAAATATCCAGGGATTGAAGTTGTAGGAGAAAATTATGCTCCTGGATTGGCTAGAGGATTGGCGGCACAGGTTTGGAAATTTTTAATTTCTGTACAAATTATGAATGTCACGGGGTATTCAATGCCTGAACCGCCCGTCCTGAGAACTTTTTAGAAAACCCGGCCTGGACCCCGACTCGACTTTTTCCACTCTTAATCGTTGACTGACTCTTTGAAGCCTGGACTATTTTCAACCCGTTTGGTGGAAAATTCGAAAATCTCGACCTAACTTCTTTTTCAACCCGTGATTTTCCTGTCCAAATCCTTCTTTTTTGACAATCTCCGTTTTAAGAGCTTTTTCTAAATGTCAAGAATTCTTTTACCATTCCACCTTATAAAAATAAATTTTTTTTAATTTTTAGTTGTTAGGCTTTGCAAAAATTGCTTTAATTATTTGTATAATAATGGGAAGAGATCCATTCCCTTCTCTAGGCCTTCAAACTCCGAGGTTCTTTCAATGGATGGCTAATAATAAAATGTCTGCTTCTATAATGATTTTTCTTTTTTCAAATGCTATTGAAGGGTTTTTTCTGAATTTTTATTTTTAATTATTTATTTTTTAAAAGAATGTTACAATCAACGGGGGCCTTTGAAATTTATTTGGAAAATGAAAGGATTTGGTCTAAATTGGAAAGCGGGTATATTTTTTTATAATTTTTTGTTTAAAATTATTGGGAGGTGTAAAAGAGTGAAGGGCTGTTCTTGCAGCTTTTTCTTGCTAATTGTAAATACAAGCTGAGGGAAGTATTGGGAGAAAAGTCCGAAAAAACAGTACTTTATTCTCTATGATGCTGTAATTCCCTAAAGACATGCCGAAATACCAAAATTTGCATTGCTAACAACCTTCCACCCCGTTGATTTGAAAATGCATTTCTATGTTTGTATTTACCCACAGTTTGGTATTTTGGTAGTTTTTGGAGTTGGTATTCCTTCGTTTGGTATTGCAACACGCTCCCGTTTGTAAGGAGTGAATTGCTTTCTTCCAATCATTTTAATAATTTTAAAATTATTTTTAGTCGTGTTCCTTCTCCGCCTGAATTATTTGAAGCAATTGACAGTCAAATAACTTTAAGAGGACCTAGCAAAGTATTTTTTTTATTAAAAATATTTTTAACAAAATTTTTTAGTTTTCGGGTTCTTCATTTGGTATAGACGATTCAAATTAAAAAATTATTTAAAAAAAGAAAATGGGCAAGTTTGAACCTCATATTGTTGGAAAAGAATATTAAATTTGGTCACTCACTTTGCTGCTTAAAAAATTATTTTTTTTTTATTTTATTTTGATTTTTGTCTTTTTTCTTTTGATATTTTTAATTAAATTTAGGTAGATATTAAAAAAAATTTTTTATTTTTAAAATTGTTAATTTTCAATTGAAATATTTTTAAGAAATTTTTTAAATTTAATTTTTGAAATTTTAAGTGAAAATGTTGGATATAGAAGATTCAATTGAAAGAGTTCCTCTTGCTCAAAACAATCAAAATGGCTTGGTTAAAAATAAATTTGAATCATTCTTCAATATCAAAACTAGAAGAAAACGAAAAGAGGAGGTTGAGGAAGAAAAACAAATGGCGAAAAATGAATTGGAAAGTGTTCTTCCTTGGAGTTTGTTTTGTTTTTTTAAATAAATGGGGAAAGGGGTGACATTTTATACAAAAAATTTTTTGGTGTAGAAAGCCGTGGGCAGGTTGTCAAAAAATTTGATAATAGAGGAGAGTGAGAAGGGGACTTTTTGTTTACGGAATTTTTTAATAAGTGGGGGGCTATTTCCAATCTAAATTTTCTGTGGTATTGTCTGGGTAGTTTTTGAATTCTGATTCCGACTTTTGAAAGTATCTAGAAATTAAATATGTGGTAATTTCCTTTAGACTTCTGACTTTTTTAGGAGATGGGCACGAAAAGATGGAGTTATATTCCATCTTTTATGTTCTATTCAACCTTTATAAAATTTCTTTAGATCGAGTTGTCTATTTACGAACTTGGGGATGTTCTCATAACAATTCCGATTCTGAGTATATGGCTGGACTTTTATTAAAAGCTGGATTTAAAGTAACGTCAGAAAAAGAATTGGCTGATATTTGGCTTTTAAATAGCTGTAATTTTTTTGAAAATTTTTTGAAAATTTTTTGAAATTTTTTAAAAAATTTTTTGAAAAATTTTTTTGAAATTTATTTTCAAAGGTACAGTAAAAACTCCATCAGAAACAATGTTAGAAAATCAGGTAAAAGAAGGCAAATCTAAAATGAAAAGAATTGTTGTTGCTGGATGTGTTCCTCAGGTTTTCTTTGATTTTTGGGAAAATATTTATTTTTTTAATTTTTAGGCAGGTCCACAAATTTCTTGGTTAAAAGATGTTAGCGTTATTGGAGTTCAACAAATTGATAAAATTGTTAATGTTGTTGAGGAAACTTTAAATGGAAATAGTGTTCGGTTTCTTTCTAGACAAAATAAGTCGGCAAAAGCGATGGATCTTACGCTTCCAAAAATGAGTTTGTTTTTAATTTTTTGATTATTCGGAAGAATATTTGAATTGTCTGCAAATATTTTTGCAGATAAAAAATTTTTTAGGAAAAGGAATTTTTTTCTTATAGGAAGAAACGAATTTATAGAAATTCTAGCAATTAATAGTGGATGTTTAAATCATTGTACTTATTGCAAAACAAAGGTTTTCTTTTTTGTAAAAATTTTTTTAATTTTTAAAATTAATTTTCAGGCTGCCAGAGGTGACCTAAAAAGTTTTCCTTTAAATGCTTTAGTTGACCAAGCAAAAAGAGCCTTAACGGAACAAGGTTGTCGAGAATTATGGCTAACTTCTGAGGATTTGGGGGCGTGGGGAAGAGATTTTGGTATGGTTATTCCAGATTTACTTCAAGCTTTGGTCGAAATAATTCCTGATGGTTGCATGGTTTGGAAATTTTGTTTTTTGTGTTAAAAAAGTTTTTTTAAAAAGATGAGAATGGGAATGACAAATCCTCCATATATTCTTGATCATTTGGAAGAAATTGCACAAATTTTAAATCATCCAAAAGTCTATTCATTTTTACATATTCCTGTTCAATCTGGAAGTAATGCTGTTTTGAGTGATATGAAAAGGGAATATACAAAAGAACATTTTTGTCAAATTGTTGATTATATGATTAAAAAGTAAGTGGGGGGTTTTTTGAAGGCTAGAGAGACCCAGAGCTAGTTAGACCCCTTTTTAAGACTAGGGAGGGGACTAGGAAACCCAAATTAAGACTAGAGAGACCCAGAGGCCTTAGGTCCTGAAATAAGTAGTGTTCCTGAAATCGATATATCGTCCCGTCATGTCTGGCTCCTGCTTCCATTTAAAAGTCTTTAAAAATTTTTTTTCCTTTTAAAGTGTGCCAAATATTTATATAGCAACAGACTTTATTTGTGCTTTTCCAACAGAAACTGAGGAAGATTTTGAAGAAAGTATGGAATTGGTTAAATTATACAAATTTCCAAGTCTTTTTATCAACCAATTTTATCCCAGGCCGGGAACACCAGCTGCTCGGTTAAAGAAAATAAATACTGTTGAGGTTATTTTGATTTTTTTAACTGACTGGATCAGATTTTCTTTTAAACTGGAAGTTCTCTGTATTTTTCGCCGAGATATAGAATCGCGTTCTAAATTCTTTTCTAGAACTTCGGTTTTCTTTTAATTCCGATGGGAAGGTTACCCGAAACACTTTGATGACTGAAACCTGGACATTTCGACCCGAAATCCAAGACCCTATCCGAAGAAAAGTTTTGAAAACCGAAACCTGACTCGGCTTTTTTGTCAACCCGTTCTTTTTTTTATATATTTTTCTTAAAAATTTAATTTTTTAGGCCCGTAGACGAACATCCGAAATGACTCGTCTATTTCATTCCTACCATCGTTATGATGAATCTAGAATAGGAAAAGAATATTGGGTTTTAATTTGTGAACGTGCCTCTGATGGGAAAAGTTATGTTGGGCATAATAAATGTTATGGTTTGTTTGAAAAAATTTTTTTTGAAAAATTTTTAAAAATTTTTTAGAACACATTTTGGTCCCAGATCCATACGAAGCTGAAATACTAAAAAATGAGAATTCCTCCAAAAATGGTTTATTACTAGGCAAATGGGCTTATGTTCGAATTGTTGGTGTTTCTAAATTTTATATGCGCTCAGAAATTTTGCATTGGAAAGGTTCTAAAGATGAAAATATTTTAAAGAAAAATTCTCTAAAATTGGCAAAGGATTTATTAGGTTCGTCTTCTTTAATATTTCTTATTTGTTTAATTTTGGCTTTATTGTTGAAATTTTATTTAAATTTTGTTTAAAAAATTTTCGGTAACTTTTTTTAAAGTTGGGAATTTTTCTGGATTTTTTTTTTGGAAAATATTTTTCTGAGAATGTTTAAAAAATTTTTTTAATGAATTAAGAAAAATTTTTTACTTATGAATTTTAACTCTCGCAATATTTATACAAACTTGTGTTTTTTTAAATACATTGTATAAGTTGCTTGTCAAATTTTTGAGGAAATTTTTTAAAAAATTTTTTGAGGGGGGGGGTTTGAATTTTTAAAAAAAAAATTTAAATGATTTTTTTCTCTAGCGTTCAAATTTTTTTTTAATTTTTTCTTTTCCTTTCCTTCTTTTTACCGCTCTCTTTGTTGTGTATCATTTAATTCTTCATTTTCATCAATATCATCAACAACATCATTCTCTTCTTCCTCCTCTTCAATTAAATATTTTGACAAATTATTTCCTTTAGAAGTTTTTGAGGGTAAAACAGAAAACATATTTAAACAATTTCTAAATTTTGTATTTTTATAACAATTTTCGGTACATTCTGCTCTAAAATTAGGCATTGAATGAGAAAACATTTCGTGACATAATTGACAAATTCTGTCCATTAAAACATGTAATTTTGGATTTGAATAAGCCTTTAAATGGAAGGGAAGAGGGGGATTTTAATTAAAAATGTCCTTTTCAACTTACTTTACAAGTTTTTTGTTTTAACCTTAAATTATTTGATGATTTAACTTTATAAATACGTCCTTCATTTGTTGAATAACTAATTAATAAAAATAGGCAAGATAAGGTTGAAAAGGTGGCTTAAAAAATTAAAAAAAATTTTTGAATTTGTCTTTTTGAAAATTTTTTAGAGTGAGCTATCATTTTTAAAAATCCAATTTTTCATCCTCCCTCCCCTCAAAAAAATTCTGCTTGGTCCCTCTAATATTTCTTGGTTATTACGAGACCATAACTTGGCTATCAATTGAATTTTGGGATTTAATTTTGGAGTCATACGACTCAGTTCGGCAATTAGTGTGTTCACTCGAATCGGAGGATACGAGGGAGTTTTTTAGAGACATCGAAGACTATTGGTCTTGAGTCTTGGCTCAAGACTTTTCTTGGGGGTTTTCGGTCTTGAGGGTGAAGTCTAGGTCTTGGACATCCTTAGAATTTTCCCAAAAAAATTTTTTTAAGTAATAAAAAGACTTACAAATTTTTAAATTTGTCATTTGAGAGAGAAAGAAGTTTTCTTCTTTTCTTTGTTAAAAAATTTTATATAATTAAAAATAAATGAATGATGAAAAGAAAAATGCCAAAAATAATATATTTATAAAAATTAATTAACGCCGTTCTTCTTCTTTACTCTTTTATTTTTTTCTAACTTTTTTATTTCCGTTTTTATATTTCATTGAATTTATGTATTATTTATGTACTAACAGACAAAATGATTATTATTTTTTAAACACATTTTTTGGTGTTTTTTATCCTCATTAAAAGTTACAATTGTTATATATAATTCTTACAAAAATGGTACTGCCTTTTTTCTCTAACGAGAGAGAGAAAAAAATGCCAAAATACCGCGAGGACAAAGTGCCGTCGAGCTATAACTTGGTTTAAACTTGTCGAATCTGGGGGATCAGGATATGGTTCGATGCTCCTCGACCTGCTCTATCGAACCATACCAGACCGGCACGGATACGACAAGTTTGAAGGAAGTTATAGCTCGGCGGCACTTTGGCCTTGCGGGGCTTTGGGACGTTCCTTTTTTCCTCAAACACAATCTACAAAAATAATTTTTTGCTTCATTTGAGATGACAAGAAGAAGGAGAAAAGTTGTTAATTGGCGCAATTGCAAAGCTCAATTCTTGTTATTATTTTACACAAAATCTATTTTTAAATAGAGAGGCACAAAAATGGATCTTTTCTTTAATCCGCTACAAAAGACTTAATAAGGCTGATGTTTGGGGAATAATTAGAGGTTTGCTTAACCACCTTCGTTTTTTATTAAAAAATTTTAATAATGAACCAAAAAAGGTTTTAATTAATTATTTTTAAGTGTTTAACTCAAACGTGAATGAAATTTGCCTCATTATCCTTTTAAATATTAAACTTTATTTTATTTTTGGCATTTTGTATTTAATTTGGATAATTTGTCATTTAATTTATTTTGGTCGGTTAGAGTCTCATAAATTTATTTTTTTTATTTCTGTGGATTTTGTTAGGATCTGGTACCGGAATCACAGTTTTTAAAGAACGACAAGGATTCCCTGCATTACCGGGTATTAGTCCCGTGGGATGCCGTCCAGACAAAACTCCCGGATTTGAGATTCTGTTGCGCTCTAGTTTTTCTTTTATCAAACAGTTAAGAAAATTTTATTTTTAGATTCAATTGGTAAAAAATGTTTCCAAAAATTCTCAAGTGTATTCCGGCTGTCAAAGTTGCAACAACTCTTCAAACGACGAATCCGGTGCTTTTCTTGCAAGCGCGAGGTGTTAGTAGGCGCCCACATGAGATTGGTGCGCCTCCTCAACGTCATATGAGCTTTTTTGTAAGTTTTTCAGTTGATTTAAGTTGTTATAAAATGTTAGTTTTGTCCGCAAATATTTACAGACTCGGTTTGCGGATTCCGCAAATTTTGTCCGCAAATATTTGCGGACTTGTTTTTTGCTAATTTTTTATGTTTTTAATTTTTAGCAACACGCTGCACTTTTTTCTTCTTTGGTTTTTCTGATGCTCTCGTATCCAACCTATCTGATGTGCAATCTTGACAATCTCCGTGATCTTCCACCGCAGGAATTTTCTGAAGAAGTGAAGGCCGAGTTGGAAGAGCGTAGGAAGCTTCGTGCTGAAGGCAAATTGAACGTTTTGGTTGCTAAGACTTGAAGAAAGTTAAGAGAAGAAAAGATGATAGGAAAAAAAGTATTTTTTTAAATTAAAGGTTTGAATTGGAATATATTTTTTGTGTAATTTTGTTTTGGAAAAAAGGGATAAAAAATAATTTTTAAATTTGTGAATTAAGGCTGGGGAATGGGCTGGGGATTGTCTAGAGACGGGGGTTTTACTGAATTTAGAGCTCAGACAGTTTTTGGACGTTCTTAGGTTTTTCTTGGACCTAGGATTTGGACCAGACCAACCTTGCCCCAAGCTATTGGTCCAATCAAGTCAGAGGCCCAAACACTAATAAAAATCCAATAGACTCCAATAAAGTCTTGTTTTTTGATTTTTAAAATTATTTTTTATTCCATTATTGTTCTAGTATGTTTGTGGATTTAAAAAATTTTTTGAGACGATAAATATTGTAGTTGTTATTCTATATGGTTTTTTAAATATTTTTTTAATTAAAAAATATCTTTTTAAATTTTTTAAAATAATTTTTTTAAGTATTTAATTTTGTTATTAAAAATGTCTTCAGAAATTCCAAAACAGTCAAGTTTAGAATCTTCCAAAATATCTTCAGATGGATCACCTCCAAGAGAAGAAAATTTTATTGAATCGTTAAACTCACAAGTGGATAAAAGCAATATAGAAGAAATAATTAAAACACAAAAACGATCGTAAATTTTTTTTTTCAATAAAAAAATTTTTTTAACAATATTTCCCTGAGTGGGCTCAAACCTGCTCCCCCTTTTTTTAAGAAAACTGACTGCTAACAGGATAATCCATCCACCAATATTTAATTGTTTTTGGGGTGATTTCTTTCCATTTTGAATATCTTAAGTTTTTTATATAGCTTAAAATAATTTTTAAAAAATATTTACCCCCGAAAGGGTTCGAACCTGCCTCCTTTTTTCAGAGGAGCAGAACATTAACCCGCTAAACCACCCACCAAATTTTTCCTAAAACTTCTGAATTTTCTCGTTTTTCCATTGAATATTCGCCAAAATAAATTATTAAAAAATTTTTTTGAAGGTTAGAACGTTTTGAAAAAACAAATGAAATGTTGGGGAATTGTTGTATTTTGGCAGAAAAGCGATTGGAAAAAGCTAAAAAAGAATTTGCTTCAAATAAAGAACAAATATTGCAAGCAAAACAAGATTTGGATTTTATTTTTAGAAAAATATTTAATTTGAAAAAAATTTTGGCAAAAGAATATCCAAAAGAATATGAAGAAGAAGGTTTTTTTTAATTTTGTTTTTTAAATAATTTTTTTATTTTTTAAAGTTGGACGAGGAAAGGAATAAAAAGAGGTGGAAGGAGAAGAATTGGAGCGCTGCCGTAATACCAGCTGCCGAAATACCAAAAGGTTTCTTCTAGAGATTGAGCGGGTCTGGACCAAGGCCTGGGTTTTTCCTGTACCCAGAGTTCAGCAATTTTTTGACCTTCCTGGGTTTTTCTGGACTACAGGCCCAGGATCCGGCAAAGATTATTAAATCAAATCAAGGAACAGGGCCCAGGCTTTTCAAAAATCTCGATCTTTAGTTTCTTCAACAAAAGAGTATTCCATCAATCTCCATCGAAGATTGCTCTCTCAACGTGGAAGGTTGTTAACAATCAACATTTTGGTATTTCGGCGTGTTTGGTATTACGGCATCAAGAGAAATGTAAAGAAAGCTTTTTTGTAAAAATTTTCGGCCATATAAATTTATTTTTGAAGGTTTTTTATTTTTCCTATTTTTGTTTTTAATCTTTAAATATTTTTTTGGAGGTTGCAGACTTTCTTTAATTTTTTTTTAATTTTCAGAAAATTTAAAAATGATTAAAAAACAATTAAAAGGACCCCTTTTCTTCGCCTTTTCAGTTGTTTTTTCTGTTGGTACAATTTCTGCGGTTTTGTGGGACATTGAAAGGCAGAAGGATAGAAGGACTGAAACTGTTAGGTTTGTTTTTATTTATTGGATTTTATATTGGGTTAGGGGCTCCCTTTTTGTGAAGATTATGATTGGGGGTTAACTTGGTTTTGTGGACCACTGAAGTAAATGTTTCCGCTTCTTGTCATTTTCTTTTACTTGAAATTTTCCTTTATTTATCAGAAGAAGGTTAAAACTTGATGTTCCTTTTTCCTGGTATAAATAGGAATGGGCCGGGATGAGAAAAAAGAAGGCGCCGGGTTTGGATCGATCAAAATTTTCACAAGATTAGTTTTGTTCTAAGAAAGTCCGGATTTCGGGTAACTCAACACGTCCTCGATAAGAAGAGGTCTTGTATTGTAGTCTAAACTACTTCCTTTTGTAGTCCCCTTTCTCAAATATTTTATAAAATCCACCTAATTTTCAAAATTATTTTTAGATATAGAATGCAACAAACAGCCCAGCAATACCAAAATTTAGCTGAATATATGGAACAAAAACAAAAGTTTGAGGACTATAAAAGAAATGCTTTGATGGCTAATATAGGGAATGAGGTTAAATAGAGAAGAAGATTAATTTTCTGTTTTAAACTTTGTTTAAAAAATGTTTTTTGATTTTTGCTTTTACTTATTATTTTTTTTTATTTTAAATTTAATAGAACAAATTTCCAATTTAAAACTAGAAATCCATAAATCGGTTTAAAACCGTTATATCTTTTTGCCATTCAAGAATATTTGTTTCAGAATTCAAAAATTTGCGCTATTTGGCATAATGCAAAACATTAAGAATAAATGACACTTCATCCCAAAAATCAATAATCGATTTTTGATGACTCATCTAGTGTTCTCTGTTGTCCATTTTAGCAAAGATGTTCTACAACTTGGAGCGTGGCTTTTCCTTTTTTTGGGATTAACTTTTTTGGGGGGGAGGGATAGTAATGACTTGCGGACAAGACTTGCTTTTTATAATTTTTAAAAAATGTAAACAATTTTTTTTCAGTACTTCAACAGCAGCAACAACAACAGCTCATGTTGTCTCTTCGGGGATAGCTGGGCACATCAGCTCATGTTGTCTCTTCGGGGATAGCTGGGCACATCAGCTCATGTTGTCTCTTCGGGGATAGCTGGGCACATCAGCTCATGTTGTCTCTTCGGGGATAGCTGGGCACATCAGCTCATGTTGTCTCTTCGGGGATAGCTGGGCACATCAGCTCATGTTGTCTCTTCGGGGATAGCTGGGCACATCAGCTCATGTTGTCTCTTCGGGGATAGCTGGGCACATCAGCTCATGTTGTCTCTTCGGGGATAGCTGGGCACATCAGCTCATGTTGTCTCTTCGGGGATAGCTGGGCACATCAGCTCATGTTGTCTCTTCGGGGATAGCTGGGCACATCAGCTCATGTTGTCTCTTCGGGGATAGCTGGGCACATCAGCTCATGTTGTCTCTTCGGGGATAGCTGGGCACATCAGCTCATGTTGTCTCTTCGGGGATAGCTGGGCACATCGGCAATCCCGGAGAATAGGGGTTTCTTCGAAAAATAAGTTTAAAAATAAGAAAAAGGATTTTTCTAGGGTAAAAAAATATGCTGATTACGAATCTGAGCTCAGATTTTGAAAAAGTCGAATCCCGAACCCGAACCAAATTTCGAACCCTGAACCCGGATTTCGAATAAGCAAATGATAGCTCGTTCGAAAGGGCTCGTCGAGCTGCATCGAATGACACCAAAATCAACGTGATTGGACATGCTTAGACAAAGTTATGACATAAAGTATACCTATGGGAGTACTGTAGGAGTCGGCGACTTATGGCATAACTTTGTCAAAACTTGATGGATCACTGTAATTTTTGTGTCATTCGACTCACCTCGACGAGCTCGTATCATTTGCATAAACTTTTTTTTACTCCAAAAAATCACCCCTATGGTTTTGCAATATTCCGGGGTCTGTATCTCGGTCCAACCACGTCGGATTTCATCGATTTTGGTGTCATTCGATGCATCTCGATTAGTTCTACCTGCATATGAAAGACTGACCATTTTGAATAATGTCCGACAAAGTCCGGGGTCAAATTCCGAATTCGGGTTCGGGATTCGACTTTTTCAAAATCCGAGCTCAGATTCGTAATCAGCATATTTTTTTACCCTAGAAAAATCCTTTTTCTTATTTTTAAACTTATTTTTCGAAGAAACCCCTATTCTCCGGGATTGCCGGCACATCAGCTCATGTTGTCTCTTCGGGGATAGCTGGGCACATCAGCTCATGTTGTCTCTTCGGGGATAGCTGGGCACAAAAGCTGCAGTGGTCTCTTCGGAGGTTAGCTTTTTTACTTTATTAAATTCGCAAGTTTTGTCCGCAAGGTTTCTCCCCTAAATAAGTTTATCCTTTCCCAATGTTAAAGCCAATTAAATGGTGGCCAAGTTCTTGTCAAATGAGAAGATGTACAGCAAATGTTCCATTGGTTAGATGCATTGATTTGCTTGCTTTGAATGGTTGATCCTTTTATAGGTTGTTTTTATGTTTAAAGGTTTTTTAATTACTCAATTTTCAGCTTTGACAAAGTATCCAGAAGCTGTAAAACTTTTAACGAGGTTATTTTTATTTATTACTATGGTTTCAAGATTATTTTTTAGGCCGGTGAATTGTTGCGGAAAGACTTTTTGATGAGAATGCTTTAGAAGAACAAGAATCTGCAGAAAGAAATGACTGAAGAACTGCAATCTTTTGTTAGAATAACAGCAAATTAGGTTTGAAGATTAATTGATTGGGTTGACTATTTGGTTTCCATAATTGTTTATCTTTTTCATGTTTCGCCCCTTTTAGGAACTTACTAATTTAGGGAATCTCTGTTATGGATGTTTAAAACTCCTTCCATTTGCTTCCCTTGGGTATTTGATTTGTAGGGTGTTTTGTTGGCCCATCCGATTTCGACAAATTTTACGTAATTCGAAAAAGCTCGTCGAGCTGAATCGATCTGGGATAAATGGTTTGATATAACCAGTAAGTACAGAGCTGATCTTCACAAAAAATAAGTTTACTTGTCCTTCTCTTTTTCAATCCTTTGGGGCTAAGAAAAAAGTATGTGGGTTTGGATCGATCTAAATTTCCTTAGGCTGTGGGTTTCGAGTTTTGTGTCTAAAAAAGTCCGGACTTCGGGTCTTATGTTGTAGTCTAAACTGCTTCCTTTTATGGCCACTCTCTCAAATATTTTATAAAATCCACCTAATGTCAAAATTATTTTTAGATATAGAATGCAACAAACAGCTCAGCAATACCAAAATTTAGCTGAATATATGGAACAAAAACAAAAATTTCAGGACTATAAAAGAAATTCTTTGATGGCTAATAGCGGGAATGAGGTTAAATAGAGAGAAGAAGATTAATTTTCTGTTTTAAACTTTGTTTAAAAAATATTTTCTGGAAAGGTTTTTCTATTTTTTAATTTAGATTTATTAAATTATTTTAAAGAATGGTTTTTTATTAATATTTCCTTGAAAGGGTTCGAACCTGTCCCCTTTACTAAAAAACAAAAAGTTAACCCGATAAGCCACCAACCAAAATTTTTGATTTTCGAAGAAATTTTGAGTCATAACTTTCTAAATTTTCAACCTATTTAATTAATTAATATATCAATCGAAAGCTGTTGATGTGAGGATTATTTTACCTAGCAGGATTAACTTGATCAGATCTTCCTACTCAAAGTTACAAGCAGGTAAAGACCAAAAATCACGATTGCGCTCACTTATCCGGCCATAACTTTTGGTAAAATGGTCTGATCAACACTATCCTTTTAGATAAAAGAATCCTAACATCCAGAGCTTTCGTTTGCTACAATAATTACTTAAATCGGTCATGAATTAAAGAAGTTATGCCCAAAAATATTGACTCGATACGATGGTGAAACATATCCAAGCAAGCTTAAAACTTTTTTTATCTTGCAAATACATTTAAAAATAAATTATTTAAAAATTAAAATTCTTCTTAATGTTCTCCTTTTCTCATTTTTTCATTCCTGTTATTTTTCCTTCCATCATGTGAAACCAGCAAAGAAGATAATATTTTCATAAAAATATTTTCATTATTTTCTAGAGGTCCGCATTCTGTTAAAGTACTAAAAAATAATTTAAAAAAATGATTTTAAAATTTAAGAAAACCTGTCAATTTTATTAGGAAATAGGCCAAAACAGCAACCCTTCCAAAGAAGGCTAAAAAAATTTTTTTTAGAAATTATTTTTAGAGGTAAAAAATTTAACTGAAATTCTCCATTGCTAAACAAAAAATTCGTTCCAACCGGACAAGCATTTTGATTACATAATCTTTTCTCTTCAGTTTGACAATTTATACTAGTAGTTTTATTACAAATTCGTTTTCTTTTAATTTTTCCACACCCTCCACATATTTGTGTACATTCTTCCCAAGGGGACCAATTGTCGCAATTTAAACAATTATTTATTTGTAATGTTGGGGTTGTTTTTAATTCTGTTGGTGTTGTTGTAGACGATAAAACTATAAAAATAAAAAATAGAACGTTTAAAAATGTAAAAATAATTAAAAAACCCCGAGCGGGTTCGAACCCACAACCCTTCTGATCGATGCGTAACTTACCAGATCGGACACCCCCAATAAATTTTTTCGGTTTCCTTCCCTCCAAAAAATTCTTTTTTGAATTAAAATTAAAAAAAACCAATTTCTTTTCCTTCTGTCGTATTTTCAATGAAATTTTCAGTTGTACCAGTTGTTGTAGCGAATGGTTCTATTGTTTCTGTTGCAGTTTCCTTTTCTTTATTTATTTTTAAAGTTGTTGGCTCGAGAGTTGTTTCCTTTATTGAATTTGGCTTCTAGAATTAATTTTAAAAATATAAATAACCCCAGAATTCACTCTCCTTCCTTTGATGTCGCCGACATTTGCAAACACAGTTACGTATTCGACATTTGCGAACATATTTACGGAACCGACATTTGCGAACACACTTATAAACGACATATGCGAACACAGTTACGAACCCGACATTTGCGAACACACTTACGGACTCGACATTTGCGAACACTCACGGAACCGATATTTGAGAACAGACACCTGAGGACCCGATTTATTTTTTAAATCTTATTTACCTTTTCCCAATCCAAATCACTCCAAATATAAGCCAAAAATCCTTCACATGAAGGTCCATTTCCAGAATGTATAACAATCATTTCTGAACTAGAAGAACGAAAAATATTTTTTGGGGCAATAGAACAACAAAATCTTTAATTTTAAAAATAAAAATTATTTTTTAAATTTTTAACCGATATCCAGTAATTCTAAAATCTGGCCCTGTCTTTAATTCAATAAAAGACTTGTCACAAGTATCTTCACAAGAATAATAAAAATTTTCTGAAGAAAATTGTAAAAATATATGCCCTGTAGGCGGGGCTTTTAACAGCCAAATACAGTCAACATTTGAAGGGAATAAATTTGGGTGTGAAGGGGAAGATATTTTTATTTTGTTTTTGGAAATCTGAAAATTCTTAAAATTATTTTTGAATAACACCCAGAAGATCGACAGAGTTGATCTTTTGTTTTGTTGATCTTCTGGGGGGGGGGGGGGGGTCTATTAAGTAACCTTTAAAGTACCCCCACAGGGGGACGGCTGGACTAATTCACACAATTTTCCAGAAAAACCCTGAGGGCATTTACACTCAAAACATTTATTTGGATTTGGATAGCCTCCATGTAAACAATTAATTAGAGGTTTTGAACACTTTTCAGAACAAAAATAGGCTTTTGTTGGCAAGGGAGTTTGGGAGTCGAAGGGAGAGCAATAGCCCGTATGAGGATGGGCTATCCACGCACTGCTCTCCGAGCCAAGCCACACAAAATTTATTGGGAAGGAAGGGGAGAAGGCTGGCCACCAACAGTCGACTATTTGAGAGTCGACTATTTGAGAGTCGACTAAAGGGAGTCGACTATTTGAGAGTCGACTAAAGGGAGTCGACTGAGTGACAGTCGACTAATGGGAGTCGACTGAGTGACAGTCGACTAATGAAGGGACAACAAATAAAAGAGCACAAACAAATATAAGTTTATTTCAGCCAAATAATACGCGCACAAATAATATAGTTTAAATGGAGGAGGGTAATAAGAGCAAGGAATAGTAAAAGAACTAATGAATAAAAACTCCAAAAAATTGGATTTAAATAGAGGCTGGCAGGTCTGCCTGGGTGTGGCTTATTCCGACCAACCAGCCGAAAAAAAAGGGGCGGAGCTTATAAAATGTGTGAAAAATAGAAGAGGGAAAGGAACACAAACAAAAGTTTAAATTAAACAATTAGAGTAATAAGACGGGGGGAAACTTGAGTACTAAAATAAAAAATAATAAACTGAACAAAACGTCGCCTTTGGCGACATACCCCCGCCAAAAAGGTCGACTATTCCGTCGACTGTTCTTATCTTCATCCTCTTCTTAATTCTTTTTTCCAACATTCTTCTCTTCATCGTTTTGTGCGGCAATAACACACTTAAAGCTGGGACGGGTGAGGAGCACCTCTTCCATTTGACGTGCATTTTTAAAGGCTGCGGAGTATCCAGTTATTAAAGCATTTGATGTGGGAGAAAGCGAGTTACGACGACGGCGATTATTAATAACTTTTAGTATGTCGTTGTTCCATTCTGTTAATTGAGGTTGCTCAGGTTGATGTGGCTTAATGTTGTTGCTACGTTGCTGCTCCTTTTGAGTGGTGTCCGCAAGAAGTCTATCGCTTTCTCGAATAAACGCTTTTACTTCTTCAGGGTTCCAAGTACGGTGAGGTTTTGGCTTTTCGTTCTTTTTAGCTTCATAGATTTCCTTTACTAATTTCCAGGTATGAGGGTGAGCTAGGTGTGCAGTTTGTGTTGGATTGCGCTGCTTTTGACCATCTAAAAGACGTAACTGCTTGACCATGTTGTTAACTCTACGCGACATCATATCACGCCAATCTGCCATTCGTAAGGGTCGCTCAAATTCCATTTCTTTTAACTTTTCTTTTGTCAATTGGTCCCCAATGTAATCCAAAGAGTCAGGATCAAGCATGGCATCATAACTATAAGTTTTATCAATAGGACGCTCACCAAGTTCACGTTCAAATGCTGCCTTTTTCTTCTCTGTTGTTTCTTTTTGCTCTGCTGATTGTACATATTTAGAAACCATTTGTTGAAAAGAAGAGGGTACTTTCTTTACTGGTGCCTTAATATTTAACTGTTGTTTTGCCACTTTTCTCGCGTTGTTTTTTAAGTCTTCAGCTTTCTTATTCGCAACAAAAACTTGACCAAATCCAGGACGGGGCAAGTCTTGGGTTAACTTTGTTGGTACATCGATTCCCCATTGACGTGGATCTGGTGCGGGAAAAGTTTTGTGTGGAATGATTGGTGTTGTTGTTCGCTCTGGGGACGAAAATGTGGATGTTTTTGTTGAGGAGGTAGTAGAAGACATAGTGCCAGCTGGTGGAAGAGTAACTGCTGTAGTAGTTGTTGTCTTTGATGTACCAGCTCCAAATTGTCCACTAACAGTAAGTTTTTTAATTAAGGCAGTTTTGGCACGTCGTACTGCTTGTTTGTCTGTAAAACCCAGTTGTTTGATCCAAGTCTTTCTACGGAATCCATCGTTGTAATATGGGCAGATGATGTCTCCTGGTTTATGGCCGATTGGATCCTTCTTTTTGAAGTCACACACCAAACAAACAGAAGGTGTCGGAGTCATAAATTTAGCTTTTAATTTATTTCTCTCTTTTTCTGAGAGGTATTGAATATTTTGAGCCTGTGCCATAAAAAAACGATTAGTTTTGTAAATGATTTGTGAAGTTGGACAAATATAATTGGAGTAATTAAAAATAGGAGGAGCCAGATTTTCAAATGGTTTAAACGCGAGAAGTTCAATTTGCACGGTGTGGGACATAGCAAGTCCTGCCCAAAGATATAAAATTGTAATGAAAAAAGTCAATTGAGCTGGGTATGTATTGGCACGTGTGTAAGCCATTCTTTCATTGTAAGGAGGCGGGCCTTTCTTAGTAAAAGTTGAGCAACAACATTGATTGCCAAAATTTTCCTTTGTTTTGTATAACTGTTTATCTTTATACAATCCTTCTCTCTGCAGTGGGCCAAAATCAGTCAGAGAAGAAGAAAACAGATGTGGGCATAGAACGGAGTGTGGACGAACGTAATTATTAAGAAAAGAGTTGGCCAAACATTCGCGATTAGACGTCCCAGTTACGCGATTAGATGTCCCAGTGCTGGGCTGTCTGCGCATAGTCGGCTGTCCAGGACGATTAGTCGCAGGGGAAAAAATATTTTGTGAGAATTTAGTCGACTGTTTACTATTTACTGAAGGACAATTAGTCGACTTTGTGTGCTTGCTGTATGTGGTCGATTGTTGCTTATTACTTACTGGACAAAAATTAGTCGACTGTCGCTTGCTCTTCGCTGTCCAGAAATTAGTCGACTGTTGCTTATTCTTCACTGATGAAAATTTAGTCGACTGTTTCTCACTCTTCACTGGTGAAAATTTAGTCGACTGTTGCCAATTATTTCCCTTTCGATTAAAAGCTGATTTTGAGTAAGGAGGAACACCAACAGGTTGAATAGAGATGTTCGAACGGCGATTAACTTTTCGATAAGAAGGTGTATTTTCTCCATGAAGAGGAGCATTTGAGTATGAATGGTTCTGCCCTTGATTGAAGCCTCCATTACTAAATCCAGAGTCTTTCATTATAATTACTGGAGATACGGGTATGGTTGGGTATTGACGAAGTTGTTCAGGGCTCCTGTGTATGTCTTGCGTTGGCGATGGAGTCAACTGATCGGAAGGTTGACTGCGTCCCCAATTATCAGATGGTGGTTTCGAGTCTGGTGGTTGCGAAATATTGCTTTCTCCGCTGTTATCATAATTGATATCCAGGTAAGCAAAATCTTTCAAGTCATTTTCTGTTTGCTCGGTGAGGATCCAATGAAGCCGTTCTGGCGGCACAAACTCATAGTGGCGGTATCCTTGTCTCCAACACGCTTTACCACGGTTTCTTCGGAGTGACTTCTTACTGCTCCCACGGTAGCCGTGTCGTGTCGTTTCTTTCTCCAATGGGTTTCCAAACATGACGCATTTCATATTGGGTTGGTCGAGTGTGACACCTTGACTCGAGTAGTATTGTTCCACAGTGACGTTTGGCATGATCAGCTCTTCATTGGCTGGGAGTCGGCTAAATCCGGAAAGGCCAACCGGGAGTCTCAGAGTCGACTTGGCAGTAAGCATTTCAAGACTTGCTTCCTTGCCTTCGATTATTTTGGCGATTGACACCCCAGCATCAAAACGTATCTTCTTGTCTGAGTTCCAACCAGGGTGATGCAAATCGAGCCAATGGTCCAATTGACGTGGTTCCAATTCAGCAGGAAGACGATGCAACATATTGATCAAAATTAATTTTATAGAGATTTTAGAATGAATGAAGATGTGCCAACGGCGTAACATATATATAAGCCTGTGTTGCCAAGTTGTAAAACTATTGTTTTTGTTAAAAGTGGGCGGAGCCAAAGTTGTATTGAAAATGGGTGGAGCCAAAGGTTTTGAATGGGTGGGTGTGTCTTTCATGAATAGTCGAGGCTCGAGACAATATGTTGAAAAAGTCAAGACTCGAGACTCAACTCGAGACACGAGACCAAAGGTCGGGACTCGAGACTCGAGACCATGAACTCGAGACTCGAGGTCCGAAGTCGAGACTCGGGATTTTTGTTGTTCAAAGCATATTAGGTCGACTGTGGACATTGATAAATCGGAGATGGTGTGTTCCTTATGCCCGTAGGGCCCTCCGGGGGCCTGAGTTGCAAAACAAAGTGATATGAGGGTAATTAAAGTAGCAAGTCGTGCCATTGCTTTCCAAGCTCTGAATACTGGGTTGAGTCGAATGAATAAATAAAGTAGTCCAATTCCAAGAATAAGTGCCAGTATAAGTGAAGTAAAACTCGACAATGAAGTCAATATTGAGGCGAGTGCTAGTGGGTCGAATCCAGTATCCCACCAATTTCCTGAGGGCAAATCAAGTGTTTCAGAGTCTCGATAGCCATGTTGAAATCGTTTCTTGATTGGCACATAATACAACGCTCCGGTTAGTTCAAATTGCGTTTCGCCTGCGGGGCAATCGACACGACATTTTGTTTTGATCTGAAAATGATCGAAGGGTAGATTTTCTCTTCCGTAAGTGCCATTTGGTGAACATCGAGCTGAAAAAACGGTACCATCGGC